CGTGAGAGATTCCTTTGTTTTAATTCTTTGCTTATGCCAAGATGGGTTTGCTTTAATTGGAACCACTGGGCTTTTTGAACCAGATACAGCTACTTGCAGAAATATTCATAATCCTTGAGGGTTTTTGTACTTTTTTCTGTTTACACCATAAACTTTAACGTGGTTCGATTTGTTGTAGGAGTTGATGTCCTTGTGCTAAAGAAATCAGCTCATAATAGTTGAGGGAAATTTATGGTTTTCAACAAGTTTCACGCTTAAAATATTGGAAATGGGTTTGTATTGGTGATTTTGTTAGAGCAATCCGTTACTGCAATTACAATTACTAACTTTGAGTTTATGTGGACTAACTTTGCAAATTCATGGGCTATTTTTTTAATTCTTCTTTGCAAAATGATTCAAGCTCAGTCTAACTGAATGGAAAGTGTTCATGAGCATCAACTTCCAGCTCTCAGCCCAGATTCACAGTTAGATTTCTGTCTTTACTTTAACTGAGCCATCCAAAAACATTACATGCCATGTTCAGGGCATTTTGTCCTTCTGGAAGGCGAACCTGTATTTAGCAGGTTAGCAAGTGAAATCCCCACTGACTCCGACCAGCTTCAATATTCCTACGAAATGCAGTGGATTCCCACAGCATGATGCTGCTGCCATCATGTGTCACAGTCTGGATGGTGTGTTCAGGGTGATGTTTACTGTAAATTTATTTGAATTTATGCCAGTTTTCTTCACAGTCTCTGATCAATCCTGTCTTCGTGCCAGATGTCATTTCAGTGGTTTCACATTGGTCACATGCTTTGTTTTCCAGGCAGGCACTGAGCTGAGCTCTGATGTTCAAAGCTCAAAATACAGGATATAAACTAAATTGTCTTTAAATTTCTCCACAACTTTCTCCACGACCTGTCTGCTGTGTACCTGTCTTTGATGTTTGTTGTTCTCCAGCGTTTTCTTAAACCTCTGGGAGATTTTCATAGGATTTAGATTTTGTGAAGTATTTCTCCTGAAAATAAATCCAACACATGTGTTTTCTAGATGAGTCACTCGCTTAATACAAGCTGTTGGTTATGCTGGTTTTAATTTACGGGTATCAAAGTAAACAGGGGTGAATTTATGTGTGTATTATTTGTTTGGAAATAATACATCATTTGTGGTTTGGTTATAATGTGATGAAATGTGAAGAATTTCACTGGGAATAAATACTTCTGCAAGGAGATGCAGTCTTGCAGCGATGTGTTCATGCCATTTTTTTTTTCTGATCATGTTTTTGCCCCATTTACGTTCTATGAAAACATTATTGCAGTGAACTGACTGCAATAATTGAGATTTCTCTGCAGATATATCTATTTCTTCCCAAAACCGAGCCTGCCTGAATTTTGTGTAAAAACAAACACGATCATTGTAATCTAAATCTGCTGACGCCACTAAATAAATCTTTTACTTGGACTGTATTGAATTGTAGCCTCTGCATTCTCTTTCTATTTATCTCTCCCTGAAGCAAAAGGAGAAAAAAAAAAATAGCAGACCCACCAGCGTGGAAGTTTCTGCTTGGTGGCTTTTAATTTCCTGTGTGTGTATCACGTTATGTACACTGACTACAAATATGTACATCTGACTGGACTGATGGATGGAGGCAAAGAGACGGTAGGATGCTGACCTTATCAATGGGAATTAAGGGAGAGATGAAAAGACAGCTGGGTGAGTCAGTGGCCAGGCAGCCTAGTAACTGCAGTATGGTCACTCAACAACAAATGCATTGCTGAATTTGCTTTAATGAGCCTGAGGTGTTCTCCTAAAGTCCATACAGCTGACTGGTTTTGATGGAACCTGTAAAAAGTATCTTAACAGCTGCAGAAAAGAAAAAGCACAATCATGTGTTCCCAAAGAGTTTATTGCTGAAGTGCATCCAGTCCACTCCGTTGAACACCAGAAAGAGTAAAAAAGAAGATGAGGAATGTACCTCTTCTCCTGCAGCTCCCTGTTCCCCTTTCAAACGTTGCATAGTAGATATTGTATGTTTCATTATGATCAAAAAATTGATTTCCTTCAGCAAAAGTAGTTCTCTTTCCAATCCACTTCTCACTTGAACTGAAGTCAGGTGAGAAAGACCCAAGACTTACAGCCCAGATCCCACCTGTACGACACAAAGGGTATATTGATGATGCATGTCTAAAAGGTAGTACACGGTTTTTCTTAAACACATAAATAATGTGGGCTTCACTGAGATACAGAGCAGGATTTTGTTTCTTTTAATGGTTGATAAAATAAACTCTCAAATGGCTTTCAGAAAAAATATCTGAGGCAACCAACCCACTGCTGCCTTGTTTGTGCTCCGGACAGCAATGCGGCCTTGCTGTCCGGATCTCAGTGCCCAACATGGATACTGATGGGAACCTCTGTGAAAATGCTGCTTTCGTGTTGGAAGGCAAATAAAGAGAACCACGCCGCTAAAAGGTTGTTTTGCTCCTTTTAGTCAGCCACCAAAGCAAATAGAGTTTCTCATAGGTTTTTCAAATTGCAACCAGAACAAGTGTGACATCAGTCCCAGATCTGGACTTCATCTTCTGAGGCAAATCGAACCCAGTAGAGGACAAGACCATGCCTTTGTTTTGAACTTGAACTAACAATTTGTCTGAATCCATCTGAACACGTAAGCAGAGCTGGTATTTCATATTTCTATATCCAGACAATGAAAATGTGGCTCTCTGGCATCTGGTAAAATAAGCTAAGGAAAACTGTGATGTTGGTCCAGCGAACCAAATTCACGTTGCTTTCTCTATATGGTTGTAATGAATCCTTTCATTTCAACATCTAGATCACAGTTTGACACGAAAGCTGCTCATTACATTTAAATACTTGCACATTCTGCTTATACTTTTCAGCCTGTTGCCTATTTTCATTTGTTTGGTGGTGAAAAAAAATCTGAGATGCTTCAATAAAGCTGTGGCTATTGGCTACACTTTAATGGAGATGATCTAGTTAAAAGCATAAAGCAGCAAATGTTGTTATTCCACATGCTTTTGTCTATAACTGGCTAATAAGCTTCACTAGGCGGTTCAGAGCTTTTTCGGTCTCAGCTGAAGCTTTTTTTTTAAGCGTGTCAGAACATTTCTGGAGCTGCAGTGTGATTATAGCTTTGCAATGTCGCGACGATGTCTCAGTTCTGTTTGGGGTTTATTTCCATGGCTACTTGTGTTGTGTCTTGCACCAATGCAAGAAATTATAAAAAGTAAATAAATAAAGCATGCGCTGTCGTAACCTTTCTGCATTTTGTCACTGTATTTAAATTTGAGGTTGATGACGTCAAAATTAACAGAAGGTTAACTTTGAGGCCTCCTCATGTAAACTTTAACAGCATTCTTCTGTGATATGAAAGTATGTGTCCTCTTAAAGATTTCTCTATCTTTTGCTTCTTTTGTAACACTTAAATATTTCTGGTTACCAAACAAACTTTGACACACTGGGTAAATGCAATGCAACACTTTACATCAGTCACTTGGAACGTTTTTTTTAGCATCAATCTGTTTGTGGTCAAGCTACATTATGTCAGTTGGATCCAGGCGTGGACTTTGAATAGGACACTCTGAAGTCTTCTTTATGATATTAGATGTAAACTTGTTGGCTTTTATGTGTAGGTAACTTGTTTGTTCTAGGTTATTTTGTAGCATCCTGAATCAGCTCCTGATGCGTTCTTGAAATCATTTTGGTTTGCAGTTCACCACTGCTCCATGTTTCCTGTTTTTGGATTGTGGCTCTCATCAAGGCGATTCATTTTGTGACTATGCAAAGTTAATCTATGCCTGAAAAAGGAAGTAATTACTTTTTCATGTAGGGTCAGATTGATTTGAACAGCCTTGTTGTGTCCATGAACAGAACTATCATTTGAAAACTGCATTTCTTATTTGTATCTAAAATTAAAACAGGTTTGATGATCTGAAACAACTGTGACAAAAAGTAAAATTAGAAGTATATATGATGTAAAATTATTTTCAACAGCAAATAAAGCCTTACTCCGGTCAATGACGTAGTTTGTATCTATCATAGCCACCAATATGTGTCGAACAATGCCTCCACAATATTGCCACAGAGAATCCTAAATCAATGTGTTTTGCATCAGAGAGATTAGAAAGATCAGACTTCACAAAACATTTCAAAGGAGTCAGGCAGTTCAGAGGATTGTCTGTCTGTGCTGGAAAAGAAAAGGTCAGTGAAATGCATCAGCGAAATGCATCATCCCTCTTACATGAATGAGGATGTAAGAGGGATGGAAATATCTGGATTTTAACAACAGGAAACATGAAGGCTGTCATGAATCCACCAGCAAACAATTGGCTGTGTATTCTTTTTTTGTTTCTTTGAAATCAAAGAAAGCTAAAATGACGGGTATTTCTGGCACAGAGGAACGTGCAAGTTGGATTGTGCAGAGCAACATTGCCCTCTTGTGGTGCCAGAGTGTTAGCGCATCAAGAGACTGAATGCGCAGTTGGGCATCGATACCATAAAGGTCACCATAAAATATAAAAAAATGAGTGAAAAGAACTGCAAGAGAAAGTTAGTCACAGACGCTTTAAATTTCAGATGTAGCTGTTTGAATCTGTGCTCATCATAAATGAAAAAAAACCTTCATTTATGAAAGTTTGCTGTTTTATTCCAAACAGAGAAATCTGAGGCACAATTACACATGTTAGAAGGGGGTTATGTGTGACATAAAAGTGTTTGTGTTTGCATTCAAAGCCAAAATGAACATCAAATGACAATGCACTACAACAATGTAACCATGCAGTAAAATAGCTCACAAATACAATAGTTTATTTCAAATGGATGATATTGAGTTAAACCCAGCTCAGTGGGTTATTATTTTTTTTAATTGATCATCTTTGGGTTGTTTAGTGTTTACATGCTGGTTTTATTTTTGTGACTTAATTTCTGTAACATGCTCAAACAGGGATCAAATTGTCATGCTTGAATATTGAAAATGCACAACCAGCAAAAATAATGAGACAATCCCAGTAACAAGGTTTTTATTAACCTTTCTGTACATTAAAACGTTGTAATGAAACAGGCGCTAAGCTTATATCGTCTTAAAACATTGAACCTCTGGAAACAAAGAACAAACAAGTATATCCTGTGTCAAGTGTCCCTTTAGTGAGTAGACATTTCTATAAAACTGTAACTAATGAAGACAATATAGACATCAAGTTACATTCAATCAGGCTGCTTTTATGAAAAAGAAAAGAAAAACTAGCCTTTTCCACACAGCAGGGTTAGGACAGGTTTTGTATTTGTTTATCTGTAGGTCAAGATGAGAGTCAAAACTCACACACTGTTGTCATTGCTGTCGCTAATTTGGATTAGGAATCTGAGGCCACACACATATAATTGTCAAAATGTATCATAAAATTCCCCAGAATGCAATGAATGTTGACATTTTAATTTCACAAACTGTGGAAGAGGAACATTGGCATCATCATCATTGTGTTTTTTGGTTACTTCCTGTTTAACCGCTGTGTGAAATTGGCCACTGATTGTCAGTGGAAGTTTTAATGCATTAAGTTGAGAAATCGGGTGATAACCAACCATAATTAGCAGCTAAAAAAGGTCTTAAGGCAAACATTTCTAGATAAAAAGCCAGGGAACCTGCTGTAGGTCAACTCAACACCACAATTCCCCCTAAAATTATTATTACATGTTAAAGCTCTGCAAATTTCTGCTTCCTGAAAACGCAGCCTCACCTTTCATCCCCTTTGCAAACAAACTGTGATCAGACAAACCTGGTCCATTATCGGCATTATTTTCAAGAACCTTTCGCCAGATCATTTTAGATTAGCACTGCAAACACATGAAAGATGCTTAAATCAAACTGTGGCAGATTAGATCTCAAATGAGACAGACTGATGCTATCTCTCCCAACAGAAGAATGAGGCTCGGTCATGATTTCCCCCCCTGCTTTAAGAGAAAGACATGATGTGCATCGGTTTCCTCACCAAAGCCATAGAGATGCATCATTAGTTCTTCGTGTTCAAGAAAATCAAACATTGAAACGAGTTCTGGGTTGTCTGACCAATCAGTTCTGTAACCCTAAAAAAGAGCTTTGGATTAAAAGATAAAGCTACATATGAACATATTTACAGCATCCTGCCAAAACAAAATCTAAACAGCAAACAGCTAAACAAACACATCAGAAGGTAATTGACACAATAATTGCACAGCTTAGTGACATTAGAGGCATAAAAATCTGTCTTATCTGAAGTATTTAGTTGCAATGTTCTTTAAAGTCTGAATCAAGTCTATCTATTGACACAGGCAGTGTGGTTTTAGCTCAGACAAACATGTAAACAAGTGTTGCTAAAGATTATAGCTGTACTGCATGAGCAATGAGAAACACTTAACTACAGTTTTCTTCTAATTCAGTAAATATTATGTAGTGATGGCAGGCTTTCTAAATACATTTCGGCACGGTCTAAAAGCATCCACTAATACGCTGATGTTGTGGAGTCTGACCTTCTGATGCCATGACAGCCCAAAAGAGGATTCCCTATTCAATTCTTTTCAAGTAGATCCCAAAAAATACCAAGGAACCTGTTTGTGCTTCTTACAACCTAGAGAAAATTTAATTGCTAAATAAGACAAAAGCTGAAACTGGAACTATATAGCAAAGATAAAGTCTCACTAGTTTTGGTACAATTCAAAATGACATTACAGTCATCGCGGTGGGCATTTTGAGGTTGTGCATAATACTATGAGTCAATCATTAGATATGTAGTTGAAATAGTAACTGAAAATGTGCAGCTTGGTTTAACTTGCAAAAGTCACATTATAATCCAATTTTTGCAAGAATAACACCAAGTATTCTTCCCCAGTGTGATTATTGATTTAAATTTCAATTGTCTTTAATCAACAACTGAAAAGCTTTATCAGTTATTAAAAGATGAAAAAAAAAAAAATCTAATCATTTTTGGAAAAAAAATAAAATAATAATGAGTAGTGACTGCTCAGACAGTGGCCTTTTAAAAAAAAAATGACCTTTTGGTCTTGCTTTTTTTTTATTGTTTGTTTTCTTCTAGTAATGCAATCAGTACTTTTCTATTTTGATATATTTTTCCAAAACATTCTCACAAATTTTAAACACGTATACATTTAACAAATGTATCCTTTAAAATTATGTTTTTCTTTAAACAAACAAGCAAAAAAAATTTTTAAAAAAGGATAAAACAGCAAGTAAAATGTGCATCTTTCTGTTCTCTTCAGTAGAGGGCAGCGTTGAACAGCAGGAGAAGTCTGGGGCAAAGGTCATGGAACATATTCTTGAAACGTAGGAACCTATTTAGCATCTACCCTGTTTCCCTTATGATTGCTTGTGTCCACATTCTGATGGAAGGCGCTGCGTCGAGTCTTGTTTCATTTAAAACTCTCAGAATCAGCAAACAGATTCAGTCTGAGCACAAACCAGGAATACAGTTTGGTCTTTTTATTCTGTTTCCACACACTTGTGGTTGATGGGATTTGTGCTCTTTCCCTTCTGAAGGCAAAATAAAAAAAAAAATAAAAAAATAAAAAAAAAGAGGAATGGCCAGCAAGATGAGCCGTTTACCCAAATCAGACGTCTGACTTCGATCAAACCAGACGGAAGGAGAGCTTTGCTGCAGGTCATCCATGTTTGTCTGGTGAAGAAGTTCAAAGTCCTTGTTTTATTTCCTCACTTCAGCTTGACATGTTAGTATCTTTGTTCCTGGTAGGCGTCGTCAGACTAACGCCTCCTCCATCACCTCCATGACGATGGTCCTGGGGCCGGTCAGGATCAGGTTGCTGACGGTCCGGTAGTCGTGGCAGAGGACGTTCAGGCCGTTCACAGACACCACAAACTGACACACCTGGAGGCGGACAGGAGAGCAGCTTCAGGCTTTTTCTCAGAAGTAGTTACTTTTTAAAATGAAACGCTCTTTAGCAATTGTTTTTGCCCAAAAAATAATTTAGCAAGAACACGTTTTGCAGGTAAGAATACAACAACAACAACACAGAGATGTTTCCCTGAAAAAACAACAACTTCTTTTTGTACACAAAAAAAATGCTGCAGAAAATATTATTGGTTTTAGTTTTCTAACTTTACTAAATATTGTATAAAGATCACAGTGGCTCTTGTAAAAGAAAAATGATCAAATATTTCTGTTCATAAATAAAAAATATTAACATCTGAAACAACTGGTTGGCGGATTTTCTTCCTCCATAGTTGCATGTATTTGTTCGTCTGATGGTTGTTTTGATCACATTTGAAACAGAAGCGGTTTCAAATAGTTTCTGTAATTACACCAAAACACCAGGTCTTGGTGTAATTACAGGAAGTTATTAGTTAGTGCAGCCAATAAAAACTTTCTACATCGACATTACATCATAGAAGTAATCTTTAACAACAGAGCAACAACACTTAGGACACTTTAAATCTTGTTAAACAGGTAGTAACCAGCAAAGCGTCTAAGCAAACGTTTAGGCGTATAGTCATTACTGTTATCAGCAATAACACTATAAAGCATGACAGCCACAGCCCAAGCACACTTCTTACACATATAAACCTCGAGACTCTTATCATCATTACCAAAGCTGCAACAGCGTGGCGACTGATAATAACATGACCTCATTTTTTAACCCTTTTAAACTCTTACATGTTTAAAAACAACAATATTGGTAGATATCTTTTTTTTTTAAAGAGAGAAATGTAAAAAAAAATGTATTCTTATTTTGGCTGCCCTGCTGTATAAAACTAGACTCTAAGCTACAATACAATACTGATAGTCCAAAATGTGTAAGAAAGTTGTAACAAGTTAAATAGACAGATTAGTTTGTTCTGAGGACCCGTCCATGGGCTAAACATTTCATCCTGTGAGCTTCCGCCTGATTGAGCTCAATTCGATTCTTTATTTATCCCAAACTGAAAGTAAATGTTCATCCAAGTGTCTTAAAGAGTTGTAATGGACTGCAGGATAACACTTCCTGGACGACAACCTGAAGTTGTTGGCAAGCACTGCTAATCTGCTTCATTCCCTTTTAATGCTTTTTTTTTACATCCCTGTCGGCTACGTATTGAAACAAGTGTCTGAAAGAAAGAATGCAAGAGAATAATTGTCCAAACATGCAATGTCTGAATCACAAAAACAAGAGTCTACAAAGAGAACGAATGAGACCTAACCTAGCACAGCTGCTCCAACATGCTGCTCCAACATGCTGCCACCATGAGAAGTGCAATTCTAGAAATACTGGATAATGGATGGATACTAGAGTCATGTAGTTCCTTCAGTGTGAGTAGATAGCTGCATCTTTAGTTATCAAAGATGGATGATATTTTTCCAAAGCCAGACATGAGTTAAGGCTCCATTGCAAGACTGCCAAATCAAAAACATCGGGTAATGAGGAAGAAATTATTGGTGCACCTGAAAAGGGATACAAGTGCATGTTGGCTCAGAGGGGCTGATGGTAGCATTTTACTGTAAACTAAAGAACAAAAATAATTTTGCTTTTACTGATAAATCAGAGTGAAGAAAAGAAACAGCAGAGAAGAAAGCCAGGTAATCAACCTCATATCTCAATAAGTAGTTAACAAAAAGTTATATTACACAAACATTTAACTTATGATGACACTGGGTCATCTACTGAATTCAGCTGTCATTTAAAACCTGGATGCTTCTCTATCTACTTTTAAGAATCTTAAAAGAAAACAAACAGTTTCCCTGAAGGCAATCCTCAAGATTCATCTTCACTGCTTCTTTTCCACCAACCTACTTAACTATCGCTGTACACATTCCTCTGGGAAGCTCCCCCTGCTGCTCTTTTTTGTTCTAGCTCAGGGATTATTAGTGTTGGCAGGGGTCCAGCTGGACTCTATGGCTCATTGTACCAAGAGAGTTAAAAATCTGCTTTACAGAGTGAAGGAAAAGCAAACCGTCCTCAACAAATCTGAAAAGGCCATAGATGCAGAGATGAACAAGAGTCTTGTGGAAAAAGAGATGATATGGAAAAACAAAGATTGTAAACAAAAATATATAAATGCTACATGTTACTTTATGCCAGATTCAGGTTTATTTGGGCAAACGATGCAGAAGTGTGGAAAGATTAAATAATGACAAATCTATACTTACAAAGAGAGATGTTAAATCTCAGTCTCTATGATGTTTCATGAAATAAAATCTAAAAACAACTCAGTGTTTTCAGTGAGTGATCCAAACACAAATCTCTGCCAGCAGTAGGGATTCTGCTGAGCGCACTGGTTTCCTGGCGACCTTGAAGTGACAACAGGAATCCAGGAGAGTCTCAACAAGAGTGTTTACCAAAATGTCAAACTGTAACTTTAGCAGCCAGAGATCCCGCTCGTTCCCACAATCCAGTTCAATAAATGCAACCTGTATCAAACACCGTGCGTCTTACATTGTCCTTAAAATGGTTTCGATTTGAACCGACTGCAGCAATCTTGTACAAATTTGCAATCGGGACGTAGGCTACCCGTTCAGCACACACAGAAATCTCTTGTGAAACCGGCTCATTGGCAGAAAGACAAAGATGCAAACTTTGAGATCATAATCAGGCGGTTAAACATGAGGAAAGCCTGTTAATGATTTTACAACTTGCAGCCTGAGCTCACCTTCTCCTTTGACCTCCTGCTGGAGCTGCAGTGCCATCACTTTACAAGCGCAGACATTTTGCTCTTAAGAATCATTACACATCCCTGAACTACTCAGGTGAGATGAAACTAGAGCAACCTTCAAGGAAATGAACCCACCAGACTGTGGCTCACGAGAAATTTAACCAGTCATTGTTGATGGAGTGAGATGGATTTGCATGGATATCTGTTTTGGGCTCAGATCTTAGAAGTTGAACTGTATGGAGCACAAAAAGATGGCACATGTAATGTTATTATTCAAAGTTATAATTGTAACATTCAAAATCTTTAAATGACTTAAAGTCACAGCTATGAGATTCTAAAGTGGAATGATGAGTTAAGTCAGAGTGACAATTATGAGACACAATCATTTATATTTAGACTTTATATTTCATAATGTTTACTATAAAATACTAAATTATATGTCTGCAACTGAAACTATGGGACATTTTTCCTTTCACATGGCAGAAATATTGACTGCTAAAGAATAACTATATAATCACGACGACATTTCCAAAACGCAGCAGTGTAGAAACACGTGGGATTGTTTCAGCAATGCGGCCTCTGTAACCTTCATACAGAATATTTCCATGGTAATAACAGCGACCAAAGAAGAACTAACAACTTCCTCTTTCAGTGCTGGTACCAAGACTTCATCTTCAGCTCAGTTTAGCTCACATGATCTGATTTTCTTTTGTTTGTTTAGACATTTGTTCTTCTCTCGTCTTGTTCCTTCATGTCGAGGCGTAGGTCCCCACTGAATTCCCAGAATTCTTAGCTGCGGCTCTTGTTGACATATTTGCATGCCAGCTGAGGCAGCAGAGGAAACATTACCCTGTTTACATTTCATTTCTCTTGCTTTTCCCTTTGGACATCGCAGGTTCTTTGCTGTCCTTGCTGTCTTCCCTTTGCGGACAGAAGCCAAAGAAATGGTTCCTCTTTTCTCTTCCTGTCTAACATTTACTTCTTAAAGAACATTTAAAAAGCATTCAATGGAGACACAACTGAAGATTAGTTGTTAGAACATAATGTTTCAATTTTCCAAGGAAAAACATGCTTTTCAATGGAATGAATTAGATAATAATTAGTGGATATTACAAATTACTACCTTTATCTTTATGTAAGGCAAAAAAGTTTCTCAGTGATTTGAGACCTTTTTTTTTAATGCATTGAAACAATTAACAATTGCTGAAAAAATATAAATGCAGATTCCAATGCATATCTGCTAGTTATACCATAATGCTAACTAATTAGTATACAGTTAACAAAGCAACTCTATATATTTTCATATTGGAAATTGTTTTTGTTTTTTTCTAAGCCAATTATGCATCCACTTCTGCTTAGTGTGCACATCCTCATCAATCTGCCCTCTGTGGTTGTAACTCAGTTGAATCTATCCATCTATTATTTTATTATTTGCAATAAACAACAAGTCTGATTTTGCAGTGAACGTTGGCCTACTGGAGGTTTGACCTCAGCGGACGTTACCTTCATGCCAACTGCAGCAGCCGGTCCACCAGGATCCACCGCCTGGATGTGACAGGGTTTGCTTCCTCGCACCACGAAGCCCCAGCCCACAGCATCACCCACAATCTGAGACATCAAAACCAAAGGGGAAAATCTTGAGATTAGATCTATCTGCTTGTGATCGCAAACAAAGTGTAAAGAATTTCAATTATCACGTACAGCAGGTAGTTCATCATATGCTAAATATTATCAGTGAATATTTGTCTTCTTGAGGACACACCCACAGAGAGGACCAAAGACTTGGGTTTGAACATTTATTCATTATTATGTGCAGGTAGTGTGAAAATTGTAGAACTGCTCTGTGTTTGTGCGATCATACAGTGAAAGTCTTCTTTATAAAAGGCCCTCCTGGTGTCAGAAGCTCCTCTGGGGTCACTTGTCTTTTCACAACTATTGAGAAAGAAACACAAAGACAAAACACATTGTTGGAGTGACAGTGAGACAAAATTATAGACCTGAACATCATGGACGCGCATAACTGAAAACACCTTCCTGCAAACGACAACAATGAGCACGAACACTGAAAACACAAATACAGAAATTATTCATCTGCTTAAAAACGTTTGTGTTTGACTTTGCGTGGAAAATAGGAGAATAGGTCACATACTGACAGCCAAAGGCACGTTACTTCCTAAAAGTGCTGATGTCCCTATTTTTTGACTTCCACTCATCAATACACACAAAGCTCATCTTTACATATATATTATAGTAAATATATATCTAATATAATAGAGCTTTCTGGTTTAGCGTAAATAAAATAAAGCGGAGAGCAGTGAGGCATGTCACTGACCAGACGATCACAGTAGACTGATCGTCTGCTATGAATGCTTAGATTTTCAGAGAAGAAAACTGAGCTTCAGAAACCTGGATTCTCCCATTTACGCATAAACAAGATTGTATATAAATCAGAATGAACATTGCAGCTGACATTCCATGCTGACCTACCAGATTTGGGGTTGCAGAGGACCGGCGGGCTGCTGCTGAGCGTTGGACTGCTGCTGTAATAGCCGCTGCTGCCGCAGCTGCTGCTCATGCTGCTTCGTCGAACTCCAACCGCCACCTTGATTTCCTTAGTGGGACTCACTAATGCAGAATTAAAAGATCAAAAGGTTAAAAATGCAACCACATCACCTTGCCTGTGAGATGCAGAAACATGGAAATTGTTCAAATATAACTATTAGAAAGTTGAAATTAAACAAAAAATATAAAATAAAAAAATCACAGAAGCTTTGTTTCTTAACAAGCCATTTTACTCTGTGTGAACTGTTTTTTAAATAAAACACCAAAAACATTTTCCATCTAAAATTTCCTTGAGATGGCAATGAAACATCAGATCCAAAGTGCCTAGAAAAGGCCTTCACACCTTCAAACAATTGCACAATTGTTGTGGTTATAAACAAGGGAGAACTTGTTAGTCACAGACCAGATTATGCTGCAATAGACGGAGGAGTCAAATTAAAATCAAGAAACGAGCTCTGAGGTCACGATGGGAGGCCAGTCACAGTGCGACTCTACATAGCAACAAAATCAGGACTCCTCCTATGTTATCTTTCTAAACCATGGACGCCAGCATTACTGCGTGAGAGCGTGCCTCTGTTCTGGTATCCGAGTCAACAGAAGATAAGGCAAATTAGGTAAATATATCACTGTTTACAGCAGAATGATAGGGTTCATTTCCAACCTTTACAGCTGGGTTGTTGTTTTGATATGGACATGAAAACATAGTTAAAATTAGATGAATTTACAGCTTCCCAGAAAATGTGATGACATCTTCAACTGTCCATATATCCGCTCACAGAAGAGGTAAAACAGGTGTGCGTTAGGCTTGTGTTGGCTCTCACTGGGTACCTGAGAGGAAGCTGGTGTTGCCTCCGTCCGACTGCTGCTTGCGGAGGCAGAAGGGGCTGTCGTGGCTCTCGGGGATGCCGCGGCCGCGTTCGTGGAGGAGCTCGATCAGCCGTCGCCGTCGCCGGAAGTTCATCCGGAACTGGTAGAGGAGAGGCCCGTCCACAAAATGATGCTTGTTGGTGACTGAAACAAAGAGAAAGTGGAAAATGTATTTGTTTTTCACACATTTAAAAACAATCAAAAGAAAAAAGAGTAAATTCATGAAGTATGTGACCTTCCCCTGAATCTTATGTTAAAAAAAACAACAGAAAAATATGATAACTGCAAACTGATTTCAACACTTTAAAACACATTTTATTAGTCTGTCTAAAATGACCAGCTGCAAAATACAGCCAAAGCAAACCTGTAAAACCAAAACAAAACATAAAAAAGAGAGCTGCTCAGGGACTTGAACTCTGCTGCTGTCTGGTCTCACCTTTTTACGCTAATAACAAAAACATTTTTAGCTAATTCAGTACAGTTTCTGTAGAGAGTCAGACATGCAGTTTAAGATGCAAGGATGGTGGTATTGAATTTTGATTTATATTCTACCGCATTATCGACTTGGAGATTTCATGACATGCTTGAGATTTGTGTTCAGTCATGTTCCTGCATTTTCCCATATTTATCCTTTTACCACTTTGCTTCAAGGTAATGTTTACATAGTTTCTGCGTCACGTATCATTAACGCCTATATGTACCGTACTCTGGTAGAACAGTGAAATTGATTTAGACACAAAGTTCTTTCTGTCCAGAACATTTCAAACGTCACAAGATTATTTATTATCTCATTATTAACCTCAGCATACTCATTAACAAGAGGAAATGAGGGTTTTTGCAACATCAGCAGTCCTTAATGTTAATTAATTAAAATCTACTGCATATATTATAGGAAGTTCTCTTTATGTGCAGCAGAAGAACTGCCTATGATCCTACAGAGATCATCTATGCCTGATATTTAATGTTGTGGTTTCAGTTTGGTCTTCATGGGGCTGAGATTGCACGGACCCGTGCTTCTCAGGGTACTTTAGCATGTTTGTGCTGTGTCGCCACATTCTTCCAGACACTCAGCTCTGCTAAGGAGCTGGAGGACAGGAAGTGAGTCACAGAAGAGAGAACAGATGGAGAAAAAGAAGGAGCAGAAATAACTTTTTCACATGATGCAGCATCGGCCCGGGCACTGAAAGCAACCCGAAGGCTCACAGGAAATGCTACATTTTGTTCCTTTATCAAATGTGTTTCATTTTTAGAGACCTACTAATGTATGAAAGAGCGCTGCATTCTGAATCCAGACGAGAAGCAATTTAATTATTTATATTTAGACAGCAATCTCTAAACTGCACAGCACCTTCTAAATATTTAGAATTCAAATTCAAAAAATGTTTTATTAATCTCAAAGGAAAAATAAATGTTGCTGTATCTCATGTCATTGAAGGTTCTTCAAAGAGTTGTTGTGTATAGTGATGGGTGTGGGCACGAAGAATCTCCTGTAGTGGTCTGTATTACAGCAGCTCTGAAGAAGCTTCTGACTTAAAAGACAGATTGTTTTTTTGTGACGGTCTCAATAAGAAGATGGTCAGGGTTGTCAACAATTTTCTTCATTCAATTCAATAATTTGAACCAGAAATCACCAAGGTAAGTATTGAAAACCCAAAAAGTGGTGAATGAATCTCAATGTACTTCAACGCATACAAAACATTTTCCATCAGGTAGAGGCCAGTGCTGTGTAGTAGCTAATCATCTTTGTTTGGGAGTGGCCAAGTTTCCGCTGGTTTATCACTGCGGCCTGTTCTCATTCAACCATTTCCTTAAAGGAGCGGTATTATGAACTTGGAGAATTTTTCCGGGCACATAGTGTCCTTTTATAGTACAATCAAGTAATTACGTTATCTCCAGTTGTTATAAAAACGTCGTATATATAAAACGTAACTTAACTTTGCAATTTGATTCCTTGAAATTGGCCTCTGTCTCTTTAAGAAGCTCCTGCTGTTTCCTACACACCGCCTTAAGAACGTCGTGCGAGACCAAGCATTTAGGTACCGCCAGATTTCCGCCAAGGGAGATGTACAAATTAAAGGATTTTCAAATACGCATGAAAGGAACTGAATCAAAGCTCTGGCTATGTTTTATATTGAGGGAATGAAATTATAACACGGCCTGCACCTCCAACAAGTTCATTTCACATAATAAGATCACATCAGTACGAGCATTACTTCTCCTCCTCACCATGCTGAATGATGCCATGTTCAAGCAGCCTCCGTCCCAGCTGCTCGGCCTCCTCCCTGGTGGGCATCTCCGCCTCCTGCAGCAGCCAGTCGATGAACTCTGAAGCGACCAGTGCGCGCTCAAATGCCATCCCTTCTTCTTCTCTGGTTTGTATCAAGTTGTTCTCAGTGTTCATCAGCCTGTATTGGGAAAAAGGATAAAACTATGAAAAAAATAAAAAAATACATCCCACCAATCATAATGGCTACAATATTACCAATATTTTATTTCTCAGTTTAAGGTGGGAAAATACTTGCAGAGGGAAGTGAACATTTGAAATGGAGGTAAATTCTCACAGACAAAAACATTTCAATTTCTCCTCCCTCTGAAATCCAAAGATAGACAAACTACAGTTTATCTCCATAACAGAATAATAAGTGGAAAATTAAGAATGCTTATTTAAACTAAACTAAACCAAGATAAGAAAAAATAAGCTAAGATGAACTACCTAAGAAGAAAAGTAAAACTAAGTTAAAAGTATAACATAAGCTAAGCTAAAGGAAAATAATAATAATAAAAAAAAGCTTAAGATAAAGCAGTGCTATTGATGACCTGCAAAGACACACTTGGTCAAAAATAAATAACATACAATTTAAACATTTTCCTTCTGGTGTTTACTTTACATAATTACCAACTTACTTTTGTAAGTCAATTAAATCAGCTTGAATTAGAAGTGTGTGTTTTGAGTTGCACTGTGTGACACACGGAAAATTTAAAGTGAAACACACACCTATAAAGACCAGAATGTCTGAATTTTTTCTCCTGCTACTGTTTAACAAGTAGACCCATAAACTAATCATCTACCTGCTTAAATTACATAAGACATGCAAGTCGTTGCAGACACAATGCACTTCGTTGCATCATTTGCACATGTCAAAACATGTTCTAGTGAGAAACTGGAGCATTAAACTTTCTGCCTCTTGGCTATTATTTGCAGAGTCAAAGTAAATTTCTGCAACCGGTTTTAACTCCTTAATATTAATGACTGTATGAACATGTATACACCTGTTCAGGCTGCAGGGAAATAATACTGAGCAACAGGTGACCAGTTCAGAAAGATCCAACAGACTAGTGTAGCCAGTGCTTTCTGCCTGTGTGACGACAGAACAGGTAATATGTAAAACACATTGCATGTATCACAGCTGTAGATGAAAACAAACAAACAGAGCCGAGACGACTGAAAAAAAAGAAGACATCAAAGTGAACTTTGAATGAGTTTACCAACTTTCCATTTCCTGTTCTCAAAATTGAGCGACTTATCGGCAGTTTGTCAGGACATTTAAGAAAAGTAATGCCAATTTTTTAGAACCCAGCAGAAAATATATTTATTTTCCACAAGACAGATGGTCATGGGTATGGGAACGTTTTGCACTAATCAGTAAATGCAGAAGGCTGCTTCAGCTTGAGGAAAGGACTTAATTTAGTCAAAGGAGGCCGGCTTCTGTGTTGTGGGATCCTATTGAATCCAATTTGAACCAAATGAAACGGTACTCAGGTGCATTAACAAGCCGTCATTCTGCAAAAAGCTTCAAATTACCACAAGCACTTTGTCCTGTTCTCTTAGTTCGATCCACTGTGTAATGACAGTTCAGAGAAAGCCAGAGGCCCTGATGACGACGGCAGACCAATGCCCTCATTACACATTGCCTGGGGACACAATTTATCCACCAGATTTGGACCCAGAACAGAGACAAAAAGTAGAGCTAGAAGCATTCAGGGATTAACGTGTGGAGCGAAATTAGTACGTTTAAATTCAACACAATTAATACTGTTTTTTCCAAAGCCAAAACACAAATTTCTATTCATTATTACCATGAAACATGAAGGATTGAATTCTGTTTGATGCACATCAATCTTTAAACTCAACAGACTGCTAACTCAAATGCATTAGCTCAAAGTACTGCACTTTGTACTTAAATAAAAACTTAAGCAATTCAATGCATTAATCATCTCCTGAGACTTCAAATATTGTGTAAATACTGTTTGAATGGAGAACGATAACAGAAACACTTGGGCAACTCTGACCTGCAGATGCACTTAGCTATTCATTCAGCAAAGCTCACAATCGCGACTATAGCCATGCAAAAATGTTCCACAATGTCATGTTCTGGATCACTGAGTGGGCAGGTGAGAACAATTCACAAAGGTGTTAAAAGTTAAAATATAAATTAAAAATGTCTTTAATGCACCTGATTCGATGCAGAATTTAGTTGGACTAAATCAAGCTCTTTATCTGAATGAATGTTTTTAAAAAAAAGCTGAATTTACAAGATTTTCACCTTAAAAGCAAATACTTACACATTCCCAATGAAAAGTACAGACTCACTTGTAAAAACCCAGGAACAGCAAGTTTGGGTTCATTAAGGAAAGTTACGTCTTTAATTACATATCTGCTCTAATTAGGTTTTATTGTGAGATGTTGAGGAAAGGTTGAGTCAAAGCAGTTATGTAGGGAGCTATGTTTCTTTGCTTCCTGTTTTCTCCTATTGAACATCTTTTGTTTTTACAAAGATTAGTCCAACTTGCAACCTTGGTGTGGCTGTACCACACCACAACACGCTTCTATTCATAGGACGAGATCCAGATAAAGTTGTATCAAACTAACCAAATTTGTCCAAACATTGACATTTTTAAAGAATAATTTAATCACTGAAATGCTTGATTATGTTCTGCAAATATGTTCACAGAACTCTGACTCTTTCTATGCTTTTAGGATATAGTTTCTACCCATGATAATAAGTAATTTTAAGAATAAACAGCCTCCATTTGCAGTGGAAAATATATGCAACCATCAGTGGAGCATGTCAGCGAGTGTGGTTCGCTGAGGTTAGCCTCTGACTAAATTGCAGCTTAAGGAATTTTTTTTTTTCTGATGTTGTTTTTAGCCTTGACAACCGACAAACGACAACCCTCACTCTGGCAAATTATCTTAGCAAGTGCCGTTCAAGTAAAATGGACACACCTGGATTTTCGTAACTGAGGAAATGGCTACAAGAAAATTGCTTCTTGATCAAACATGGCCAAAATGTGGCATGTAAGGCTGGAGGTATTTACTTTGTCACCATGTTACATAACATGGATGTCCATACCAAAAAAAAAGGAAAGACAAAAGGACACAAAGACATAAGGAAGAAAGAAACCAGTATGTTTTTAGAAACTGATGTTCAAGCCAGATCTGTCTGCTGCCTGTGTTTAGAGACTGTTTATGGTGTTTTGAGATTTGACGGAATAAGAAATGTATGAGGACTGTTTTTGTTCCAGTGGGAAAGCTTCATGGAAATGGTACTTAACATAACAAACTGTATGCTCGTGTAGTTTATGTGCAGCAGAGTTTTTGCAGCTGCAGAAAAATTCAGTTGAATCATTTCCATGCTGTCTTACTAAACAAACTGGTGCAGCTCACAGGATTGAAATGGGTGTCAAACAGGACTAAATCACCGTTTTAGTGTGATTTACTGCTCTTGTTTGCTTTGTTGTCTTAATAAATTAAATGGTTCTGAATTCTTTACATAAACAAACAAAAGCTTGGATTGTGAAAAGAAAACCAAACTTTCCACAGGAAAAAAACAAAGAATAAGTTCAAGCTGCAAGAAATCAAGCGAGAGCAAGACTTCATAAGGCTCTGCTGTATTTTTGAAATGTTGGCAGTCTTCTCCAAGATCTCAGAGTCAAAATAGTACTCTGCTTTCTCCTGGGAAAACAGTGAGAGACAAGTGCAAACAACAGGAAGTAGGAAAACCCACATCACCTAAACGACAAACAAGTGTACAAACTGAAAGCTTTTTCTCCATGTCTACCAATGCTTTAATTGTAGCCTTAGAGTAATTTGAGTTACCAAACAAGCGTGTAAATGAGTGAGAGTGGTGTGCTGCACGATGGCAATTGCATAAACATGTAGCTTTAAGAGCTGACTTGACAGCTGTGTCCTCTTCCACCATTTCATTCTCTTATGCAATAGTGGACTGTATGGGTGTGAACATGTGCTTGTTTATTCCCAGAGACGCTAAAATAAAAAAAGCAGGTCTGTGATTAAAATTGTGTGCCAATTAAGTTCTACCCATGATAGAGGCACCAAAAAAAAAAAATACACAGCTTGCTTGTATTCCTGGACACGAATGCACTCACTGTGATTTCCAAAATCAAAAATGTACAATATTTACAAAGCTGATGACAACAGAATCGTCCGTGTTTACAGTGTTGTGTAAACGAAGCTCTTGTACGGATAAAACCAGCGAGTCGTCGCTCAGTAAAGATGTTTCCAGTCATTTCGGCTTCCCAAACTCCTTTCACTCTCCTCAAATTTGCAGGCTTTTATCGCGGCCAAGCTGAACTCTGTGTGTCCTAATTTAATGAAAACCATTTACAACGAAACTAATTCTCAGAATAACATAAATGATGCTTTTTCTTCCTGATGTAGTCAATCAGCAGATCATCAACAAGATTAGGGTAGATGAACAACAACAACAGGAGCGGTACGAGTGGAGTGGAATAGATTGATCAGATTTACTGATCAATCTATTCATCAGTGAATATATTCACTGATGAATAGTGAGTATTTCATTATTCATCAAACCAGCTTCAAGGAGAAAACACTGAGATCCTGGAGCTTCCTGGAACATTTGATATTTTAATAAGAAATGTCCCAGCACAAGCCCAGGTGTCACATTGGGGAAACGATCGCAACATCTTTTAAATTCCAACTTTAGGGAGTGTCAAAATTTTACTCTTCGTTGTTTCCTCTACCATCTATGATATATATACTTACATTTCTCTAATTTAATGAGCATCACAGTTTATTTGGTTTGCAAATGGTTATTTGTTTCCAGTGTAGGAAACAAATAGCTTTTCAGCTTTTTAAAAGATGAAGGATACTCCCAATGAGAGGAAGACTGTAATGGCTGCTTCAGTTTCCTGTTTGTCTGGATCATTTTATTTGATGAGCTTAGATTCAAAAGCTCTTTATGTAGGAGAAAGCTGTGCAGAAACTCAAACCTTAAGTTTAACAACCTTCAAAGCAAAGTGTTTGAAGCACAAAAACAAGTTTGTGCTTCACATTTTGTTTGCTGGTACTTGTAACAACACCTGACAGAGACTGAAAGTGTTGAATATTGATTCCTGATAATCAGGCAATGCTCCGACTTCACCAGTTTTATTGACCAAAACCTTTTGGTAACTATTAAAAATCATTAATAGGATCCCTGTTTCTCAGTAAAAACAAGGAAATCAGCCACAAAATTTCAATCTCGGTTCTACCACCTCAGTCACCCTTATTTATGCAGTCATTGATAGGAAATTGTTTATTAAACACATCCTGTTTGATTAAATAAAACTCAGACAAAGTGGATCATTTCCCCTGGTTTCAATCTTTAAATTAGTCTAAGTTCTGGAAAGCTCACTTACTGCTTACCATCATATTGATTGTTTTTTTCTAATATCTCTCAATAACTAAAACAAGCGTTTTTTTTTTCTCATCAAATGTCATACAATTTTAGGAGAAATGCATGGCAAACAGACTAAAGCAATGTGTTGCCATTTAACGGCATCAGACACTGTTGCATTAGCACATGTTCTCACGCGTGTCCATACTTTTCATAAAGCCTCTGTCCCCTCATGAAGACCTTGGCTTCGCTGTCCAATGGGAATGTGCCGTCGTCCTTTCTGAAGCGGTACAAGAGCTTCATGTCTTTGAACTCCCGGTGCTCATCACACACTGAAAGCACACAGTGGAGAAAAAAAATTAAGTTAGAATCTGAACATCTTACTGGCAAAAAAAAACAACTTAAGAAGTAGAGAAGTTTAAGTGTCTCTGTGATTCAGGAGCAGTGGAAGAACAGAGCAGCTGTAGTAGGTCTGAAATGGGCATTATGTGAAATGATGAGGGTATTGTTCTGGTCTGTCGTGGTGAAGACAGAGCTGAGCCAAACAATCTTGACTTACAAGTCAATCTACATTCAAATCCTCATCTATGCTCACAAGATATCAATCAGGACCTAAAAAAATTAAATGTATTGAAATAACCCAATATATCTACCACAAGAGAGTAGGTAGGTAGATACCTGGATATAAGAGAAGGACAACAGACAGCAGATGTGTGAACACTTATGAAAACATTTCCTATTGATTAAGAAGTTGACATAAAACTGTTCCTAACAAGATCTATTCTTGTCCTGTCTGTCTCTGTAGTTTGGTCAAATGTAAAGCAGAGGAGCCAATGTTTTTAAGCCAAGTTGACTGAGAGAACATGGAGAATCGTCCATTAGGACACACGGCTTGTTCCCAGAAAATGTCAAGTGAGGCCCTCACTGTGAAAAACACACTAGCCATTAATACCTAAGATTAACTCACCCCCACCTTTCTCTGGGATACACAACATTTCAGCCTCACCGTGGTGAACAATGCTCTGGTCCAAAAGTTTCTGCATGATCTTAATGGCCGTGTCCCGGTCTGAGGCTTCCTTATGTTCGATTAGCCAATCAATGAGCTCCTTGGCGACAAAGCAGTTTGGGTAAGTTCGAAGGTGGTGCCTCCGATCCTTGATCACCTTCCCCTCATGGAGCCGCAGCCTGGAGACAAACAAGCAGCAGAGGAAATATGATTGATCTTCGATTCCCAGAAAGTAAGACAATAATCTTTCCGCTCGACTTTTAACTGTTGGTAATTCATAATTTCGTTCTGACAGGCAGTTATCTCTGTGATCTCTGGACATCATTACATTTCCTGTGTGGGTTGAGCAGCATTATGGTCACTAAATCCAACATCTCTATCAGAACAAACAGTTATTTGAAGAATAACCTGAACTTTAAAACGTTCATAACCTTTGGCAGAGCGTGTGTCTTTTCTGGGCTTATGGTGGATGTATAGAGCTGAAATGCCATTTTCAGGGAACAACAATGCATCCATTTCAATATTAAAAAATCATGACTTCATCATGCTGCAGCAGCTGCCCTAGATTCTGGGTTCCACCATCTCTGTGTCCTCTACCTGAACTGGAGTGTTGTGAAAAGGCTTTAGCCAGGCTTCCTGCAGCTAGCTCGATCCTCTCCATGCTGAGTCTGTGTGCAGCTGGCCAGCATCACTCTGAATTAGCAACGACAGCCAGCCTAACTGTTCCACCAAATCTGTACGATGGGCAAACAAACGTGGATCACAATTCACAGACCTAAGATCTTATCTGCTGTTTCATTCAGCCTTTCTTTGCTTAACTTCTGAAATGTTCTGGCCACTATAACCTCCACTAAAGCTGGATTGTGAATTATTAAGGTTGGAAGTTTATCAGCACATTAGTGAATGACTTCCTGACTACTAGTATCTAATCTAATCCAATTGCTCTCAATGCATTTTGCATTGACGCTACAATGTCCCTATTCATGAAAGAATGAGCTGGTCACAAGACTTCCTGGATCCGCTGCATGTCTCTGTAGGCCCTGATAACTTTCCTTGGGCCAACATGAGCAAGAGATGTATACGCTGATATATGAGCAGTAATCCTATCAGCCACTTCACTGTTATCAGTTCAGGAACTGAGAGGCATGTGTGGGAAGAGACTGGGCTCGAGACGAAAAATGAACAAATAAAGGTGTGGACTCAGCAAACTCCTTGTTTCAATAGAAGTAGTTTCACAGCCACGTCTAATTCTTCACAATTTCTTAAAATACTTCAAACTAAGCTACGCACTCAAGCTAAGCTCACATTGAGCATCCAGCTGTCTAGTGTTTGCTTGTGTTGTACAGTGTAACAAAAGCTGCTTCATTCAACCAGAACAGAGCTCTCAGCTTCGTGCAGAGATCAGCATTTTACCAACGCTCACCGCAACAAAACAACATGATGGTACTGAGCAGGTAAAACTTTTACCCCTGACATGAGTAACATGTCAGGGGATTGGATTCATAGGCACATTTAAAAGGGAAAAATTATAATTTAAGCTAAATATCAATCATATTCACACTTTAAAGACAGTGAGAAATGTAGTTTAAGTCCATCTCTTTAGTTAGGTGGGGAGCTTGTACTTTAAAATTTTAGTTTTTAGCAGGATCAAAATTGTTCCCATCCATATTAATGGAGCTGAAGCCTAATTTAAAAGTATGCTTTATTTGTCAAAACTTGATCTAAGTTGCTAGGAAACTGCGGCAAATAAACACGGTGAGTAGGAAGATAAGAGATAACAAAATATCACCAGAGCTCATTGTTAGAGAATTACAGAAAAGAAAATCAGAAATTGTTAAATCTTTGAATTGATAGTAGAAAAACAAAACAATTCTGTTCTGCCATCACAAACAAAAACATGGTGAACTGTTAAACTAAGTGGAGTCATGTGTCTTGTTAGGATGAGAGCAATGAAGCTTTTCAGCAACAAGTGCCACAGATCCACCTGTGTAATCATAAAAAGCACGTCATGTCCACTGTTAGGTGTGGTAGAGGCTCTGTGATACTGCGGGCCTGTTTTTCAATTGAAAATTGAAGCCTTGTTGAGTACATGGCATCTTATTTGGATTATTTAAAATTAAAATCTACTGAACTCATTCTATTAGAGACTCAAGGACTCAATAAGCCACAAATCTGAATCTGACAATTTGCCCTTGATTGACTAATTTAAATGTCATAGAAAAAGACAAATGGCTGCGCTGCTGGCAAGAGCTATTTGTAAAGTGTATTGCCAGCAGGAGTATCAACAATTGTATTTCTTAATGATGGATTATTTCCCACCTCTGAAAAAAAAGAAATCATAAATTCTAGATATTTTTTTGTATGCAAGATAACTTGTGCAAAAAAGATTTTAGGTTTTTTTTTTCACAAATCTTTGCCAAATGTGCCAGTAGGAGCCAATGTGAATGGTTTAGGTGAGAGATGAGGCTGCCCATTAAAGATAAGATCAAGTGGGTCAAGGTCTAGTTTTATTTTTAAAGAGGGGTGAACAAGATCTTACACAGGCAGATGGGAACACGCAGTACGTCACGTCAAGTGTCCAGAACAGGGACCGCTATCCCAAGCAGCTCTGCATTCACTGACACCAGTGATGCAGCCAGCTGGCAGCTTTAGCTCACAGCTGTGCCAGAAATCAAAAACACATGCATGCTGCACACAACATACAGTTATAAACACAGAAACTCTCTCTGGAGCAAAAGAAGAGCACACTGCATGCACCTTGTAGAATGTTCAGCCAAAAAAAAAAAAACTATTAATGTCTGCAAGATTACACAACTCCTTAAGTGGGAGGGGCTCTGCAGAAAAACATAACACCGTTTACACCCAGTTGGATAAAAACTTTCCCCCAGCATGCATGTTTCCTTTCAGTTCAACTGGGAGGCTGAAATTCCAGGCATTGGTGCCATGCTTCCCTACTGAGCCTCTATTCATCGCTGAGGTCATGAGGCAGTGAAAGCCAGGGTTCTGGAGCCTCTCTTTATATACAGTAGGCCTGAGGTTTCACACCGTCAACAACTCCACCAGGGGAACTCCTATATGATTCTCTGACAGCGGCAATGGGCAGGGATTATGGTATGTTGCTGCAGCTCATAGAAAACTGTATCAGTAGAGCAACCCAAAAAAAAGTGTGTGGGGGGGGAGTGGGGGGAGAGTTATGCAACCCTGCAGAAGGCAGCAATTACAAAGCTAAGATTTATATGGGTGTGCATGTATGGATGTCTTTGTTTGACTCAGCATGCTGCAGTAAGGTTGCTCCATCTGGCTGTAGTTGCAGGGAACATTATATAAAACATGTTTACCACAGCACAGAGTCTTGTTCTGTCATGCCCTTTTCTTTTTTTTTAAAGTCTCTTTCCAGGAAAACGCAGGAGGACATAAGGACCTGAATTATTTGCGACGCTTTCAAATGCTTTTAGGATTCACGCTGCAGGTAACAGTGGAGATGAATACACACGTGTGTGCTGTTGGGGCAGAGCTGGCAGACCCACCTCAGCTGCTCTCCGGTGACAAGCACCTCGGCCAGCCGCTCCAGCTCGGCCGCCTTCTTCTGCATGGTGGTCCCGATCCGGTCCATCGCTCTGCTGCAAACAAAAGGCGCCGGACCACAATAACATTGCGTTAATAATGGAGACAAGCTCGTCGTCTCGGTCCGCACTGCTGCGAGGAAGAAACGCTGGCAAAGCTTGCAACGAAACGTCCATTGGAGGCGTTTCAACTTTTGCAGAAAGAAAGTAACAAAGACATGCCTTCGCCTGATTGACGCTGCGGTCACACCTGGGGTTCCTACTTACCCTTCAAGCACCATGGAGAGCGAAGTGATTAGATTATTCCTCGAGTGAATTTTTAAAAATGATAATTAGTCCATGTGAAGATGAAACGGGGAGTCACAGCAGCAGCGACCCCATCAACAAACATCCACGTTTAACCTCAGAAAGCGCCCACCAAAAAAAAAATAATAATAATAACAGGCGCTCCTGCACCGCAGCTTCACAGCTTCTCTTCCAAATGCCGACCTGAGGCGTTTTGGACGCAGAGCAACTGGAACAACTCTGTCCTTTCAGAGCGGCTGCCTGACCAGCGCTCCAGTTACTGACACTGTCACACCACAAGGCGTGAGCGCACGCTTTCCTCCCCGCACCGCGCACACAAAGCCCCCGCATTGGGAGGACTCTGCTGACGTCACGGGGGGAGTTGACCGGAGAGGGCGGGGTCAGCTGAGGGTGAGCTCGATTCCGACACCGTGCGGGTAAAACAGGTTAGTGTGGCCCGGACCAAAGTCATGACACTTTTAGGAAGTTTTCGAATAAAACAAAATAAAAGTTTTTTTTGTTGTTTTTTTTTTTCAAACACTTTTTTTTTAATGTTGGATGTAAACTCATATTCCACACTAAGATAATTGGCATATTCACTCCTTTGTCACAAATAATAATAATAATAAGAGTTAATACTAGTTATAATTGTCAATAATAATATTTAATTGTATCTAAAATATATATGTATATATAACATACACTGGATTTGCGCATACTGGTCATGCGCAAAGCATTAAGTAACAACTTTGGAGTTATTACTTAACACAAGCTGGTTGTTTCTTTACAGGAAGGAGTATAACTAGTTCCTCTATTTAAATAATGTGTCACACACCACAGAAATAGCCAATCATTCCGTCCAATTTATTTAGTTTGAGTCATATTCATCAAAAAAAAAAAAAGAGAGAACAATATCCCTGTACATCCAGGATGCCTGCATGGTTTGCACAATATGGCAGAACATGCAGAGACATGCCTTTTGTCTGAAACAAAAATGCTGACTGTTACTGTACCTGTACTTGAACACAGACTCATAAAATGGAAAGCTTGTATGATCAACCTTTCAAACTTTACATTCATGCACAAATCAATTAAAGCAAGAGCAGTGTTTGATTTTAGAGTGTAGCATTTCTGTCCTTGTGAACAGACGGTTTCCAACCTGTAAGGTTGAAGTCATCAGAGTCAACTTGCACACGTGTTTAATCTGCAGAGTAACCTTCAGTTTTGCTCATCTTCACTAATTTCAAACAGAAATGTATTAATTGAAACAAATGTGACATAGTGAGGAATATATTAAGATATATCCTCTTAAAACATATTTGTCAAATGCTTCATTTTCCGCACCTGTTGGCCTGTAGGTGGAGTCATCTACCAATCAGAGCATTGTTAGTCTGAGGATATTCAGCAGTAGTGCAGCTCTGCCAGGGATTTAACTGAAGAGCGACATTGTTGCCTCAGTGCTGTCTGGTGACCTGCAAATCAAACACTCAGAGATGTTTTTAGGTCCTTCTCTGAGTCATGTAAAGCTACACACCATCCTGGGTGTTGAAATTGCCAAACTCATTTCCCAGCCGAAAAGAGGTCTGTTTTAAAGCATTTACAGTGTTTTGAGGAAGAGTTTTGACCACTTTGGTGTAATTAGATAATGGTTTTTTTTTATTTCAGTACTCTGAAATAAAGAAGCAGAAGGAAAAGTATGCATGATTTTGAAAATTGCTTTACCAGTAAAATCTGAAAGTGTTTGTACCTGAGCTACACATTATTTCAGTTCCCTTTGAGTTACAATGGGAGCTATCCATTTAGGTCAGGGGACGGGCAACTTCAGGCCTGCAGCCTTCAGATGTGTCCCTGCTTCAACACACCTTAGGCAAAAAAAGAGTTCATTAGCAGGTCTCTGGAGACCCTGACTGCACTTAGAAGGTGAGTAAACTATTTGATTGAAGCATGTTGAACCTGGGAGACATCTAAGAGTTGAAGGACAACGGCCCTTCGAGGACCTGGATTGCTCACCCCTGATTCAGGTGGACAACTTTGTAAGTTTGCGGTTGTGGCATTTACTTTTCGTCTTCATATGGAATATGCTCATTTTTACTAATCATATTAAAATCCAATTAAAATTCAGAAGTCTGTGGTAGTGTTATTCAAGGTGTGTTGATGCTTTTTTTTTAAATAAAAGCTAATTGGAAAACAGTTTTGTTCTTACACAAAAATGTTTCTCTACATGGACAAAATTTTGTAATCATGTCAAGCATCAGACCTTGGACTCCATGTCTTGAAAAGTAACCAAAGAGTACATTTTAACAAGTGCTTGTGCAACTCTAACATTTGTTTGTTGTTCATCTCCTGTTGGGAACGTTGTGCTCTCAGCTAAATTACAGCAACCCAGAGAGGTTGGCGCTGCAGGCTGAATCGCTTCTCAGTGTGCGTTTTATTTGTTAACCACTCATTGTGTTTCCTGTGCGCTGCTGCTCTTTGGGTTTTGTCATTCAGCATGAATCGTATTCAAGAAGTACACGTCTTCTATCTTGAAAATATGAAGTTCGCAAGCTTTTTAAAATTGCGTCCTATTGTTTTCCACGGTGCAGAATGATGTAATTTTCCACCTTCATCTTTATGGTCTCTGCTTTTAGCACTTGAGCTTGTAGCAGGATAGCAGCTTTAGATGACTGAAGCATAGCCTGTTCCCTACAACAACTGATTTCTCTCAAAGATCGTTCATTTCAGTTCATATTGTGCAAATATCTCATAAATTGATTAAACAAAATATACATTTATTTATAGATTCTCTTTTCTTCAGGCATAAACTAAGGGAGCTCACATTTGTGTTCCATGCAGGTGTTAGGTTGCATGGTGGTACAGCTGGATTTGCCATGACCTTGATGCCAGAAGGTCATAGCAAGGTCACAGCCTGTGTTTGAAACTTGACCTTGGTTCCTACATGCATAGAGTTTACATGATCTCTCTCTGAGTACTCCGACTTCATCTTACACTACTAAAGACATGACTGTAAGGCTTACTCGCTACTCCAAAATTGCCCGTATGAGTGTGTGTTCATGTATTTTTTTTAATCTGCTGTTTAGAGAGCAAGTTTTAATTATTCCACATATTGCTTTTTTTGCTTTGAAGCATGTCTAAAACACATGAAGTAAGTGAAAAAGACAAAATTTAAACAAATAGAAAAATTTCACCTGTTAGTTTTCTTTTACTCTACACTGTCTTTTCAAAAAGCACTGTATAAAGTAGTCTGAACCTGAACTGTGCATTTAAAATACTAATTGCAATCGCATTTTAGTTTTAGTAGATAAGCAGTATTAAATATACGTTTCCTAATAAACCACAGAAGGAAGTTTAGATGTGTTTTTTGGTGCCCACAGCATGAACTGGCTGTGTGAAAATTGAAGTAAGGTAAACTCAGAGGAAAACTAAAGCGTGACGCAACATTTGACTTCACTGAAAAAGTTAAAAGCTTCACCAGCTGAGATGGGAGAAACCCTGAAATGACAGCTGTCGTCCTGGTTCTTCAACAGTCAAAGCGGCAGCAGGAAACCTCTCATCAAACCTCAACTCGAGTTTGACTCCATGGCCAAATAGAAGAAAGTCTTCTGTCTTTCTGCCCATCAGACAAGATGCTACAGACACCAAACGCCTCACATCACCACAAATACATTATTTACACACATCTATCGGAACTGGTGACTGAACTGAAAGGAGATGCTCACAGCTGACAAAGCTTGAACAGTTTAGCTGTCAAGAATGAAGTACGACTGCAGCCTGATTGAGGCCTCAGGTCAGACTCTCTACTGTGACTTTAGCCAAAGGTGTATCTAACAAACACTGATTTGGAAGGGGGTGAATATGTACGCTTATTTTGTACTAAATACTTTCTACTAATATTTAGAATTGTTTTTCTACTAAAAACAATTTTCCCTTAAAGGGTTCCTTGTATCTTTTTTTATTTATGAAAAAGGCATATGTAAAAACAACATTGAAGGGCGTAAATAGGTTTTAAACTGTCTATATGTAGGTAGGTTGAGTTTGTCTGGGAGCATCATGTGACGCCTTCCCACAAAGTCTCTATTGAATGTCTTCACAGCATCTTCCTGTAATGGCTACAGCAGAGTGACTTGCAATGTTAAAATCATATTATTACATCAATACAATGTAATGCAAGTGGTGAAGCTCCTGTGGTCTGAACATCTGCAAGAAACTAACCCCAACTCTGAGAGCAGACTGAGAATCTGCTGCACTTTACAGCACAAAAGATTCTTAAGGGCCTTTAACTGAGGATCAGAGATTCTTCTCTGAATAATTTAGATCTCAAAAATGTCAGCACTACGGGAGGCTTGCGATGTATGTACAAGGCAGAAAGGGAGAGGGTACTGATAATAAATGCTGCCATTATTTCTTCATCAGAGCACAAAGACGTTTTTAAAGGAAAGAGAAAAACACGCAGAAACAAAAGCAGGTCTTTTAAAATGTATTAAATATCTTTACAATAATCACACAAAGTCTTCTTGCTCTTCATCTTGTCCAACAGCCGGTTTAGACATGAAGTTTTAAAAAGACAAGCAACAAAAGTGTTAAGTTAGTAAAGTCAAATTATGAACAATAAAATATATGAAGACAAAACCGTTTACTCTGTAAACCCAACAAGCGCGTATGTAGGATTAGGCTGTAGGCTGCGCATAAGGTCAACAAATTCTTTGTCTGTCTTATATAATCAAGCTACTTTGTATCAAAATAAATGAGGAAAAACAGGCCAGAATATATGTATCTTTAAAAAATAAATACCAAGTTCTGCCAACCTAATGTATAGAAAAATCAAAGAAAAACATTTACAACTGAAACACAGAAAAATAGAGGATATTTGTAACTATATTTTAGAGATTCATTTTTCAGATTTAGGAAGAGAATGTGCATTGATGTGAGTTAAGAAGCCCATAGAAGAGACTGGAGATTAACGACCTTATTTAACACTGGTGTGAGGTGGTTGTGTGTTGGAGTCGTTTGGCTTACACAACATTTACATCAAGAAAATTTAAACTTTTGTCCTGCCACACAAATGCATAAAGAAATCTACGCAGAGACAAAATGAAAAAAATTAAAGAAGTTTATGGCAGATAATAGAAATGATTATTCCTGATCAAAATCTTAATTGTCAGTAATGTTCGACTGAATTCATAAACCAGTGAAAGGAGAACTCTTGTACCTGAATTAAATTGGACGCTATGAAAGCTATAGAGGCACAAATGTGAACTTGAAGGCATTTCCAAACAGAAAATTAGTAGATCAGAAAATATTTACAAAAAAAGCAGCTGATCTCTCTTGAAAGAATAATTAAATGGCAACACTTCTGCAAAGTCTGCAAGATGTCTCTGCTTTCAAAGGAGAGCTTGGGTGTAACCAATATTTGATTACCATTTCCTCCTACATAAAAATAACTTCATTAATAAACTCATCCAAACACACAGCACAAGTCAAGAGAATGACATAATAAACCCATCAATTCTCTACAACAAGAATCGAACACATCCACTGCTGCTGCCAAGCTTGGTAGTTCCTGTTCAGAACCACCAGGTGTCGCCCTCCACCCACAGACCTGTCAGTATGTGGAGGCAGGGACTGCAGGGGGACAGCAGGGCTTGATGTGCTTCAGGTGGCAGGAGTGGCAGAGGAGGTGGCCATTTAGCGGGTAGCAGCGGTGACCCTCTTCATCGTTCAGCTCCATCTTGCAGTCCTAGTCAACAAATCAGAGTGAATCATCTGCTTACAATCAAAACGATATTTATCTCTGTGTTCTACTTTCAAATTAATTTATTGATACAGTGCCTATAAGAAAAGTACTCACACCCTGAGATATTTAAGCCTTTAGTGTTTACAAATCAGTTATGATCAACAAATGTCAGCTAGAGGTGTCCTATCTCTCTCTGGTCTCCTTCTTGCTCAGTCACTCAGGTTGTGAGGACAACCTGGTGGCTCATATTTCATCAATTTCTTTGTGGACTCCAGGAGATGTTCTGGCCTTTTGAGATTTTTTTTGTAGCCATCCCCTGACCTATACTTTTTAAAAACATGTTTTTTTCTCTCATTTGGTTGGAGCATTCCTTTGTCTTCCTGCTGTAATTACAGCCAGGAATACTGATGAACCTGTGACTGGACCTTCCAGACTGGTGGTCATATAGTGAACCACCAGTCTCACTGTATGACAACAGTCATACAGTGAGACTACTACCAATTGGCTGGACTTCTATTGAATTAGGTCAGTCACGTTAAAGGGAGAGGATATTTATACACTTTATGCTATGTTAAATCTTTTCATTTTCACATTTTGTAAAACTCAATTTTCAGTTTGACAGTTTTATTTTTGTATTGTTTTCTAAAGCCAAATTTTGTGCATCAACATTGATTTGTAAAGGCAATAAAAGGATAAAACATCCAAGGGGATGAATACTTTTTTACATGTTTATTTTTCTTCAACCATTTATAGTGTGAAGAGCTGCACATAAAGATGAATGAAGCAAAGAAAAGGAACATGCATCGAACATTTGCTCAAGCTATTTGTTCACTTTCTGATGCTGAAGAATGCAGTGATTGAAGTTTTTAAGCGGTCACTGTTAAAAATCATTCCTTACAATAACAGATAAATTTGGTTGATTGTAAATATTTATGGCTTCTAAAGGCAGAAAAAGTAATAGTGTGGAAACAAAAGGAGATCCGCAGAAAACACAGATTACTCTCAACCCGACAAATATCTCCTGCTACTTAAGAAAGACCACAGCTACATTACTCAGATTGTACTCTGATAAAATCAGAGCAAAACTGCCGTCAATCAGATTAGAGAAGGGGGAAAAGAAAATTCTTCGCACCTGCTTGACTCAGCACTGCATAATAATGAAGACTGTAATTAAGATTAAGGATCTACTCATTAAACTTCCTTTAATGAGCTGCTCAGACTCCAAAGCTCAAAGTCACCAAGTGCACACTGTCAAGTGCAAAGCTTCACTTCCAGTTGGTGACTCACCTCACAGTGGTAGCATTCTACATGGTAGTCTTTGTCCATGGATACGACTCGGATGGTTTCATCAGAGCCCTGAAAGGAAATCAGAGCCGAGTTCAGCAGAGGTCTAGATCGACTCTGCACTTTGATGAAAGGACACCAGAATTGGATCTTTTTTAAGAGCAAATGTTGCTGCATTTTGTTCTGCTGTACCTTTCATTTGGTACAGTTTAACTGAACAGTCAATTAAATATGCCCATCCTCGGAAGATACAACTCTGATATACTTTAAGGCAATACAGTATTACAACGTGCTGGTAATAGCAACTGAGTCGAGTTTACTATGAAGAGTGATGAGATGAAATGCAAATAATCCCCAGATTAATGAAAGTTAACTTATGGACAAAAGGCTTTTTAAAAATAAGTATTTTAATTCAGAGGTAAATGTTAACAAGGACGGATACACTGACATTACGGTCGTTCTGCTTTAAATCTGGCTTTTAAACCATGTTTCCCTCCAACACAACTGTACAATTTAAGCGTCATAAAAAATAAAAAATAAAATAAAAAAGTGTGGTCAAACTGCTCACCTCTGAGGGCAGGATCGGCTGGTTACAGGCTGCACATTTAGGAGCAAGGACCCTGATGGAAAGAGAAACTTTTTTTTTAATTGAAAAAAAAATTAACTTTGGATCTTTTTGCAGGAATTTCCAAAGAAGGACTCCTATTAATATTTTTGAATTCTTTAACTCATTGAACTCCAGGCATTTCTTCTCTGACTAGATTCAAAGACCCTAACACGCAGAGCGAGTTGCCGGCTTTGCAGATGTACTGGAAGGAAGAGTGGGAGAAATGAAAAGCAAATTAAATTCTCCACACATGACAGGATCTCCGTGGATACAACAAGGCTCAGTTCGGCGTGAGCGACCGCGGCTGCAAACAAACACTCACTGTACACGTAATAAGACTCGTCTGATTCAATCAGGGAGGAGAACATGTGGGAGCTGCCAACAGGCACATGCTACATGGTGCTGGACAAACTGTCCACATAGAGCGCCAGCTGCAAGCGACAAGCTGCTGAGAAATACTGAAAACTTTCACTCATGATCAGAGGGAGAAGACGGAGCATTTGTCTGTTTTCTTGAGTTGTAAAAACACCTTCAAGAACAGAGAGAACTTTTATTTTTGGACAAATATCAGCAGCTGACCTGGATCTTGTGCTTTTGCACCTGAGCAGCTGAGTCCGTGCTGCTCTTTCCACCTAGAACTGAACACTGATCTGTTCTCCCCCTCTCGTTCTCATGTGTCTGTCAAACGTGGCCTAGAGCGCCCTCTGAGAGCTCAGTCGGGCCTTCAAGGCCTCAGCCTTCACCGGCGGGATAATTATAACAAAGCTGACAGTTTGTGCTGGGACCCGCGAGACCCCCACATACTTGACACAGTGTCACATTTTAGTTATTCAGCCCAGAAAACTGAGGCCGGGCTCTTGTGTATCCACACTGCAGTGCAAAACTTTTCATTTCTCCTAAAATCTTTTTTTCACATTTTATCACGTCGCAACCACATGCCTTACTGTATTTTATTAAAATGTTATAACTGAGAAACAAAAATAATTAGGAAGAGAAAGAAAACGTTTCTTAATAAAAATCTGAAAAGTGTGGTGTAGTCAGCATCCTCCAAGTAAATACTTTGTAGATTCATTTTTGATGCTTTTACAGATGCAGTTATTGTGGTATATTTCTAACAATTTGTTTAGACGTTTGAAAAGTAGCTCAAACTAATTAGCCTTCTTTGCGTCGCCTCAGTCATGTATTGGTTTTATTATGTACTGACTCACCATTTAGTGGTTGATGTGTGAAACACAATTTTAAATTTATATGATATATACTTTGATCCAAGCCGTTCCAATATAGCTCTGTCCATCTGTTTGGGGGTGATCCTTCCCACAAGCCTCAAACTTTTATCGCCTTTCTGGAGATTTTATTCCATGAACATCTGTTATTTCGTTCTCTCCATCAACTCTGAGCAGTTTCCTCATAATTGGTGAAGAATAGGGTTTCCAAACTCACGACTGACCCTCCCTCCCAACTGCCTAGGCAGTCATTTTGGGATGTACTCTTTCCATTTGTGGTTAATGGATTGACCAGAGCTCTGTGAGATCTTCAAATGCTGATTATAACCTGAACCTGCTTCAAACTCACTGGCCTTCTGATGTGTTTTATCGCTCTTCACGATGCCATTTTTGTTTACTAAACGGCTGGATTTCAACTGGACTTCTGTTTCACACTGATGAGCTATTTATTAAATAGGAGGCTTCTGCAAAAATCAAGCAGGGAATAATTTCAGATTGTTGTTTATAAATCATTTCGCAAACCAACATTTGTTTCCCTTGCATTTTACAGTCGTGCTGTTTTGTGTTAATATACCTATAAAATCTGAATGCATAAAAGTTTGTGGCTGCCAGGATACAAAATGTAGCATAGTGTAAAGTATGTGACTATTTGTCCACCTGTGGTAGTCCTTGACACAGTAGATCTTGTTTTCCGTGTCCACAGTGAAGGGCACTCCGTCGAGGCTCTCGTTGCAGATCATACAGCGGAAACAGCCGGGGTGGTACGACTTCCCCAGAGCCTGCAGGATCTGCAGACAGAGTCAGATTAAGGACATTGACACGCTTCTGTCCATATCTTACATCTTTCTATCAAACTGGTTTATAAGTTGGTGAAAATAGTTTGGCATCAAAATACAGTGCTGTTGAATTGTACTAGTAATCCTATTTTTTTGTGATTATCCTTAACAGAATAAATTCAAACTAAATCATTTTAATACAAGAAGAAATCACGCAAGTCATTTTTAAAGAAACATAGTATTTACATAAAAAACAAGACTCAATGATGTGCGTGTGTTTACACATAGAAGTCTATACTGTTGAGAATATGGAGACATTATCTACTTAAATGTAACACTTGCATATGTATTTCCTGAGACGTCCCTTATTTAATGACATTGTTTAAGCCTCTTTCTCCACTTTGTGTCCGCCTGCTGCTGTGTTCAACACACTGTGCAATCTGTCCACACAGGTTTTACATCCACATGTGCACACACAGACGACCCCACTGAGAGGAAAACACATCAGAAGTTTCTGAGTCACACACCCAGTCGGCCAAAGAGAGGAGAAACAGACACTTACCATGTCCATGATCAGATGTCCACATGCGTTACACTTATCAGCAGACTGCTGGAAACCAGAGTACTGCAGGGAAGAAAAAAATGATAAAAAGTTCCTTTGAGTCTGGTGGCAGAGAATGAGACTTCAGTCTTTTTTAGTCTGAGATCTGATCAACCACATGCTGCCTGTGCGTCTCAGCCTGTTAAAATAAGCTACAGCTTTGAACAGCTGGAAACCATACAACCAGAATATCGTCTCTAAACACTTTGGCTCCTTTTGCATGAAATCCTGCATCAATAAAGGGTTGCTTGAAGGTGATCAGCCTGTGGTCCTGATTATTAGATACAGTGTATCTGAATGGAATTGTACTGGCTAAAGTCTATTGGTATTCATTATTATTATAAAAAGCCCAGGTTGCTTTAAAGATGGCTTCCAGCTCATCTGCATTCTTGGATCACATGGCCCTCTTCTTCCTTTTGACAACGCTGCACATATTTTCTGCAGGCCAATTCGCTTGGCCAATCAAGCAGTGTGATAGAGTAATTAATTAACAAAGAATTGGCACTTTTGACTACAGATAGTTGCCACATCCTACTGGAAAATAAAAATCAGCCTTTCTATAAAAACTGTCATCAGTAGTGCTCAGTAATTTTCTGGTAGATGGATGAGTCGACTTGGACTTGATAAGATATGATCGACATCAACAACACCAGCAGATAACATAGTAAAGTAAGTAAAGTTTATTTATAAAGCGCTTTTCACAGACATAAAAATCACAAAGCGCTGTACAATAGAAGTCAACCTTAAAACCAAACAAAACATAAAACCAAAGTAAGAAACAATAAAGTCAACAGATAAAAGCCTTTTGCTCCCCAAACTATCACTGACTGCTGAAATACACCCTGGACTTCAAGGAACCCAAACTCCTCCAGTTTTCCTCCAGGGTCAGGAGATTGGTTTACAAATGACATGGAAATTGTAATTTCCATGTCATTTGTAATCCAGTACAAAATGAAAAAATTCAACTAAGAAAACGGACCAGTCTTTTTTCTCCTCAGCCAAGGTCATATGCTAATATTGAGCCTGGTTTAGAAGTGGCTTAACTCAAGGAACAGGTGTGTGCTGGGTCCTAAATCACAGACTATAGTCAGAGTAGAAACCTTCTGAATCTTTCTTCTACCACACTTTTTCCTTCCACTTAACTTTCAGTTAGTAAACAGATCAGCAGTAAAGTCTTTTACATGACATTTTTTTCAATCAAAAAAAAAGTCTTATTGAACTGAATTTGGAGTTTTCAAAAGCTATAAGCCCTAATCATGTAAACTAACATAAATTAAACTAACAAATTACCCTACTTGTTATCAATACATTTCATACAGATATTTAAATGAATTATTTTGGTCATACTTTATGATTTATTGCGAGCCATCGTTTTATAACAATAACCTCAACTTTTGGTTGCATTGTTTTTAATGTAGTCCTTCCAAAGGTTTTTTTGCAAAGTGCTTGTTGTCATATTTGACCAGTGAAAATGGCCCGATTGCCCTCTAACCCATAAAGCAAAGCTAAACAGCTTCTCAAGTTACCAACCTCCTTCCAGCTGCGACCACAGGAGCAAACTGACATAAAGCGGTTCCATTCGGCACTAGAAACGGCTCACGGGGTCAGAGTTGGAAATTCATGCCTTTATTGTTAGTGGACGCAGCACTTTACAAGGTCTTCTTGTTAACCTCCCTCAATAAGAACACACACACAGATAGAGGGACTGAGAATATTGACTGTATATTGACCACCTACCAGGAAGTCCTCTTCACAGAAAACTTTCCCTCCGACGTAGTAGAAAGCCTTCCCTCTTAGCTTTCGACCTGGAAAAACAAGAAAAAAAACCTTCCGTTTATCACCATAAGATTACCTAAAACCTTTTTGTCACCTGTGGAAACCCATGCTTTATTAATCATAAAGATATGAGGAGAAAGTAAATTAAAGCAGAATAGGAAAAAGGAAAGTCGTAAACATGTCAAAGTGGAAAATCCTGCATGAGATACAATCCAAATCTGAATTTACTTTTTTTTTAATCGTTCCAGGACTACAGCATGAGGAGCTTAGAGATTAATTACAGCCATTGGAAGGTAATGGGCCCTGCTGTAATATTCACCATATCCAAGGAGATAAATCAAAGGGTGGGGATTTATAGTGTGCTGGAGTTTTCATTTAATACTGCGTTGGCATGCAGGACAGCCTGCCGCGGTCGGGACGAGAAATGCATCTGGATCGAAAACGTGTGTGGAAAAAACTGATTGCGTCCAATTAACAGACAGGTGCAAGAGATTAAGCACTCTGCTCTGTTTGATTTCACAGCGAGAACAGGCCAAAGCCCACAAAAACTCCCCTCTTTGTTCCGTTCCAGTGTCGTTCCACATGGTTGGTAGGTTTCCTGTCTGTGTATGGTCTGGATCTCTCTTCTTATATCAATACACATGCACACTTGCAAAAGCTTCTTTCTTGCTTACTTCACATAGCTATTCCTGACCAGGTCCCACAGGAAGAGGGAACATTCCTCAAATTTTCTGAGTGGGGTAAAGTGGGTGGGGTAGATGGGGGTTTTGGGAGGAGACGACAGGAGAACCCTTCTTTCCTGCTATTTACCTGATTATCTGGATACACACGGCTACTTCCAGATTGACAGATTAATCGCAATTAATTTGCAAAGTAGCACAACAAATTGCAATAAAAGTTAGTAGTTAATACAAATTACTCACTTAATGACCTGACTTAATGAGAATAAGACATAACTACATTGAGTCATTTAAGTCACTCTTTCAAGGTGTAAAACTTGGGTAATTATTGACCAAATGTCTCAGACCAAAGTCCTCTGTTAAAGTCAGTTCGGATAAGGGGAATGGAAGTAAGCTCTGGGTCTTTCTCGTCTTCAAATTCCTGTCTCTTTTTTTTTTACCCCAGTGAGTTAAAGAAGGAAAACTCCAAGCTTTTCTGAAAAGATAAGGGCTTAATTAAAGTCAGGCGTCAGGGCTGATGGCTCAAAAAGCACCAGAAAGGACCATGACTGTAGTTCTTTCATAAAAATGTAAAACACCTGTGGGACATTACAAATCACAAAGCCATTTTTCTAATTAAAACCATTCTGTTCGCCCTCAAGACTAATCCCATTGTTGAAAAACGACAATCGATTCAGAGTGACCGTATGACGCCTCGAGCGGTCGCCCTGGTCCTCCCTCTTTTCCCTCGGCTAATTACTCAACTGCTTCTCTTACCCCTCCCTCCTCAAAAATAAAACGTCTTAAAGCTGATTCAGCCTCGCTCTCAATCACTCTCTTTCCTGGTGGAGACGCTAATTGTAGCAAACTCACCAGGAGGAATATTTGGAGGACTTTGTGGGAGTGTGAATGAGACTGGTGGTCAGAGCAGTCGGTTTTCTGTGTGTCGAATTTCAAAGTTTGTTTTCAGAGAGGATAGGGCTCAGCCTCTAACTGTGGCTGATTCTACCTCTCATTATCCACCCTGCAGCAAAGTGCAGCATCAGCTCTGGCTAGTAATAAAAAAAAAATCAGCTGGCGACCAGAATCAGCCCTTGATTGTCCCTCCCGATGACCAGCTGGACAAAAATTCCCAAATCGCATCTTTTTCCAGGTAAACACAGGTTTTTCAAATCACACAATTGGTTTGAACACTTTGGCTAATAGTGTAGAATAATTAAGTCCAGGCTTGCCCTTCAGCCATTTACTGAATAGGGAGCTACAATCAGAAGCTAACGTCAGCTTTGTATCACTGCCAAGGAAAATAGATGGCGCTACTGTAGTGGCTCCTTTGGAAATGTCAGCCAATAGTCTGTCAAGTACCATTATGGCTAGGTATTTCAGCTTCTCAAGATTAATTTTCTTTTGAATATTTTAGACATGTTCCACAAAAGCTACAAAATCTAGAGCTAGAAGCTAGAAGACCCAAATTATTTGGGTCTTTACAAATAATTTGGAATCACATTCTACAGAAAAATCTGCAAATACTGAGCCACAAGTAGGCAGGGGTCGACTGTACCATCATTTTACTTCCCTGCAAAGCTACAGAGTTTTCGTCCATGTAGATGGCTTCTAGTTTGTTCACTTTAATAAAACCATTTAACGCACATGAACACGTTCAAACTTTCTTTCCTATAATTTCCGATGTTGTGGGAAAAAACATAACAGTTGAAGAAAATCCTGTTAGGAACATTCATAGCTAAATGAATAATAGATGACCGCTAATGAAAGTAAGAGGAAAGTTCCTTGAAGAAAAAAACTAAAGCTGCTAAAATCAGTACTGGCACATTAAAACTTCACAAAACATTGGAGTTGCCTTCATCGTTCATGGCTGCGCGTGGTGCGATGCATGCTCCAGCTGAATGGCTGCCCTGTTCACACACTGTCCTCCATCTATTTACACTTTGTTGGACCTACATGGGCCCCTATTCCTGCATTCCTCTGTGGACGAGATGTTTTTTTTCCCCGTGGCCACTTAAAGCGAGCACAACCCTAGTGCCCTCACATGCAGCAAGCTATGAGAGGTATGTAGTGTGTAAACTACGACCCCCCTTGTACCCCACCTAATGTCAGACATCAGCCTCAGTCTCAGCCACAATGCCTCCGTTCTCTTTTATCTCCCGTCTCATACGCAGGACAGAGAGGCTGGGGAAAACAAGAGATGTTTATCGCATCTTTCAGAGCATAACTGTCCGAGGTCAAAGAAGCAGGAGAACAATGAGCCTCAGCGGGGGTTCGCCAAAACAGTGGCACAAATACTCGGCATACCCATGAGTTGATAACTCAAGCAGAGATTTTAATTTGCCGTCATGAGGAGCCACGTTGTATTTCAGTCATTCTGTGCTAGACATAAAGATTCCGGTCAAGAGAAATATTTTGATTGGGATAATGTCTAATACAAAGCAGGAATTTAAAAATGAGGTAGAATGAGGAGACACCCGTACAGCTTTTTGTTGCACTTCATAACTATGCAGCATTTACTGTTGTTCTATTGCAGAAATGTCCAATGAAATACCATAAATTTTATCAGTATGACCTCAAAAAGTTTAAGTATTAATACATTTGCAAGTCATATATTTGTCTTTTTTTACTTCAAAGACTTTCTTCTTGCAATGTTTTTCAGTCCATGGAGGGAGTGCACAGACATTTAGTGAGAATAGAGCAAAAATATAAAGAAAAACATTTCACAGGAGAATTTCTAATCAAGGCTATTATAATATTCTACATTTTCAGAGTGATTACAAATGTAAGCACAGTGTGTAAGAGGAGAATGTTGTGTTACCTTTTTAGAAGTGATAAGTGGTTTCAAGGTTACTCAGTAGTAGCAAAGATATTTGTCAAGCGGTGACTTTTAGCGTGGAGTTCTGAATTTTTTCATCCCCCCCCCCCAAAAAAAAGGTATTCAATTGACAGGTTGATAAATCGGGCAGGTAAATGGTTCAACTCTGTCTTTGTGTGGGCTCAAAGATAGACCGACACACCCGCAAACCAAACACCAGCAATACATGATAGTAATCCCTCCATAATTGTGTGCATTTACGAAGGGAAGGAAACGACTGAGGAAGGTGCCACTTTCTTTCACAGCTACGGGAGCTCAGTAGCCTGTTATTAAGGAGTCATAAGCTCTATATATGGGGCCAAAGGGGCTTAAGTGAGAAGACAAAATCTCACAGTGAAGGAATGGGTGTATGTACTTACTGCAGGCACTGCAGGTGAAGCAGGTGTCGTGGTAGAGGCTACCCATAGCCTGGCAGGCCTGGTTAGCTCTGTAAACCGCCTTGTTACACTTCACGCAAAGCCCTGGAACAAAAAACAGTGATATGGAGAGGATTCACTATGTATTTACATAAAAATACAACTATATATACACAAACAGTAAAAAAAAAATGTTATCCAAAAACAAACACAATGCACCACAGAATTAGCTTATCCAGACAAAAGTCAGGAAGTTGATTTAGTAAAAAGGGAAATATTTCCCAGTCTGTTTGCTTGACTTGGCTCTGAAATCTGGACTTGTGTTAATAAAAGGAGTTGATAAAAATCAAAGTGTGCCTACTCTCACAACACACTCCGCTTGGCTGGTGTGTTATGAAGACACTGGAGTGGAGTCTGTTTAATGATCACACAGACAGTCACGCCAACGTATACACAATAAAATGTGCAAATAAAATAAGAAGCATGTGGCTGTCGAGAGAAATAAGACCCATCATAGAAGCAATGCTTCTTTGATCGACGTAAAAATATCCCTCCTTTGACACAAAAGTTTATATCCTAACCATGTTTTATTTTCATCTAAATATTATATACTTGGTTATATTTACACACGAAGTCTAACAAAGAACAAAAGTCAAGCACCACCAATGTGATGAAAGGTGAAAGAGAGGTAAAACCTGGATTTAGAGCTGGTCTTGATATGTCAGCATTCAACACCAGAACCTCAAGTCAAAACAATAGAGCCTTACTTTGGTCTGTCAAGGCAGGAAAACGATAATTGTACATAATCAGACGAATCTCAAGAACAAGATTCGTCTGATTATGAGCAAGAACAAGATCAGTTGTTCTTGCTCAACTTTCTCTTAGCTCCGATGATAAATCATGTTAGTAGAGTTACACAACACATATCAATGTGTGGTATGTCGTAGTTCCAAATGACTGCCTGCTTGAATGTCCTTAGTAACCAATATTTATATAAAGAAAGGTTTGCCATACACTTCTCACATTTTGCAGATCCTGGCAAAATGTGGGAATTTGTCTGAGTGAACCTTTGGTTCTACAAAGACATTTTTAACAGACTGGTCAGGAACACACCAGTAGGTAAAAGATCAAATCTGCACTTCGCTGCTCTATATTTATGCCTCTGAGCATCCAAAATACAACTTGAGAACCAATACGATGACAGCTTATCACCACTAAGATGCAGTCGGGCGGGTGTCAAATCAATCAGCTATAGTATGGCTATATGGCCTTCCAGTCATCAACCACTGACTTAACACAGGGGGTTTCAGCACTGATGGAGGATGAAACCTTGAGACCTCGAGTTTCCCTTTTCGTTGAAGAATGTACACGCATGGGCACCGAGTTATTTGTGTGTGTTTTTTTATAGAAAAACTCCTGAGGGACTCTTGAATTGGAGCCCAGCAGAGGAGGTCCGCCCAACTCTGCTCCTCCTAAATCACTGACAAAGACCCTTCTGTTTCCACTGTATCCAACAAACATCACATGGCCGACTACTTCAGAAAACAGTTTCACTTAATAACTCTGCTGAGCCAATTTTCTTCTATAATTCTGTCAAAATTTTGGTAGAAATTAGAGAATCATTTCAACAATGACAAAACACTTCATCTGGGGCTCCAATGGCTGGAGAGGAGATTTAGAGATAACAGAAGGATATTATTAGAAAAAATGCTGCTCTTATGTAAGCTATTTGGTTTACATGCATAGTTATAGAACTACTAAAATAAGCAAGTCTCATCATTCAAATCCCTCTTTCTAAAAGCCCAAATGAGATAAGAAAGCAGCACATTTAACATGCTTTAAGATTTGCCTCTGAACAAAAATATACATTTCATTATCTGTTTTATTTCTGATTAGAAAGACACACAAAAAGTCTAAATTGTTTTTTTAAAATGCATTAAAATTCCTGTCTCTGCATCAACCTTGTTGCAGCTTGGGTCATTTACAAGCCTGCCTTTTAAATGGACCGCCTGGGTTCAACCTGGGGGGAAGGGAAGCAAAACACACAGCCGTACTTCTCATTCTACCTTCATCACCTTTTCCAGCTGTCAAAACTCTCGATCGATGGCTGCCTACTGCCAAATATTCCACAGACAGGAAGAAAAAAAATTTTAAACAACTATTCAACCCATGGAGCTCTCTTGAAAGTTTCTAACTGAATATCCAGATCAGAAAAATCATTTTTAAATGAAGTCTTGTACTCAGGTCAGCAAAAGATTTCCACTCTTTCTGGTGCTTTAAGCTCAAAAAATATATGTCTTCGACCTAATTACTTTTCCATGAAGTTTCTACGGGAATACAGAGTCAGGGTGTCTGTGACTCACACTGACTCAAAAGTCGCATTATGGAGTAGCCAATTACAGCCTGCAGCTTGTCCATGTGTAAAACTGGTGGTGTAGTGTGGCCGTACTGTACATACGTACACATTTATTAATGACGAGGAAAAATTCTATTTTACAGCAGCATAATCTCACTGAAAAAAAAACAAAAAATCATTTAACCTTCAATTTGAGAACATAATGGGGGAAGCATCCAATGTTGAAATAATAATGTAAAAAAAAATTTGTTTTTTATTTAAAATTTCATTAAATCAGAGTTTCTATGAGATTTTATTTAGTAATCCACGCCAACTGGTTACCAGAAAAGAGCTTTCCCTGTCCAACCATCACAGACATAAACAGGTGGAGTTTACTCGACTCTACTGGGACTTAAGTTGACATCCATATGCATTTCGTACAGATGACAGACGCAACTTTTGGCAACAAACTCCTGGTGGGATCAGTGTGATCTGTGATGCTACGGCCCGCTTGTCTAACAATACCTTGGGAACTCGGATAGAGTACATGATATCACTTAAATAAAATGTAGTTTGCATCTGGCTGATGCGAAGAGATCAAAGATTAACGTCTGAATGGCTCAAACCTGTGAATTAATATAGAAGACATTTATATATACATATTTAGTTATTTATTTTAGGGTTTTTACATATCTTTACTAGAATTACTACATGTCTGTAGCTATTTTAAAGCTGAAAGGTCCAAAAGAGTCAACTTATTCCCGATACATTGGGCAACATTTGCATAAATCACTTGATAACTGAAAGTGGAAATCCACTTTCAATCCTGTGAAATATACAGTAATGTTTCATTCATGGATTCATTTCCTAACTTTTACCAGTGCGCACAGAGCAACTCTAAACTCTGAGCTGACATAGGATATTACATTCTGTCAGCCATATATTCACAAAGATGTTCACATGCGCATGAAGGGCCATCACACACTCACACACACAGGACCGGGACCCCAAAAGGCCTGCCAGAGAAGAAGCCAAAAAAAATCCCTGGGAAGAGTTAATATGGTGCTTTTTGACTCCACAGCCAGATGGGATGAATTAATCCTTCATCTTAACACAACATTAAACCCTCCAGTGATTGAGAGTGTGAGTGTGAGTGTGTGTGTGTGTGTGTGTGTGTGCGTGTGTGTAAAACTCTGGTCCCACCACTTCTCCCCATCTTGGATGAACTTGCCTGTAAATCTAGCATTCTTTTATTCCCATGGGGCCAAATACAAAAGACACATCCACAAACGTTGCCCCCAAAGCTCTCCAACTGTCCACTCATCCATTCATCTGCACACCAGGCACCCCTGAACTTGTTTGGGTACCACCACACCTCCCTTTTGTGTCTAAAAGCCTCATTTTAAAAATTCCTGCAGACATTCCTTCGTGTTTCCCCAGTGCAGCCATTTGGCACAGAACACCATTTCTCAGAACCTACATCTGCAGTTATGCCGATCGGCAAAGAGTAGTCATGGGAAATGTGATGCATCTGCCTTCAGGACACTGCTTGGTGAAAGTTTCACAGGCAAAGACTTTTAGAAGCACAGTCCTACTAAAAAAGAAAAAAAAAGTGATTTAATAACTTACAGCTGCAGCTGTGCTACTGATAAAAAATATATAAAATGTGTTTAAAAGTATTAGAAATGGCATTTTCCTCACGGAATTAGGAAGATATTTTATGATGACAAGAAAAAAGGCCTCCACACTGTTTTTTTTTTAATCTAGCATGAATGCATGACTCAGAATGAGCCACAGTGTGGTGGGAAACTCCAAATTGGAACAACTGCATGTGTGGGCTGTGTGGGATTGAGCATGTAGAACTGTGTATTTGTATACACTTTTAGTGTATTATTTATAAGCTACACATTTCGTGGCTGCACATGGATCCTGTACTGTCCCACACGTCTAACGTTCACGTCAGGAGGATATTTACGAGCCGCGTCGTGACAGTCCCATGCGCTGCAACTTCTTCCATTACACACCAACAGAAGGGAGGGGGAGCGAAGAAGGACTGTGAATTGCAATCGTGACATTCCAGCAGGAAATTCCTCTTGGTAGGAGGAAACGGTGATCGCTTTGCAGAGCTGCTTCATCGCAAATGCATCACCTTTCATTTACTATCCATGATTGGACACTGCTGAAGTAGGACACACTTATTTTACATTTTATCTCTTCTTGCGTTTCTTTCAGTAGATGAGAGCTTACAAGCTGACTTTATGAAGGATATCCTTTTGAATGCCCAGCTACAGCGTCCAAAGCCATTTATACTTCCTTGAACATTTGCACAAACTAAACTGATAAGGGCAATGAGAACATTAATCACAGAAGCAGCCAAGAGCTCGTAGTAGCTCTGGAGGAACTGCAGAGATCCACCAGAGAAGCTGCTGCAGTCACACACTGAAGAATCTGATCTTTGTGGAAAAATGACAAGAAAGATGAATGTTAAAAAAAAGCTAAAAGAAGTCTCGTTTTACAGACTTCTTTGCCTGGACACAGCAAACATGTTGAAGAAGGTGATCATCGAATGAAACCACAAGAAAACTTTTTGGTCAATATGCAAATTGCTATGTGCCGTAGAAAAACTAACAGAGTTAATTGAGATGATTGATGATGTTGAACCTGAGTAAAATCTAAAACTAAGACTAAGGTTGTCCATCTTTGACATAGATTAAACATAATTATGTGCAGAATGGTCCAGTCAAAGTCCAGTTCTTAATACCAATGAGAATCTGGTGATATTCAGAGACTTTTCATTCAATCTAACAGAGATTGAGTTATGAGAAGGTGCAATGATTGTTGTCTGTAGATGTGCAGAGAGGAAAGAGACACATCCCAAAAGACACGCAGATGTGTTTGGAGTAAAATAAGATTTTTACACGGTATCAATTTAAAAGTGGCTGATTAAACGCATACCACAGTTTTCATTTAATGCATAAAAAAATATAAAAAATCTTCCATATCACAAATATGTGCAACCTTCTGTGTCTCCATCGCATGAAGTCTCAATGCATTCCAGGTCGTGGCTGTAAAATGACAGAATGTGGTAAAACTTCTACAGGTTTGCAAACTTTTGTGAGGCACTGTGAGCTGAACATCACTGTTCTGCTGACATTTCTCTGCACCCTTGGCAACAATGGTGGAACTCAACACGCGCTCCGGCAGGTATTGAAACGCTCAGTTTGGGAGAATTGAAAAATGTGCAAGCACAGGTCTATGGAAGTCATTAGCTAAAAACAGTGGAGGCCATTGTCAGTCAAAGTAAACACCGGGAAAAACACGCTAACACACGAGCTCAAACACTGCACTGAAGATATTTGTATGTCGAAGCTCTAATTGCTGTTTTACTATCCTTGTGTCAACGATGATAAAGTGATCTCTGGGAAGAGACAATAAGAAAGCCATTTTTTTTAATCACCTCAAGGCTTTGTTTGGAGAAGACAAAGATGGATTATTGTCTAACAAACTAAAGTAAAAATTGTTCTGCAAGACAAATTCAAGAATTTATCAGTAAAAACACAGGACATTTGTTTATGTGTGAGATGTGGCAGTCAGTGTGTATAACATGAAATCAAAAACAAAGGTTTGTGTCCTGGAATGTGAGTGGGTGCTTTTTGTCATTCGGATGATGATAAACTGACAGAAATCCCCTTATTGGTGTCGGCTAGTCTTACCAAAGTAGTCTGATTTTGGTTGGGCATCCATCTCTTTTTCCAGTTGTTTCGTAAGTGCCTCTAGTTTGATTTCAGCTGCAGAGGGCTCCTGCTCCAGTGGCTGCGCAGGCTGAGCGGTAGGCGATATCTGGATCGGTTTAGGGGAGGACGAAAGCTGGTTCTTCAAGGCACATGGGGTTGCAGAGGTCACCTGGGCTTTAGGTTGAGGCATTTCTGGGACAAAGGAAGTGGCTGCAGGCCCATTGTGGTTAACAGATTGCAAGTAATGACTCACAGGCTGCTGCACATGATGGTCAGCATCACCTGTGAAGGCGGTCAAAGGAAAAGCAGGGATGCCCTCTGATGTTGGAGCACCAGTGGGCTCTCCAGTCCAAGCCCTGGCTGTCCCAGCAGAGGACAGCGGACTCTGACTGGTTGCTTGTGAAGGACTCACGGTGGAAGATGTGTGCAGGCGCTGAGGCTGATGGTGGGATGCGCTGCTCCCTGAGAGAGTGGGGGGCAGCTTGCCCTCTCTGGATGGGGGGACAGGGAACAGAGCACTGGCAGCGGGACTTCCACAACTTGGCATGGAAGAGTTATTATGATGGGAGGAGTGTGGCTCCAAGCGCTCGTTGTTATCACAACTGCTTCCGTAGCCGTACATCCTGCTGGCTGGAGCTTCAGCCTGAACACACTGGGTCACCGGCACCGGGCCCGACAGGATCGGGGGCTTCGCCGCCGCTTCCCCGGGCTGCTTGTAGCTGTTGATGGGCGGTCTGTCCTTGGTGTAATGACCTCCGTTCATTTTAATCACCTGGCTGCTTTTTGCCATCTCCTCCTGCTGCTTCTGCATGTGTATTTTGGTCATTTTGGAGGCAAAAACCTTCCGAGTTTCCTCAAAGTCCGGATTATTTCCCGCATCCCTCCGCATTCGAAACAAGCCATCTCTGGACGCTTCATACATGTTCAAGTCCTCGATAAACTTACTCGCTTCGAGTCCCAAATCCTCGTATTTATCCATATTTTTTTTGTGTGTGTGCAAGAAGCCCGAACCGCTTGCTGTGATAAAGTTGCAAGAAGTTCTATGTGAATCAAAAATGTCCGTAGGAAGAGTGATGCCTCCAGAGTTTGAAGTCTTGACACTGAGAGAAGAAAGAAAACAGTCCGAACAAAGTCAAAACTACTTTAAATGAATCCCAACTTCTCTGTGTTCCTAACTGAATCATCCGCGGGAAGAAAAGAGAAAAAGTTTCCCCCCGGTGAATCCCGTCAATTCAGCCTCGAAGGAGCCGCCGACCGTCTGACTGAACGGCCAGACGGAACCCGGATCAGACACTCTGACTGGACAGGACGAGCCCTCAGCCGTTAGCCCCCTCCTTCTCCGCCTCCGCCTCCTCCTCCGGTTTCACGGTCCCAGCGGGAAACATTCAGACAAAACTTTGTCCTTTGCGCTTCAAACGAAGAAGAAGAAAAAAAAAAAGCCCACCACGTTTGTTAAAGACAAAATAAACGCTTGGCTGAAGTCAGGTCGGTTAACGGATAGGACCCGTTAGCCGCTGTTACCGCCGTTGGAAGGAGCCATACGTGGCCACCGGACGACAGTTAGGACACAAAGCACTGAACCGTTTTTAAAGGCGCAGTACTCACATTACACTCGACTTACAATATATCACTTTCCTAACCGAGTTAGCTTTACCGATGGACAAAAAGTCGCCATGTAAATTTAAAAAATGCTTTATTTATTTTTCTTAAAGTTTCTCCAATGTAAAAATTTGTTGCGTTATCCTGACACCCCTAAATAAAAACCAGGGCTTCACTTTTTCAGAAATCACATCCTAAGTAATTAGAGCCCACCTCCTCGCAGAGGTTTGTTAAAACATTACACAAAGAGACTTTAGGTTATACTTTCGAGCTCTGTCGAAAACCTGACAGAGCTCTATTCTCAAACCACCATCCAAATAAGGAATGTGTGATTCAACTGAGCAAAACATCAGCACAATACAAATGCACTTTTAATATTTTTTACAAGTACTGGTATTCATTTTGAAAACCATTCACTATTTCACTTGATAAATTGTCCCCTGTAATAGTTATGTACTGGTGGTGATATGAATAGTTTTGCAAGGCAGTGTTCATCTGTTTATAATAAAAAATAAAAAATAAAAACTCTGGCGCACACACCCTTGAATATTGTTTGTGAGATATTTCAACTTTGCAGTAGTGGATTTTTTTTCTTTCTTTTTAATAAAAGCTCAGAAAACTAACAAATATTGAATAAAAGTTTTGTATGAAAAGTTATTTTGTATTAATCAAGAACATTAATTGAAAAATTAAAAATAGAGCATGACGAGTTTACAAACTGATAGTCATATATGCAAATATGTCACAAATATAAGCATGTAAACAGAATGTCAAAGGAGGCCCATGCCTCGGCCAGCGGTTAGATTAAAATAGTTTACACCACAAGCCTTGACTATCCATGTAAAGAAGATGCAAAGACAGTGAAACTTTTAAGAAGTTAATCAAACAATAAAATTAAAAATAGATTGCAATCAATGTATTTATCATATTAACGATTTTAATCAAACTTTATTAAAAATGTTGAAACGAGGTGTTCAAATTGTGCTTTCACAAACACTGGATGCGTCTAGCTATTTATTGTAAACTGAATATTTTATGTGAAACATAAATATGCACAAACGAGAAAACGAAAAGAAACCACTTAAAACGACAACTGTTGCACTTGTTCTGAAATTTAACTGTAGATTTCTCAGACTACACAAATAAACTCTTACATGTATATTTATCTCCCCCAAAAAAAGAGAGAAGGTAATTCAGACAGATAGTGCATCCTAATTGTCCTGCTCAGGAGAATTTTGCAGCAGAAACATTAGAAAGAAGCAATATTCATCCAGTTGTCAATAGTCATGATTTGCAGATGGATTACAAAAGAATAAAACAGTTTAAATAGTTTGAAGTATCAGTATCAGGAAAAAAAAAACATCCACAGCATAATATAAAAATCATGCACACTGACGGGAGATGATTTATTTGTTTTGAAACTGATTTGTTAGTTTAATTGTACAGTTGTATCTGTGTCAAAACATTGTTGTGGTTTCATTCTTTGCATCCTGAAGATATTGTAATTTAACAGGGGTGTGTACACTTTTAAAAGCCACCATATTCCAAGATACAGTCACACAGTTTTGGTACTGAAGACTTGAGAATGCTGTCAAAAATAAATAAATATAAAAAAAAACACAAAAAAAACTACATGTCCTGTACAAATTTAGATTCCAGTGCAAAACAGGACATATGACATATGGACATTTCTGGACAACACGTGGGATATTGTTGCTTTAGAATTTGACAATTTTGCATCTACTCAGTTTGTATTTACTTAACTTTATCCTAAACACAGCTAAGGGAATTGCTGCAATTTGCTTAGACAGTCAAATGACGTCAGGAACATCCTCAGAGGATCAAACCTCCTTGTGGTCAGCCTCTCACATAATGAGCTCCAGCATTACTGTGCCCTCCTGTGGGAATGCATAACCCAGTCCAGAAACTAAACTGGCGCAGTGAAGGGTGACTGGGACTGCACTGCTGCACGCCCCACCCTTTTTTTTTCTCTTTGTCTTTTAGAGTTTCTCAAGAGGAAAAGAAGCGATTTACTTTAACGCACTAAAGATAACTCATGGTGCACAAGGCTACGGCTGGGGTTTGAAGACAAAGTGAGTCACTGGCAGCACTTCCCTGTTCAAAGTTGTCATGGAAACTGCAGAGCTGACAAAAAATGTTTGATGGTATGGCGGAGGCCGACGGTGACAAAATTAACTGTCAGAGGAAATGCATCACTGCAGCTTAGGCCTTATTTCTTCAAATAAGAAATATGTTCAATCTTAATTTGTAGTTTTGGATTTTCTGGCAGCTCTAAACTAATCCAAAATAAAGTCGCATAAACTAATTCGACTGATAAAGTGCTGCATTAGTATATGAGTTGCAACAATGACTCAAAAATAAATTAGATGTTAGTTTAAAAAAGAAGATTGTGTGTGCACTATTTTTATTCCATACAATCATTTGGGGAAGTTGAAAGAAAACAAAAATCTGAAGTGACAGAAGATAAAGAGCCTCTATCCTTGGACTTTCCATTTTGTGCTGTGACAGCGTTTGGCTGAGCTTAGGTGTGCATATTTAACAGGGAGAATAGCTAAAACAGGTTTGGCTCTGGTTCTCTTATTCCTGGCCTTTCTTCCTGTTATTCTGTCCGTCCTGAAAGCGCTTCCTGTCACCTGATGGCGGGTCATAAATCACAGAAATATGAAAAGAGTCTAAAGGAATGTTCTGCTTTACTCTCTCTCTGCAGTTTGTCTTGGGCAAATGCAGTTTGCAAAATGGCACAGAGGCGTATTTTGAGATGATGCCGTTGTTAAAGTGCTGATATTAGAAAATTCTTGTGTGGGATGCAAATTTTCAACACACACCTACAAAAAAAAATCTTGTGGGTACTGCAAGGTTGTGAAAGACAGACGCTTGCATATATCAGATGACTGCTTACTCACACGGGCTTTAAAGATAGGCCAGTGGGTGGGCACGCAGATAGATTTCATCGCCTCCGGCTTGTTTGCTCGTTGAGTGCAACACTAATGGCCAAGTCATGGTGGCCCACTGCCACACAGACACAGAGCTAATGAACAGGCGCCGCTGGTGATGGGGCACTGAGCAGCTATGGATAATCAAGAGGTGATGGCAGAGTAAAAACAGATCCACCCCACCCCACCCCACACCAACCACATTAGTTAAATCCCACTCACCTTTTGACGGCAGGCTGAACCCGACAGGGCTTCTTAAAACCCAAACAGCAGCTTACGTACAAGAATATTCAGCCACATTGAACTTTTTTTTTCCAGAAATGAACTCAAAATTGTGCAGAGCAACAATGTCTAATGAGAATAATTAGATGAACAATCTTTTCATATCTGACATTTTTATTTCCAAACGAATTATCAGAAAAGTGTATTCCCATCTGTGTCTGTCCTTCTGACTCCCCTAAATAAAATTTATCACAGGTAATTAGCAGAAGCCACTTGTTTTAATTTAGTCTCAGCATAAACCCATCGAATTTGGTGAAGGTTCACAGCTAACAACAGCTGTAGGTTGTGCGCTCCACAAACCTGGCCATTACAGGAGAGTAGCAAGAAGAAAGACATTCCCAAAATGAAACATGGTGCTGAGAGCAGTATCAAACTATTGTGATCATTATTGTTTTTTAATGGAAAGAGCAGGGAGGTTGCTCAAAGTTGATGGATGGAGTTAAATCTAGAACAATCATGAAAGAAAAACCTGTAGAGGCTGCAAAATTTTCAAGCTTTCTCTCGGAAATCTTGAAAATAACTGTTCACAGGCACCTTCCAATCTGTCTGACTGTCTTTAAGCTATTTTGCAAAGACAGTCAGACGGAAAAGGAGGGTGTGCAAAAATGTCAGTCTCTAGATGTGCACTCTGTGTTGCTCAGAATAGCTTTTCAGCACTGATAAGGGATATCTGAACTTGGCCGAGAAGCAGTCCAAACAGAGAAATGTGAAATGGTGGCACAGAAGACGTCATACATTCGATGAGTGTGTGAAGGTCATCCGAGCTTGACACTTGGCTTCATAATTTATCAACAGGTTGAGTAAAACTGAAGGCTTCTGAACCTACCCTGGTCAGGTTTGCAAACATTACCCACACTCCTCTTGTTGAATGTTTTATTAAAAACTGCAAAATATAAATAAAATGTTCTTAGAGGATATTTACATTGAGATTTTAACAGACCAACATACCTTCTCTCATATGATATCAAAATATCTACCTTATTTGTCTGTCTGTCTGTGCGTGCAGCAGGACGGCACTGCCCGCCAGGTGCTGCACACAATCTGGTAAACACCCATACATCATTCATTAACCAGGAAGTTGATGAGGGGAGTCCTGGGAGAGAGGATGGCTTTCTTGATGTCACGCTCACTCAGATGCTTCTGTCCAATGGGGCTCTCCATCACCAGCTGCTGGACCCGGCTGGGATCTTTGGACACCTGCAGAGGGATCGTCATCTTGCCACAGGGCTTGTTGTTTATCTGGTGGCAGGAAACAGAAGGTAAGAGACGAGAGAATGTTCCAGTTCTTCCTCTGAAAGGTTTTCATCATCTGGCAAACATTCGTCCTGATGGATTTGTACCTAAACTCTTTCTTGGAAAAAAAAAAACCACCCTCTAAAATAACACACTCCATCTCTACGTCTGCATATGCAGTGCACTCTTTCAAACACATAGTTAGTGGTAGGTATGGGAAGGCCACTCAGTCATGTGTGCTCAGAAGCAAGTGCATGCGTGCACATGCTGAATGTGATCACGTCTCTGGAAGTGCTCGCAAATTAATAGTGTGTGGATGCATGTATGTTTCTGAGGCCCCTCAGCTCAGCCACGTCCTCTATTCTCCCTTGGGTTTATCCCACGTATTTGGGACAAGCCCAAGTGCATGATTAGAAGAAAGAGGGCGTGAGGAATCCCACAACAGACAGTTGAGTCCAAGGGAAAACCAGCCTCATTATCCTCGATGACTGGGAGTTCAAACGTGTGCGCTTACTCCAAGTTTGGAAAAGGGGGAACATTGGGAGATCTTCACCTCTGTCAGACCAACTCTGGGAAATAAGTAAAATCTCAGTTTTGGGATTAAAATCAATGCAGAGCACAAGCTACCTATCTGATAAACCATAATCAAATATCATGTGTGTCTAAATTGATTTTATACTAAAACAGCAGAATATTATTTTCCTCTGCTACTAGTGATAGTTATTGGTAGCTAAAAGCTTAAGTTAAAAAGACAAGAAGATAGAAAAATCAGTACACATTGTTCAGACTAAGAGTCTTCAACCTGTGGTTTCAGAGTCTCACACCCTTTGGTCAAAAAAGGCTACAGAATCAGGCAATGTATGAGCATACACACCATCACAAATGACATTATATTTAGTGACATACAAAAATGCAAGCTAAAGAACTCTGCAACAGGACTTTCTTGTAAAGCAAATTTCTGCAAATGTTTTCTATGCTTTCTACAAAATCTTTTCAAAATTTTCTTCAAACACTGGCTGATAGTCTCACTTTCTCTGCAGAACCAAATCTTTTTCGGAGGAATTTTTTTTTTTTAATTTGTTTATTTCTTTATCCACTCAACTCAGACCCATAAAAAAATTCAATCTTGAAAAAAAAATGTCATGGCTGAAGAGCTTTTAGCTAGAAGCTTGAAATAAAATACAACTAAATATTGATACATCTCCAAACTCCTGCATAAGATCTTTGCAACTTTTCTCTTCCGATTCCAAAATACATTATTTTTAGATATAATTCATCGGCTACAAATAGTTACATTTAGAACCTAAAACAATTTCTTTTGTTTTCACACTGACAACATGCTGCCATAGGTAGGCGCAAGAACAGGATGAAAAAAATAAGTGAAAAGGCAGCCAGAATGAAAATAACTTTTGCAGACCTTCAAAAAGTCAAAAGGGCTCATTTTCTTTTCTTTTTTTCATGGCAGTGTACTGGCCAAATTACTCCTACAGAGTTCTGACTGATAATAAAGGCTCCAAATATGCACATATGACACACACATATCACAAGCCAGAACAATAGTTTATTTTTATTTTTCCAGACAAATTTGTCTGTTCATGCTGAATTCCATTGCATTACCTGCTAATGTGCTTATTCCTAAGGGAGTCTAAACTTCAACCCTCATTGAATACAACCAGAAAACATGCTTCAAGCCTTTGAACTGAAAAATTTACACCATGTTGTGGACATCCTTTTTAAGGCTCATAAGGAAGACACACCCTTGTGATGTGACAGATTTAGGTCTCCACAACATGAGTAGTAACTAAGACACACACCCACACACATTTCTGAAGCAAAAACTTTCACTGTTTTTTGAGTCAAACCCAAAAAAGAACTACAAAGAGGAAATACCAGTGAGGAGTAACACCGCAATTCTGTTGCAAACCTAATTACGGCCGTCACGTCTGTTTAGTTTAAACTGCACCGCTTGCCCTGCTGGCACATACACTGACACACACAGGTATTTGCATTAATGCAGTCATGTGCACACTGAGGCTAATTATAGTCTCTGCTGAAAATTACAGAGTTTGAATGTAATCATGAGCTGAAATGTTGGAGAGTTTGAGTGGAAAATGACTAAGGTTTTTGGTGTTCAAGAAAAAACTACATTTAGAATAGAAATTACTCAAAAATAAACTTAAAGAGTTTGCTTGACCTCTTTATTTATTTAATTGGTTCCTGTAATGGCAATTAATTGGAGCAATTTCGTGTTCATGTTGCCAAAATATATCAAACAGATGATAAGTATCCAATTTGCCAGTTGGATTATCAAAAGAACAGCATCGACGCTGCTAACAAACCCAAGCTAATGGACTGTGAAGTTCATTTGGAGGTCCAAAATAACAAATGTATTTCAAAACTAGAGACTCAGTCTTATGAGATTTGTTTATAAGGTAGAATTTTAAGAAGTAGTTCACTGATACCTTTCAAAATAAAAGCACCATTATTTCAGGGATTAGGTTACTGAAACATAGCGGCACATTCGCAGATGTACTAAGTAGGTAATAACAAATGCACAATATTTGGCTTTCAAAGTGAAAAGCCTCAGTTATTTTCCTGACATTTATTAGTATCAGGAAAATGAGACCGAATTAGCATTTTAAGAATAAAAAAATAAATGTTATACACAAATGAAAATCTCAATGTTTTATAAGTTACTGCAACAGTTTGTTCCACATTATTAGAACATAATTATTCTTAAAAGAAGGTAAATTATGAAGTAACTGACACAAACCAGTAATGCTTAACTTTCAAAATAAAATGAATGAAGACTCATCAAACTGGATTTTTCATGTTGTGATCATTAAACCGGTACGGTTCAGATTTCTCGAAGAGTGTCTCGACTGAAGCTGACATGCATTAGTCTAAACCAGGCATGAGGAAAACATTATGGCTTTAAACCGCAGTATGTAACAAGTGGCAGGCACAATTAAAATCCTTTCAGGAATTTTTCTACGTATCACTCAAAGTTTGTCACTTTTATTAAATGTTCCAGTTGCTAATAAATCATCAGTGCATCATGCAATCCTACCAGTACAGACAGCTCCACAAATTCAGGGACCTCCAAATACTCGGGGTCCACGTTTGGCCAGGGCTGCTGCAAGACATCGCCTCCCCGCAGCAGCAAGGGGCTCTGGGGGTTTGTCACTGTGCAAAGACCTGGGGAGGAGAGAACACAGAAGGGCATTCAGACTAAATATAGAAATGCTGAGGTGCTGGTAAGCAGCTGTTAAATGTGTCTCAGTTTGGGGGAAAATACAATAAGATGACATAAAAAGGCTGAAAAACAGCTAAACGTTGCACCCGTTGTTCTGACTCCCAGTTTAACCAGTGCATCACTCTGCAAGAATGATGCACACACTCAGAGGAAGGATGTGTACTTCCTCCATCCTGAATGGTGTGTGTGCGTGTGTAAAATTACACAAGCCACCCAGAGTGAAAGGCCCAGCACAGCTGAGTGCAGCAGAGGTCGTGTTGCTCTGTCCTGTTTATGAACTGTTTTTGGAACTGAAATGCATGAGCACAAACAAAACTGAACAAACACTCCTTCCTTCCAGCCATCATCGGTCAAGTTTTCCAGACTCTGCCCATCAGCTGGACCAGTGTGCATTTCCACTGTGTTGAAAGCTTATGTACGTACGTGTGTCAGCAACAATAAAGGCTACAAACCGGCCAAGTTTCCACATGAGCCACAAAAGGTAACACTAGATCTTCCTCTCTATTGTTCGCTCACCGCAAAAAGTCAAACCGAACCGACTGCTAGAAAGAGAAGTGAACGATTTCAGTTAAAATGTACTGAACAGACATGGACACATCTCTTAGCACAGCTGGTAAAGAGGTGTCAAAATTTGTGAAATGATTGCTGCAGTGTAATCTCCATAGTTAGAGCAATCCAACCTTTAACTTAAATGCAGCTATTCAGTGAGAAAAACAATCAGTCAGTAAGAAAATGAATTAAAAAAGGGACACATGACATAAATATTGATCTTCCACAACAATTAACCGCGACTGCACTTTTCTTCAATTCTTGATTTATTCTTGATATTTTTTTAAAGTAGACAAGGTTCTCAAAACCTCTAATTGCTTACTTCTAACTTCTGGTTTCTCTGGGTTTTCAACTTGAACCCATTTCTAATGTCCACTATCCACAAAGTTGGACGAGATCCTACAGAACGCTGCACTGAAGAGGATGATAGGGAAGGTAAACAAATTTCCAAAGTCCTCCGTTACAGAACAGCAAACAAAAAGGACGAATATATGGAAAAGCGCAGTTAAATATAGAGGAAGATCTGTGATGCTGCGGGCCTTTTCCTCCAGAATAATAGAAATACACAAAACAAGATAAAAATGGGATGAGGGCCAAAAATTGTTAATGTGAGATTAAGCTTCTGTAATAATATATGAATCTATATTAAGGTTTTCACACATCTTTCACTGAATCTGCCAATAACTGTGAATGGCACTGTAATAGTGTTAAACTGGCTGTAAGAATAGGTATTACTATGCTAGATGTGTTTATAAAATGTTACTTCCTCTAAAATAATGCAGAATAATCTAATTTTAATATGAGCTTCCCTAATCAATGCTATCTTAGAATCAATGCTCACTTTAATGTGTTAAAGTGAGCCCCTGTGGGATTTTAATTATATAAATATGTTTTAAATTCAGAAGGATGCACACTCCTCCACACGTGTGTAAACGGTTGAGCCATAATTAGCAGAAACCATGTCACTCACCTGCCCAAAGCTCAGAGGCCAAGTGAGGAGCCATGGGTGCCGTCATTATAACAAGGGCAGCCAGAGCTTCCTCAAACTCCACACTGTGCTGTAGGACTCGAACTGTCGCACTCTAATCACGCAGAAAAACATGTTAAAATGTGAGATACGCAGCATGTTTTAAACAGTCACCGAGACGGATTTGCTGAAGATAATGAAGGACATGCTCACACTCAACGTGTTGGTGAGGCCCATTAGACGAGAGAGGGCTGCGTTGAACAGAAAGTCTTTAGTGAAGTGAGCTGTCACCTGAAAATATGAACACAATAAGCTGATTAGACCAATGAAATTGGCATTTTGTATTTTATTATTAGACACAAGATATGCAATATGGATGAAAGGACTTTAGGCTCAGTGTTCCCATTCTGGGGAGAAGAACCCGATTTAGAAACGCCCGAGAAGAAGCTTGATCAGTGTGGCTTTTCTGTGAGACGCATCAAAGGCCGGCCTCAGCTTTAAGGCCTTTAAGCAAACAGCCTGAGGTCCTTTAAAAGCTCTGAATCCGACATGAGGAGGGAGGGGGATCCGACCTGGCAGCCGAGGGGGAGCTATATATAAAGTGTGAAAGGAGACACAGTGGATTTAAAATCAATTTCCATCCTCTTCTGCTGTTGCTCTTTACTCTAGGGGTTTCAGGTTGCGACAGATTCATCAACACGACTGGGAAACGTAATGAGTAATGTATTACTGAGGTGTGATCATGTATATACTTTCTAACTGAGAAACAACAGCTTGTCCATGCTTACACTTTCTATGCCAAGTGTCATGCAAAACTTCTTCCTCCAGAACCTCCAGAATAGATTTTCGCAAAGTTTTCACAAGCCTACTTCATGTTGTCAGACAGGTTCTATTTCAGGGATTTGCTAGGCAATCATCAACCATGGGACTGGCTCATGAAAAATCAACTATTTTGTTTGAAAACTGGAGTAATCATGATTAAATCATGTTTGTTTTCCTTGCAATGATGAAATAATTATTTAAAAAAAATTCTTTTCAGCACTGAGGTCATTATTGTCTGACATTAAAATCAATTTGATGAGCTACTTACACAATAGCAAAAACAGAAAGAAGCATTTTCTGCATTTACTTCCAATTCCACAAAACAATTATGTGAAACCGCCATACATTTTAGTAAAGTAGTATGAGGTTCTTTCACTGCTTTCAAGCTGCTGGACCAACTTGAGTCACGTCTGTTTCAATAATTATAACCCTCAGACCAGCAAAATATGGACTAGAATATCCTACACTAAATTACAACTTAAAAAAATACATTCATGATCTTAGAATGTTGTATATTTGTTCGCAAAAAACCCCACCCAAAAAACGATGCTTTGATGCATTACTTGGCATTTCACAAAATCTCCTAAAATTATTTTCTATTTATTGCTGAAATGTTGAGATGCTCTGGAAATTGACGATTTTCTAAAAGATAATTTGAAGTGTAAATGTCACAGAAAATCTGAATAAATAACTTTCTGTAAAAAAAAAAAAAAATCTGTGAATTCAAATAAGAGCTCATTCCTGCCCTCTGCTGGTAAAAACTCTTTCAATCTCACTTTTTAATGACGTGATTAAAAGTTCATTTTTAAAACACAGGAAAACTTTAGTGGACATTCTTAACAAAATCAGCAAGCCAACACTAAAAAATAGCCACCTCTTGAACTGCATAGTTCTTGTTCCCCCAGATCTTCTTGACCTCTCCAAGCTCTTTCTTTTTCAGCAGCGAGGGGTTCGGGACATCGCCGAGTTCTCGAGCTCCTCTCAGCTTTGTCACAAGCTGCCAGAGTCGAGTCTGCCAGCGCAGAACCCCTGGAAGTGCATCAGCTGGAAAACAGACAAGAGGACAGAAAGAATATTCTGACACTTCATAGTTAAGAAAAACCTAGAAATTCTGACAATCATGTTGTCAAAAAAGATTCTTTCTTTTAAAAAATACTCTCACAAAATCACTATGTAATAACCCGACTCTAAATTTAAATTTATTGATGACTTAATTTGTCCATGTCATTCTGCAGTAGCAGCCAGACTCACTCTTGACGTTCCAGAGGATGTCTTGTTCGGGAGGAGCAGCGTAAAGGATGTAGAGACGGACGGTGTCCACGCCGTACTTCTCCACCACCTCCTGAGGGTCCAGCCCGTTGTGTTTTGACTTGCTCATCTTCTCAAAGGTCACCTCGACTCCGCCGCCGCTCAGAGCCACCGGCCCCTTCCCTGGATCATAAGACAACGACGTCAATCTCATCATGTTAACACATAAAATGTTATGAATTTAAATCTACTGTTTGCTCATCCCATGTTCAGCAATATTGGACGAAAGAAAACTACAACGCTTTGAAAAAGCATTCAGATCCCTTCAATGATTTCAGATTTTATCATGTTTTATGTCTGACAACTAAAGTACACTGAATTTTTTAAATCTAAGAAAGAACAAAATAGTGAAATGTGCGATGTGCATTTGTATTAAGCCCCTTAACTTTGATACCTCTAAATAAACTCCAGTTGCTGTTCTATGAAGGCCATACAGGTTTGTTTGAGAACTAACAACGTAACAATAAGATACTGCTAATATCTCACAAGAAAGTGGAATTGGTTTTGCAAAGAGACTAAATGTGATCAGGTTAAGAAACATGAACATATATGCCAATTATTGTATGATTATTACATTTCTAAACTGTAGACTGAATATCCTTGAGTGAAATTATTTATGTCGTATTTTGAGCTTAGTAACTCATTTTGTTAGTTTTCTAATCAGGTTAAGTTGGGAATAACTTAGTACAATTAAAGTACAATTGAACAAAAATGGCTTACTATCAAAAACATGTAGAAAACTTAAAAAATAAAAAAGTAAAATAACTCTTTTATTTTCTGAACTCTGTGAACAGAAGCTCTCTTCACCCATTTATTAAAAATGCGTCACATTGACAATCACTCAGCAGACCGAGGTGCAGCATACCTGTGAACTCGATTTCCTCTTTCTTCAAATACTGCCCACTGCCTGCCAGTTTAAATGTCTGACCTTTGATCAGACCTTGAACCAAAAGTTTTGAAAACGGCTCCCTGCAGAGCAAAAAGTTCATAAGCTGATGTGCAAATTAAATATACATGCATGCCGGGAGAAGATATGCAAATGCAGTCCACCTGTGAGTCACAAGGCCTTGATCCTTGCAGAAATGGCAGAGGAAGCGGGCGTAATACAGGTGCATAACGGCGTGCTCCTTCCCACCGATGTACACGTCCACTGGAAGCCAGTGATCGGCGAATTGACGCTCAAAAGGTCTGCAGACAGAGGGTCCTTTTATTTTTTAGTAACAAAGCTTAATTAATATACAGAATCCTGAAATAATGTCCTTATGATCAGTCATAAGTTCTTAAAAAAACGTAACTTTGTTACTTTCCCCAACATTAATAATGAAAACAATAATTCATTTGTTCCAATAAGGGATTCATCAAAAGAAATAAAATTGTGAAAATAAATTATTTTTTGTCTCTTCACAAATATTTGTTCAAACAGAACAAATAGATCAGATGGTAACCATAGAGACAGCATTAATCACTGTATCAAGGTCATGTTGTCGTCCTATTTAGAGTCAGTGTTCACCAGCCTTCAAAATGTTCACCAGCCATTAGGGCTCTTGAAAAAGAACAAAAACCCTGCTGCTGGGTTGTTTTGGATTGTTGTGTCCATCAAACTCAGAGAAAGCAAAGTGGAAAGCTGTCTGAGGAGCTAAGAGACATGTTAAGGGTTAAGGCTACAAAACCTCCACAGGACGTCTAAGAAGCTTCATGTTCCTGTGAACACAGCTTGGGACTGTAGCCAACCTCCCAGGATGTTTACTCAAAAGGAAATGCAACTCCCGGTTGATCAGACAGATCGGCAGGGAGAAATTCAAGGATCCGATCCACTTGAGCTGAACTCCAAGGGACATCACTTTCTGATTGCAGCATCCGTCCGATTACAAAACACGGCAGTCTTCGTAGAAGAAGACCCAAGAGAGCTCCACTATTATCAAAAGACACAAAAAGCCACAGGAAATAAACACAATGGACGCTCACAAGCCACAACATTTAGGGAAGAATATCTATTGGTTTAATGAGAAAAAACTGGATTCTTCTAATCAGTTAGATATTGAAGCTTTTTCAGTTTAGTTTAGGGGCTGAGATGCTGATTCTTGGAACAGAGATGCCTTTATTTGAGCATTAAGTCTCCAAACTTCACACAATCATAGCTGAGAATAATTCAACGCTCTGTGAGTCCGTTGAGTCTCGTTCGACTTGAATGTGGGATAAAGAATGAGTGACGACTAAACTTTTTCAGCTTCAAGTCATTTCACAAATGGTTTTCACGTTTTATTTGGATTGCTTTTTGATTGGTGCCAGCAAATTAGTGTGCATCTGTAAGTCCAAACTCTGAGGAACAATGCGTTACATATTATGTCTTAAAAGTATCTTCTATTGAGATAAAAGAGAAATCAGCGGTCCTGTGCAACTACTCTACCATACCAATCATATGTAAATCAGCAGGTCTAAGCAAGAAAATTGCTTGGCAGTTTGCTGAAGTGCAGCACTCAGGTGTTTGTGAACAGAAAAGCAAAGGACAGACCAGAGCGACGATTTTGCCAAACAACTGTTGCTACCCATCAATCGGCAAAAAGTTAGAAATAACATACACATGGAAAGTCATGACAACTGTAAATCTTTCCAGAGGTAGATATAACACTAGGATCAGATTGCACAATGCGCGAAGTTATAACTAAAGCCCCAGCAGAAACACCTCAGATTGATTCGACCTCATTCGAAATCTTTGTTTATAAAAAACACACAGGAAAATGTCTCAACTGTGAACAGCTGATGACTTGGACCTGTGTGGACTTGACAGGATGCAGGCCCCTGTCAGTGAATATGCTGACCATGAACTCTTCTGTATACCAAAGTGTTCAAGAAGTCAAATGTAATGCCACTTTTCCAATAGCTGAAGCTCAACTCGGGTCATACAACAATACCACGGCCCTGAGGAGAGCAGCTAATCTATAACAGGATGGCAAAAAGAAGAAAGGAATCCAGGTGTGACAATGGCCCAGTCAAAGGTTGGACTTAAATCTGGATAAAAATATGATTGAGACAATCAGAAAGCTCTGCATAAATAAATGGTCACAATCTCCATTTAACTTAAATCATTTAAATATTTTAATAGTTCAACAGGCAGGAGGATAATTAAAAATGAAAGGGGACTGAATTTGATGCTTAGATTTAACTAAAACATTTATTCTATGAATAGTGTTGCTGAATTATTCAATAGAGGGGTACGAAGCTAGACATAATAATATGTCCATAAATTTATTGCAATGCTTTTGCACTTGAGCCACAGACATTCCCAGGCTCGTCCTGCAGAGGGCAGGCTGAATCTGACACACAGACATTCAGGGATCAGCCTGATTCATCGTTCGTTTAACTAGCTTCACTCTCGCAGAGAAAAAGAAGCAAACATGTTAACACTCGAGTCAATCTGTGTCCTTGGATCTTGACAGGTCTGCTGCATGCGGTTGGCCTGGCTCTAGCGATAATCAGCAGTAATGACGCTCTTTTAGGCAGGCTGCTATCTCACTGTGTCTTTTTTTAACACCAGTCATTTGTCTCCTTCACACCTCTCTGACTCTCACCTTCCCTCTGTGGCTGGTAGGGTCTCTCCAGATGAAAAAAGAAATTCCCAAACTGTGAAACTATTTAGCTTGCTTGCAGAAAACTGAACTGCTATACTCAGCCCCACACACAGAGTGCCACATAACCCAAAAATTTAATCTGTTTCCACAAACTTTGAAAAGATTCCTTTTCATCTTCCTCCCTCTCTGTGTGAAAGGCTCAGCGGGGCTGACTGAAATGCACAAATAGTGTAATTGCTTTTTCTGTTGTGGCAAAATCTGCCCAGCTCTCTAAAGCAACAGAGAAAGCAGTCTGTTCTGTTGCAAAGCAGCTTTACTGTGAGGTCAGGGCAATGGGAAATTAATCTCTTTTGTTAAGCTCTGGGTATCGCCACCATCCCAGCAGGTGACGGCCGCGGCACCATAATCTCTGGCGGAAGAAAGCGAAACTTTTACTCAAGTTTGTGAGTAAATGCAGGGTGTGAACATTTAAAGTAAAAAAAAATGAAAAAAACAAAGACAGTTCCCAAAGCATATTGATTTACATGATGAAATTGATCAAATTCAGCAAAAAGTGTTTCAATATGTTTCCTGTCAGAATTTTGTACTTTCGCCAATTTAAGTTTCAAAGTTATCGCTCTGTTTTTAGTCCAGAATTCACTGTATCAAAATTAATGTTCACTGGTTTTAATGCAGACATTTCCAGAATGATTGGGTTCTATGAATTCAGACATAACCACTAATAGATGGGTGGATGAATGGACAAATGAATGAATGAGTGATAAATTGATGAGTTACCAATGAATAAATGGACTACTACGAATAATTGTAATGGTGGAGGGATTTTCTTTTTCTGCACCCAATTTGGAAAATACTTCAACTCTAATCATTACAAGCTGAGGAACCCTGAACAATAAAAATTATTTATCCAAAAACAGAAAGATGCATGGCGACCTCATGCATCTTTCTTTTGTTAGGGGTGAGGAAATGGCACAAACCTCTCCCTGTTGCGAGGGTCTGTGTATCTGAAATAATACCAGGCCGAATCCACAAACGTGTCCATGGTGTCAGTCTCCCGCCTGGCAGGGCCCTTGCATCTATCAGGGGAGAAAAAAAAACAACACAGAGTTGGCAGAAGCAGGGCATCAGTTAATATTAGTTGGACAAATCAGAGCGAACGGATAAGCCGTGTTTTTGGGGCTCAGACAAACTTGTGTGTTTGATGATGTAAAACTGATTCCATCTGGCTGAAAGGGTCACGTCTGCAGAACAGCACGGCTGAAGCCCGACTGGCAGCACAGCTCTGTTCCTGTGCCCCTACTAACAGGCTGCGCTAACAGGATAGGCCTCAGTTCTGATTGGGTGTTTGAGTTGGAAATGCCGCCTCGTGGCTCCTTTCTGTCCAAGCCAAACAGCACTTTGGATGTACAACGTGAATCTGCCAGCAGCCCTTCCACAGTGCAGGGAAGGACACTGACAAAGACGTTCAGAGAGAAGAGCTTCTGAAGGGTGTTTTCGTTCTTTTTTTTTTATTTTTTTTTTGCTCTAGAACTAAAGCATTTCATGGAACAGTGCGTGTCTGCCTTTTTAGTTTATAATGAGTCTCAGCTGATTTCAAATCACAGTCCCAGAAAGATAAACAGAAAAACAGCTCAGAGCTCCACCACAGAGCGAGGAGCGGCTGGTGCAGCTTCCTGCACCGTCTGTGTCCCTGTGTGTCCAACATTTCTCGTCTCACAGCAAAACTTTCAAATCACATATTTGCCAGCAGACTCACTGGGAGACACAAACGCCTCGACCACCTACCATACCAGTCTATAATAAGGATGTAATGATGAGGTAAGAGCTGACGGTTGCCAGGAAACAAGTCTAAGGTGTAGTAAGGTTAATGTTTGGAAGCCAGGTGTTGTTTCATGGGAAGAAATCTCAGCAGTTTAACAAAGAATCAGTCATCAATAAAAAAAAAAAGAAAAAAAAGCAAAGTCCCTTAAATTTAAAAAAATTACTAAAGATATTTCTTATTTCAAAGACCAATTGATTACTACATTACAGATAAAATATTCTTAAAAAGTAATACCCTTTAACTTCATTAAAACCATAAAACATCACTTAATGATTTATTGATTTTATTTAATAAACCAATACAAGTAAAAAGTAATTGTAAAGTGTACAAAAAATGATTTGAAAGCTGGGAGAAAGATACGCAAATAGAAACCATGTTTCTATTAATATCTTTTGTAAGTCTATCACATACAGTTTTATTAAAATAAATTAAAGTTTGATGTTGTTGGTTCGAGACAAAGTGTGAAACACTTTTAATACCAAACAGAAAAGCATTCTGTCTGCTGATAACAGTCCTCTAAGCACTGAGAGGATCCCAACTAGCAAACCAAATCTGTGTGTCCATAAGTATTTAAAGAGTGCCTTTAGAGTACAAGCCAGAAAAAGCCAAAAGGCTCTCGAACAGATGCGGGAAAGGAAGCAGCTGCCCACTCTATAAAACTCCTCTTCCCAGAGAAAACAGAGCTCCATCTGTTGTGTGTCTGTGAGCCTGTCTACCCCAATGTGTTGGTGCTCTGCAGACCAGGTGGTCTCTCTGTTTACCTGTGGATCCATGAAGCTCTCACAAACACAGACACCACACACACACACATGCAGGCACGCTCTCCTAATCAGGCGAAAGCTGAAGCAGAGTTCAGTTGGCAGGCTAATTTACAGATCTGTGGAGGGTCGGAGACGAGATGAGCGCGCAGGAAATGACTTCCTCAAGGACAGATAAAACCGCTTCTTTCACCAGCCCCGCTCGTCTGTGCCCCACTCAAACTTTAATTGGACACGGTCCATGAGTGAAGGGAACAAATTTCGACAGACACTTAACAACTGATGGAGAGATGGGTGGAGGGGAGATAACGGCGTCTTCGCCGATTATTACCATCAATCATTGCTGATGGGGAGCAATTCTAACAACTTTAGAGTAAACACAATCTGATGACTTGTGCCATCTGCGACTGAGTAGGCCTTTGTTTTAATCAACATGGAGCCCTGACGGTGATTAGTCGTATTCAGAGAGGAATTCCCATGTTAGTGAGGGACTCCGGAGGCGCCAGAGGAGTCGTCGTTGTGCATTTCCAAACGCATCCACCGAGTCGCTGAGTGGAGATCGAGCGTATGTGTGTGTGAAATGATGTCTATGTGCAGGACGGTTCATGCGTGTGCATGTTCTCCCTTTGTGTGCCGCTTTCGAGGCACAGCTGTCTTATGTAACCTCCGACATCATCTCGTGCGGCCCCTGCCACACATGCCACTCATTGCATAAGCCAGTCTGAACAAAAAGCATTAATCACACAATTTGCAGACTCTGTGTCAGCGCCCCGTGTTCTTGTAAAGCCGCCTGACAGCAGGCTCGTTTTGTCGGAGCCGGTCTCCTGAGGAGACACAGGAAATGCAGAGCAGAGACAGTCACCGGAGAGGGTTCACACATAATTCAATTCTGACTCACAGAACTCCACATAATTTCCCCGATCGCTCGTGTTGTGTAAAAAAAATTTTAAAATAAATAAAGAAGACAGACTCCCATAAACAATATCAAGTATCTAAATGGGGCTTCTGTGTGCTAATGCCTGCAATAATTTGGGATAAAGCGACATGATAATTTATTTAAAACCTTTTTAGGGGGGTGATTTAATGCTGAATAAAGACATCAGGACATGAAAAGCCATCGGATTAAATTTATCCATACAAGATATTAAAGATATTTGTAAGTAGACAAAATAATTGACCTGCAAATAACTGAATCTGAAGTGTATTATTTTATTGATTCATGGAGCCTCTTGTTCTGCAAAGCCTTGCAAACACATACACTCATGTTTTCACTCATGTTTTATGTGATGGAACCAGACACTTCAATGACTTGTACAGTAAAATGACCCATCAGCAGAACAAGACAATCCAGTAAATCTGTGACATATTCAAATGTGATTATGGTACTTTGAAGTGGATCGTGGATTTACTCCGTTCAAAAAGGAAAGTACACTTATTTTTAAGAAGTAATTTTAAGTAATCACTGGAATAAGACATAACATAATAACCCTAACCCTAATAAGAATAAGACTGGGATCAGATTAAGTCAAACATAAATATCATGCTAACAAATATTCAAATGTTTGGATATCGCAGTTTGAATAAAAGAGCAATATTGATTCTCTTTTTCATAGGAGAAGTTAATTTAGATGCTACAGCCTTTGTTGTGGTTTAGACCAATTATTTTTGCCTTCTTAACTCACCAGCGACTCACTTCAAATGAAGCGTCTTCCACTTTTTGCCTAAGACTGGTGCATATCAGGCGTTCAGATGAAGGCCATTCACACAACGCCGAGGACAGCAAATAATATTTGCATATCAAATAAGCCTCACATAGTCTGATGCACTTCTCCCTTTGTTGCTTGTTCTCTATCTTATTAAGTGAAATAACACAGCAGAATAAACAAAAAAAAGAGAAAAAACCTCTGTCAACTGTGATGCTGATCTCATCTTTCATATTAAACTCTGATATATAAAAGAAAAATCAAGTTGTTGAGTGGAACAACTGATAGAGTAAAAAGTTATTTGACCGTTCTCTTTAGGACATTAAAAATATGTGTTCAATATCAATTTTCCCACCTGGGACACTTGCAGTTGACCCAATCATGAACAGCTCCCAAAGGCGACGCCCCTTTTCCTGTGAGAGCCTCCGTCTTTGGCAGAGTAACCGGCAACTCCTCCTCAGGGACAGTGACGGCACCGCAAGAGTCACAGTGCACCACGGGGATGGGCGTGCCCCAGTAACGCTGTCTGGATATCAGCCAGTCTCTGAGCTTGGAGCTGGTAAGATGGCCCCCGACTCCCTGCTCTCTGGCCTTCTGGGTAATGGACCGCAACGCCAGCTCCCTGGTGAAGTCTGAGAACTACACAGAGATCACAAAAAAATAATAAATAAACGTTTTTGTCTTTCTAAACAGTAAGACAAATTGAACTTGAGTGCTGTTCTTATGGACATCATCATCATCATCATCATCGGTGCTGACCTCCCCAGAGTTAATCAGAGTTTGTGTTCCGTCTTTGTGGGTTTTCAGCACCGTGGTCCAACTCAGATACAGTCCTCTGGCCACAGACAAGTCTTCCTCACTCACATCTGGAATCCCTGTCAGGAGCACAAATTAGAAACAGAAAAAAGTGAGATTTGTTTTTTATTTTTGCAGTGCAGTAATCAATAAGTGGCTGTATTTATAAAAAGTTTTTACAAATAGTCACGCAAAACAGACTACAATAACAAAAAGGAGAAGCACTGCCTAGAGTAATCCTACATATGGGTTTCACTTCAACATGCTTGGAACAAACATACAGCAATATAATTTTTCAGAAGATTAATAAAAGCCTGTTCTACATCTATCTACCAGCAGCAAATACGAGCCCCAGAACTCACCGATCACAGTGTCCAGATAGTCTTTGAACGCCTCCTTGTGGGAGATCACCACAGGAACCTCCTGGCCGGTGAACAGGTTGAGAGCAGTGACCTCTGTTAGGCAGTCTGAATAGAAAACACAAGGAGCAGGAGAAATATAATGTTCTTGCTTCAAATATCGGCTCCTTTTCAAACTACTAATTAACACAGCAGTGCATTGAGGCTCCACAAACGCGTGGTTAATGTTCAACATCAACATTTCTATTCAAGACAATGAGAGACTTGAACATTTCCAAGAGTTGTCTCATGTTCTGCAGCGAAGTGCCTCAACGTGCAAATAGTGACAAAAAAAAACTTAAAGGGTGTCCCACACAACATCTAATGAAGGTTTGGGGTCGGACTAACCTCGTCCTGGCCGTAACGCTTGTTGTAGGAGGGAGCAGACTGAGCTGCTGCCATGCAGCAGTCTGTGGGAGGGAAGGATGGCCAGGTAAGCTGCTCCATACACCATCTCTGGGGCAGAGCAGTAAGCTGACAGAGACTCGCCTGTCTCCTTACCGTTGACCTGCAAAGTAAGAATAAATAGGAGTAAATAAGATCTGCAAAGTAATATTTGTGAACCTTCCACCCCTTGCTGCTTTTCTAACCTCAGTTTGGTTTTTTTCTACAATACAGCTGAAATAACTATGCCAGTCACAACTTGGAGAGAAAATAACGTCAATCACTTAATATCAGTGACTCGATCTCCACCTCTTGTTCGCATTTTTAGATACTTATAACTTTTAATCATCTCCCATTAGACTGTACAATAATATTAAAAATCAACTAGAGTATTGATGACCTCTGTAAGACCTTAGAGAAGTTTTCTGGGGTGAATCTAGAACATAGCGCACTCCATATCACACATGACAAAACAAACCGTTTTGAGCATCCACATGACTTTTTGAGAAGAAATCTATGCTGAACACTATCATTGAGACCGGATTCAAGTTGGAGGATTCTGGTAATATTGGTGGAAACCTATCTTTAAAATATAGCCTGCAGGTTCTGATATGGATTCATCAAGTTAATATCGCACACACTGAGATTGTATGTAGCATAATCGTGTTAATGTCATCAAATAACAACACTAATTGATTAATCGGGTTCAATAAGTACTAATATGTATGTTTGGCTCCCTAGAGAGCTGATGCACTATAGTTTTTGTGTAGGATGGTTTAAAATCAGTCATCCAGTCAGTTTAATAATGCAGCGTTAATTATTCATCCTACCTCAAAAATCCTTTTTACACACACAGATAGAAAAGCACACATTGTCAACTTTCTTAATTTCTCCTAAAGTATAGAGACAGGCTTAAGTAACACATTTTTCAATAACTTGCTTCAATCAAAGGCCTCTCAGTGGGTTTATTGTTTCCACTCAGCTTGAAATCACATCTTTACAAAGAACGGCATATATGGCTTTCACAAATCCAACATAATTTGTAACATTATCTGTTTGGGAAAATTGCCACTCATAAATGTGTGTAGCTGTTGAAAGCAAATAATAAAGCAATCATTCTGAAGCCTATGCTAATGCATTTTCAGTCAAATACATGAGTAAACAGAGGAGTCAAAGACAAAGCTCAAAATGAGCAATCAATTTGGGGAAAAAGACAGAAAATAGATGGAGGAATGAAAGTAGTGATGGCAAAACCCCCTGGTGTGGAAAAATAAGCTAAAAGATTATGAGAATTATGAGTTTAACCTTGAGTTTAAAATCAAAGTAGCATCCAGTGCATTCTCCAATCCAGTTTGCCTGCATGGCTTTAACCCCGTACCACTCAGGAAGGTCTTCCAGAGCATCCAGGAGAGGCTGAAAAAAAACCACAGAAGACAAACATGTTTTCAACTTTGAACAACTATGAAAGCAGCAAGTTTTCCACCTCACTGTGGCCAGGCGATATTCTCAGAAGTACGTGACTTCAGTTTAGTGTGGCCTCTTTCAAAGCATTGAAAAATTAATTGGGCGAAGCGGCACAAGCCTGCCACGTCACCAGAGCTGGACAGAAGGGGATTTTTAAAAATTCTGACTTCCACTGCCTCTACTTTCCTGGAAATGAACGAACTCCGTGGGATCGAGCACACTGCCCACTTTCCCTCACACATACCAACAGTTACTCTGCATGATTAAATGGATCTATGCATATGAACGAGGCTTGGGCCAAAAAGTCGCAGCTGGTCAGTGGAGAGAGATGTTATAATTCTCTATTTCCCTTTCAGTCTGTCACAATCCATTACCGACAGTCCTGCTCCCGGAGCTTCTCGCTGTGTGCTGCCTCATCACAGAGTTATTGATACAAACATAAACACTGGCTGGGGTCCTGAGTGGGCACAAGTGCAGAATTGAATGGTAATGTTTGCTCCATATTGGGAAAACAGAGACATGCTAAGTCTTCTTAGATTACAATTAATCTGAAAGGTGTGGCAGGCACTGACATTCAGACCACGAGCATGCATTCAAAGCTGCACCTACATTGTCACAGTAGGTGTCTCTGTGAACGTCTCCAAACTTAATTTTTTGCCCATTTCTGCTGGCGAAATCAGTCATATGGTGGGAACCTGTGAAAATATATTTTCGGGTTTTGCTGCTACTGCTACTTTGGATTTAGATCTGGACTCTGACTGAGCCATTCCAACGCATCAATACACTGTGAACCAAATCATTTCATTGCGGCTCCATTTAGCGTCAATGCTCCGCTGGAAGGTAAACATCTGTCCCATCTGTCCTCACAGGCTAATCCATTCATCTTTCTATCAACTCATGGAAATGGTTGACGGACTGTCCAACCTGAGCTGTGGGTCTCTGTGGTTCCTCAAGAGTTCCCACCGTCAGGTCATGTCTTGTTAGATTTGCAGTCGAGCTCTATTAGACGCTTCAAGTAATGAAATACATTGGCGTTTGTGGACGAAGCATTAAAAATATTGTTGGAGGACAATACTTTTGTAAGGCACTATAAATATAACAAACCTGAATCTGTGAGAAATCAGTGAAAACTCTGGTAGTCATTAAATAAAGTAACCAGCAATGAAAAGAAACTCCAGGAGGCATGACGGACCAGCAAAGATGGATTTCCAGTGAGAGGGAACAACAGTTTTTATTTTCCTCGACTCAAAGGTACTGATTTGCCACAGAAGTAAAATAACTGTAACATGTACAACAAGGACAGGCGTTACTATGGAAACTAAGAAAACTGTGAGAGAGAAAAAACACGGTCTTGCAAAAACTAAGTATTACTCTATATCTCAGAGAGAGAAAAAGTCGTTCAGAGAAGAACACAATACATTGTAGCACAAAACTCAAGTTGCTTCTGGGCAATTTACTGAAATGATGAAGCGTTTTCAGAAACTTGAACAAGCATGCCTTTAACGAATACTCTCAGAGAACTATAAAAATGGAGAATCACTCTCTCTGTCCAGAATCTTTCTGACTACAAAGTATGATTATGCATGAAATTGAAAAACTCTCCTGCAGCCGCCTGATAATTTAGCATCCTGCACGCTGCACATTATTTTTTCATTATTAACAGATCCATTGTACAACGTGCCACAACTTGATGGCTAAACTGACTGAACATTGTCTGAGGTTAATGTTGTCTAACGGACCCGAACACGTGCGTGGCCGAGCAGACGAAACGCAGGAACCTCGCAGTCCAATTACATCACTTTTCATTTGGCACGCTGCTGCTCGACATGCTCCCTCCTTTCATCTCCATCTGTCTTTCTCACTTCTTTCCCTTAACACCTCCTTGTTCCTTCCTTCCCACTTCTCTGCTCGTCAGAGAAAATTAGAAATGCAGGAACACATTGTCACAGTAGGCTGCTTCCACCTCCATTCGCTCTTCTGACACGGTCGCACACGGCCAACTTCGACTATGCCAATCAGATAAAAACTGATGGTGGACAAAATGTCTTTAGATTAATCTGAAATGAAAAACTTGGCAGGCAATGAATCTAATAGGAGTCAAAATGATTTACTAATGGCTACAGTGAATCGAAAAAAACAACAACTAATAAATACTTGTAGACGCTTGAACTGCTTCATAATTTGTCATGTTACAACCACAAAGTTAATTGTATTTTAAGTTTTATGGCTTAGACGTAATAGACTAAGTAGTGGATGATGTTAAGTTTGTGGGCAAAATGTGGAAAGTGGAGTCACTCTTAATGACTTCTCAAAATAAATTACAAAATATTCATTTTGTAATTTAAACTACAGTAACATTACGGTCTAAATATATGAAATGTTATGAAGCCATAAAGCGTATAAAGACTCAATGTGAATCTTTCTTGTAGATTGAGATATATTGTTGGGGAACCTTTGAGTTTTGCTTTTTGGGTGTTCTTTGCACTACCACACAATTTTCTAAGAATTTTCTAATCATCTTAAAAGAGAAAAAAGAAATCAAGGTTGTAGAGGAAGTCACTTTTGATTGATGTTGATTTCAGGTGATTTTTAGTAGATTTTTTGTGATCTTAGGTAAAGCAATCAAAACTGATTGGCCCATTGCAATGCAGGGTAATGTTCAACCCTTAACAGAAAATGTCTCTTTTTGGATAATGCATTACGTCTTAAATAACTTCATCAATCATTCAACCAATTTGATGATTTTACCTTTTTACATGCCAGTTTGATAAGTTGATATGACCTTTATTTTTTATGAAAAATATGCAAAACATGATTTATTTCCCCTATTACAGTTCTTAGGTGGGTAGAGGACAGTTTTGTGAATAATTAGCCACAACATGGACTTTAATGCGTCATCGGTTTTTTGTGACGCATCAGATTTAGAACCTACCTCTGGAGTCATAAAGTACAAAAATTTCCACTCTATTTCTCTTTATTTATGAGTGAAATACTAAATATTTAGCAGATTTTTTTACTCTTGCAAATGCAGCAGATATTGTGAGGTCAAATGTTGACTCCCACTCATTTCAGTTAATGTGGCTTCTGCTGCACATAATGCCTCACAGAGTAAATGCATTTGCTGCATGTAAAACACATTAACCAGTGATGCCTGTGCCTGATTCGGTCCAGAGGGACTTTTCGCTCCCTGTAGCAGGCCTGCTCACCCCTGTGCAGGAAGATTAGGTTTCATCAGCCAGCCAGACCAACTCCAGGACTGCTCCTGTATTTACCCCTTTGAACAGAGAGGCCAGGCTAAAGATGATGGTCTCCAAGTGTCTGATTACAGAAGCAGGGAGGCAGGGCAGCAGCTGCTGCTACTGAAGTGTCAGCCATGATTGTTATCAGAGGGCTCCGCCGCTCGTTTTTACTCAGAAACACACACCTTACAAATACGGCTCTCGCACATGAACCAGTCGAACCTTAGCATAGTTTGTAGTCTTGATGAACCACTGTGTCAGTAGCTTCTGCTCTACCAGAGCGCCAGACCTCCAGGATCGACCACTTTCATCCACCTGCTCGTCTGCCAGCACCGTCTGATCAACGGGGTCCCAGTTCACCACAGCCTGAATACCGGACAGAAACAAGCACACACAAGTCAGATCACAACCCACACGGTTAAAAGGAAATGAGGATGCCTGATTCCTGCCTCAATAATAGAAAGGCTTCTGTTTTTCAGGTCAAAAAAGAGACAACTCCATTGGTTTTGTCATTTCTCTATGAAGAAAATATTCCCACCTCTTTTTGATATGCCAGTCCAGCTTCAAAGAGCTTGATGAACAGATACTGTGTCCACTTGTAGTAGTCTGGGAGACAAGTGGTGATTTCCTGTTGATGAAAGCCAAAAATCAAGTGTGCAGTGCGAAGTGGAAGTCAGCAGAGAGCAACTTTTCTTTCTCCTCTAATCACAGAAGCAAGTCACATTTCTGAATTTCTTTGGGTCTTAAAAGTTCTGCCTATTCCATCAGCTTCCTATGCCACTAAATGAATTTATACTCAGTTGTCTTGTTCGTTTTGCACTACGTTTCATTTTTGCTTACTCAATTTTGAGCTGCAGATCTGAGCAGCATCTCCAAAGTTACATATTTATGTACAAATGCATAAAGGTTTGTGGTTGTAGCAGAAGAATAGAGAATAATGGAGTAGCAGAAGCTACTTTTTCACATTACTTGAACACTTTTTCAAGTTCCCTCTTCTTTATGTGTACATGAACATGGGAAGAGCAAACACGACTCGGTCTTTTGTAACATCTTGGCCGATCCTCTCCTGTCTCCTACTTACTCTGTCCCAGTTGAAGCAGAGCCCAAGGCTATCCAGCTGCTCCCTCATGGACTTGATGTTACTGAACAGAAAAGCAGCACAGGAAGAAGTTACATATGAAAAACAAGACATTTACACACTGTGTTTTAAATGTACATACCTTTTTGTCCATTCTTCGGGATCGAGGCCTCGCTCTATGGCTGCGTTCTCGGCAGGAAGCCCAAAAGCGTCCCAACCCATCGGATTTAGCACCTGGGAATTCAACTAGGTATTAATTGTCACTGTTGGGTGAATAATTACTTAAATAATCAATCATAAGTCAGCCCACATAAACCACAATTAATATCACTCTGGGTAATGTTACAAGATTTTATAATTGTATTTTATGTATCAAATATTTTTTCCCCAATAAGACTTTTTTACACTCAGGTTAAACTTTTCAAAATCTCCTCATAGATAGAAAATCTTTAGAAAAGCTTTAGCCTCAATGACTAAAGCCTGTGAGGCTGACCTTTGTGATAAAACATGCTCTAAGCAACAATAGGACACATTCAAAGCCAGCCTGCCGTCTTCCACAGTTTGCTTCTGGCTCCAACCTCTGAATATAAAACAACTGAGTGCTATTTTGGAGTTCATGAAAGATCTTCCAAACAAACCCTACCATGACAGAAGAATGAAAGCCACAACCCACCGCAAGCCCCCATGTTTGGCTGAGTGGTGCTGCATCCCTCTCCACACATCATCTCAAACATGAACACAATCATTTTTCACTTGAAAAAAAAAAACAGCTGGAACCCTGTTCAATAATACTTAGACACAATCATTGTCAACGCGGCTTACTACATAAGAGGTTTTCAGACCTCCAAAGAGAAAAAGAAGACTCAATTGAAGCTGGCAGGAAGTCTTCAGGCTTCATCAAATTGAACAATGGTGTTCTTCAAGGATGTGTATTTAGTCCTTTGCACTTTATCCAACAAAGAAAAAAAAATCACAGCATTACTGAACTCCATGGAAACAAGATTATTAAAGTTGTTAATGATCCTACTGCAATCTGAGTCACTAAAAATGGAGTTCAGCTAAAATATAATAGTTTCTGCTGTAGACAATGACATGCTTTCACACACTGCCAGTGGCCATCAGCAGAAATGGCTTTTTCAGAGTCGACATCAGCGATCATCTCTTCTGGAGACACAGCATGACACACCAAGCCAAAATAGTAGAAGGCACAACTATATAAAATAACAGATTGATGGACATTTCCTATATTTGTTCAAGCAAAATTTTGGTTGCATTTTACGACCTTTTTTTATATTCCTGTTCTTCCATAGCTATTTGTCTTTTACGATGGTTTTTGTCATGTTACTCCAGTTTGACTGAAGACATCAATTACAAAAATGTTATCTTTTGCTTATCCAAAGCCCCCCCGCCCTCTGTATTTATGCTTTCCCTGTCCAGAAGTGCTCCGTCTGCACATCCGTGCTTTTGTCTCGCTCTTTGACACACACACTCAGGAAGTCTCTCTCACTCATTTCTCAAGCCTTTCGGCTGTATGTTTTCTGCTCACTGAGAGAAAAACGAGATGAAAGCGCAGGACTGGAAGGAGCGAGTAAAGTGGAGGAGAAGGAGAGTGACAATGAGTCGAAGGATGGAGAGGATCATTGCGGGGACTCTAACGGGTCTGCCGTTTCAGATGAATTGGTATCCTTGGTAACTGCTGGGCCCTCATTTGTAAAGCCGAGTGGTGGATGGTACGAGGCTGAGAGGCTGTCGGCTCACTAAGCTCCGGGGAAATAAGAGCAGAGCACATGCCAAGGATAGTCTGTGATAATAATAATAAAAAAAAATCACACTAAAATGATGAGAGCATCATTATGGTGATACAATGCAGGTCTGCTTATTTAGCATAAATAGCTGAAGTGAGGCTCTGTTTATGAAGGTCTGTTATGAAAAGGTTGTCAATTTATTTTCTTCCTTTGTGGATCATATTACACTTAAAGAGTAAAGCCTACCCGACCTTAATTTTGGTCACAATTAGAACTACTGTGATTTTGGATGACACAGATCCAACCAGGACAGGAAACGTACTGTAAACTCGCAGCCCTCTGGACCACAAGGGTTCCAGGAGAGCTGGCACACTCGTTTCATGACTGCAGAGCGACAGTACTAAATAAAAGCGCTCACCCACGCAGCTCAATTCCTTCTGTGTGTTTTAGCTTTGAAATGCAACTTCACACTCGTTTCCAGATGCCGACATTTCTACGCAAATTCTTATTGTGTCCACTTGTTTCAGGGGACTAAAGTGATTTTACATCAAGCGATACAGCCGTTTTATTATATTGCAGCAACTACACAGCACGCCAGGATGCATTGATTGTCTGCACTTTCAGCAGATTAACTCATTTCAAAATCCAGGGAACAGAAATCCAGAAAACGCATTCTTACAAACAGTGGCTAAATAAAAGATTTTATAAATCTGATCATCAGTTGTCACATTATCATAGGAGTTCAAAACATCAAAAACTGACAGACATCACCTCAAAAGCCCAGCAGAATATCAACAGGTGAGTGTATATTTCTCAATTAACACATTGGGGAGTTTTGAGCATTCACCATAACGGTGTTTGCTTTTAGACAGATGCTCAGGGAAAAAGCAGTGCTGCGCAGTGAGCAGCCAGCAATCAAGTGAAACCAAGTTTCCTTCAGGGAAATCCCACCGAGAAAAAGGAGATTCTCTCAGCAGGTGACGGATAAATGCACATTTGATGTAAAATCTCAAAGGAGCAAAGCTTTTCCACATGGCAGTTTGTTGTCTGGCTAAAAGCAAGGACCAATGGTTGTTTAGATGAGCAACAATGGCAGCAGAAGTGTGTTCCAGCAAGACGGCCACCAAGCTGACCTTGCGGTCGCTGGCCACAGCTCCATCGACAGGTAAGTGGAATCAGACAGAGAGCAAAGAGAGCTGTGGACTGAAGCACTTTGATCCTAACAAGTCTGGTCATTAAGACACCAGAGCTAAAGCTCGCCGTACTCTTGAGCTTTAGCTCGAGAGTATGGATCTGCCTTAATTTACACACCTACTGAAAGCCAAAAGCAAACCCGGTATACACAAAAGTAAAATTGCCTTTCAGGTTTAACACCCCGCGGCTGTAGACAAACAGAAAAACGGCTGAGTTTTCCTCTTTTTGGATCTGACAACAGCAGCTTTCATGGTAAAACTGTATTACAGAAATATTCAAACTCAGCTAAACAAACTATAACACTTAGTCAAATTGACTATGTTCTGTAGATAAATACTTACAGGCATGAAGATACAATATGATAGTTTCAAATATAAAATTTAAACTGTATACAGAGTGGGGTTCGAACCAGAATGAACTCCTATCACAGTCATATCACTACTGCATGTTAAATAGACGTGTAGCTGAATAACCTTGGTCCAGAGCGCATCAACATTTATCAGAACGGAGCTGGAATCAAACCCACAACCTGACCATGGCTCGGCCATGATTTAATAAGGTTTGGATCAATTTTTAACCTTGATAAATGCGAATATGATTTGAAATTTGTTTACCTCACAATGATTATCTCCCATTAAATTGAGTGAAACATTTAGGTTTAACAAAAATACAACAACTGAAGGATTACGTAATAAACATTCACATAATAAAAGTATCACATCCAGGATTACTTCCAACTCTGCAATTTATGTCACGTCTATGCAAAACTAACTGCAATTTTTATATTGTAAGAACAAATTAAAGCAGCAAATTAAAGAAAATATTGGAGCTGTTAACTGTTTCTCACTTAGTCACCCACTTACTTTTATTGTTTTTTTTTCAATGAGATGCAGTCAGAGCTGCAAAGGCTTCACTGACCGGCCAAAGAGCAGCAGATGAATTTCTCTTCATTTCTAATGAGTCAAACTCAAGACATTAATTTGAAGAGGTTGGTTTTCATTCTTTAATTTGTTTTGTGTTTTGCCTGAATGAAGAAGTTCCTTTCACAGACTCACAACAACACAGGAATCAACCCCAAAGCTTTCAGAGAAAAGTCAATGCAATGCATCAAAGTTTGCTCTCCTACTGTGTAGCACTAAAAAACTCAAACAACGATTGAAGAAAATGAAAAAACAAATAAATCTTAACTATTTTTCTGTTATTCTGACTAACAGAGACAGCAAACATTTAGCACAACTGAATGTCAGACGAGGAAAAAACAGTCTATGTGGCTTTAAATAAAGTGTATATAAATACCTGGTTTCAACTGCAAATATCTATTTGAAAATAATTTGAATCGAAAAATAACCATAAACCTTGTGACATCAATGATGAAAGAAATCTCTAGAATCTGCAATTAAGCTGCTTTTCTCATGAAAGAGTTTGATCTGTGACTAAATAAATATTTTTTTTTTTTCTATTTTCTTAGATCTGAGCTTTACCAGGAAGACAGATCAACATTGGTTCTCAGCCCTCTGTGTGTCACAGGCAGAATATTTGTGCCCCGACAACAAGAGATATCTCTGGCTGGTATTTGGTTGCGGCTGCTTGGAGTGCCTTGCGTGTTTCAGGGATGACCGGGGTAATAATAGTGAAAACATGTGGAACAAAGCCAGACATACCTGATGGCCTCTCATTCTCTGGAAGTGACCAATGGTGTCGCTGATGGTGTACACTCGCACATGCCCCATGTGAAGGCGCCCCGATGGGTACGGAAACATAGAGAGGACATAAAACTTCTTCCTGACGGAATACTGTGGGGGAAAAAAAACAGAGACTTTAAAGCTGGTCTTCCTTCATCAGCCTGACTTTAAAGGATCTGTATGTGAAGGAGACTGCATGAAGTGGCTGAGGTGAGGATGCCAGTAATAACTCATCATATGCAGAGCCAGGGCCGCTGACTGTATTACTGTATGAGACTCGCACACCGGCTGATTATCGTGTCTAAACGGTGGCAGATAATGGATGGTTTACAATCACAACACGGTTTCTATGGCAGCACAGCGAGGACCACTTCCACCCAGCTATACGTGATTACAGGAAACCTGACTCATGAATTTTTCAATAAATTAATTAGAGCCAGCGCCCTGTCTTAAATGCACTTAATCACTGTCAGCTTTGCCCAGACAGTCACACGCTCAGAGCATTAGGATATATAATGAGCCTGTGACGAACTACCAGGACCCAAACGCCTCTGAGAGAAAAATTAACACAATAAAATACATAGATGTGGAAACAGGTAGAAGATGACAATAAATGCTATCTATTCTATACTATTCTATTCATAGTTACATCTGGTCCAACAATAAATCTTTGTCACATCAGGTGTTTCATTTACCAGAAAAAAAAAAAAGAGGTGAAACAATTTCCATTAACTGTGGAGCAAGTCTATTGAATGGCCCAGAAAGCCAGTGAAGCAGCATGCACAAGGCACGTCATGTTTAATACCGTCAAGTGTATCTGTGCTTTTCTTCTGCAGACCAGCAAATGTCAGCAGCATAAAAAAAAGCTCTATTGATCGCTACAAGCTTGGTTTGTGGCAGTCTTTTTTTTTTTTATAGTCGGCAAGAAGTACGTTATTTTAGAGGCGACCATCTGTGTATTTACAGTGGTTTTAGAAAGTGTACACAAACCTGCTAAAAGTTTTTCCAATCTAAAAACTATTTAGACTTTTAACATGACATTAATATAAAACAAACTCCAAATATGTTCCAGGAAAAATATTGAGAATAAAGAAGATAAATATAGCTGTCAATATTCTTTAACTAACTCTGTCCAAGCATCATTTGATTCAGTTTGAGAATTTTTACTATTTTGCTGGGGGGATTGTTAGCGTATCAAATCTTATATGTCCAGAGCTTGGAAATAGGACTGTGTATCTTTTCTTAATTTAGTTGTAAGCTAGAGCTCACCGTGGAACTGAAAGTACAATTACTAACAGACTAGTGAATGTTTTGATGAGTGATGCAACTTTGTACTGCTTATGGTATCTTTGAAGAATACTCTGAATGAATGGGAATGACCGATTTCTTGTAAAATGTCTCTTTGAGGGTCCTGAAAAGAACTATATAAGTCTGATGTTATTTTATTTGCTGAAAATATATAAGAAGGAGTAAGAACAAGAAATTCATGCTGTATTACATACATCAGAAGTACTATAATCAAAGTTTGATCGGAAGGAGACTGAATTATGAATTGAGACTGAAAGGTACTTAAAGAAATTAATAGGTCAGCGGTGTAAGAATATATATCACCAGGTTAATCAACATTCTTTTTAATATTTCCCTCTCTACATCTTGACTGTTTCACAGCTGAAATGCACATAATATCATATCACTGGAGATGTAAAAATTATTTATTGTGGTTTAAATTTCAGATAAAGATCTGACTCTCAACAGGGTTGTGTCCGCTGTACAAACAGGGAGGGGAGGCTCAAGAAGAAGAAAATAACAAACATCCTATGAATGTCTATTTTTGAAATGTGATGCCATTAAACAAGCAAAAATAATGTGGTTAAACAGATTTATTTGTATTCATTTGAAAGCCACTATATTCAAATTCAATTTGACGTAGAACTGAAATGTATTGATCAGTGTTCAGAAAAAGAAAAGGGGCAACAGCATTTAACAAGTACTTTAAGAGATTTATAAAAATCAAATAAACTTTTTCTATGGCAAATAAAAATGAGTACTTTCGGCTTATTCTGCATTTTTTCTCTTGCAAATTTAGCTCTAGAGGAGACTGTCAAAACACAGTTCACAGGAACTGTGGGTACTTTCGCAGAAATAGGCCCAAAGCACATTGTCTCATAAGAGAAAAGGACTGCAAAAATAAAGACAGTGCCATTTTACAAGAAAGATTTCTGTCCACAGTTCAGAAGGAGACTTTTTTCCAACAACTTTTAGTGGAATAGAACCTCAAACTGATTTAACTACAAATTATTTTTAAAAATGCGTTGTTTTAAAGCAAACTAAAGCTTACCAAATCGACAATGATAATTATTTTTGATTATTACTGTACTAAGCAATAGGGTCAGAGCTGCTGGTCACTTAATTCAGAGGGAATTATTCCACTGATATTCTTGTTAAAATTATGACTAAAAATCAAGGTTTACATGAACAGACATGATAGTTTATCTGTACAATTTGTTCAGGAAAGCAAATGTTACTTTGTGCTAATTTGGCAACAAGATGAGAAAAACCTGTTCACAGCCAGGATGTACCCAACATTTTATTCTTCTGCCAGAATCATAAAGTGAAAGAAATTTCTTGTTCTTGTCACTTTCCCCAAACAGTTGAAGCGTTTTCTCACAACAGGAAATATATACATGTTTCATTGTGCAAATGAAACATATTTTGTGTCAGATATTTTCTTTGTTGATGACAAAAAATATGTTCTAAAGACCTAATTTTAAGTTTTGGAAATGTGTTCGTTGTTCATGAGGTTTAGAAAAACAAGAAAGAACAAGTTTTCAGAAAAAACTACCTTTTTCTGCAAACTGTGACGTGTTCAACTAACAGCTGACAGTAGAGCTGTGAATCTCTGCAGCTCCTCCAATCACCATGAACATCTTCCCTACAACTCTGTTTAATGCTTTGAGGCCTTCAGGGAACAGTTGGATTTATGCTGATATGACCAAATTCCTTAGACAATTGTATTCACACATTTAAAAAATTGAGTAAAGTGGGCAAAATGCAAAAAACACACCATTATTTTTAGATTTTTACTTTTGAAAATGTGAAATGGACCATTTTTCTTTTACGTCAATCAAATAAAACAACAACAAAGTTTGTGGCTATAATGTGACAAATTGTGAAATTTTCATCAGGATAAATAAAACATATTTACACACTTACTGTGTTCAGCGCATCCTTCCGCCACTGCTCCATAATCCGCGTGTGCCACCATTCTTCAACTTTGCGCCTGGTCTCGGTTCGATAGTCCTTTTCCCAAACGCCCGACTCACTGAACAGGGTGCGGATGCTGGGGGACAGGAAGCGGAGTGCCGAGCTCCACAGAGCAGCCCTGCTGCGACGAGGCTGGACCGCACACAGAGGAATGGGAGTCAGCCTCCTCAAGGACGCCTGCATGATCCTGCCTTCAGAAAAGACAGAGAACAAGAGGTCAGTGTTGCCTGTGAAAAATTTGATACTTCTGAAGAGTGTTGAGTCAAATACTTATGTGCAGGTGTGATACTCAGGATAGGTACACAACTAATAAATCCTAAAAATAGAAACAACCTAATAGAAACTAATAGATAAATACAATTTACAGTTTCACAAGAAGGCAGTGTAGTTCAGATTTGCAGGTTTACAGTGTTGCTACTTTAAGAGCTTTATGGAAATTATTGAATGGCTGCACAGTGGTGCAGTTGGTAGAACTGTTGTCTTGCAGCAAGAAGGTTCTGGGTTCGATTCCAGGCCCGGGTTTTTCTCTCCGGGTACTCCAGCTTCCTCCCACAGTCCAAAAGAATGGTCTTTCTAAGTCCTCCCTACGTGTTTATAGTTGTCCTGTCTGTCTCTGTGTTACCCTGCGACCCGTACCCCGTCTCTCGCCCGAGCCAAAAAGAAATATGAAAAAACTGTTGTTTCTTTTTCCTGTTTATTAAATACATGAAAAATAAAAACTTTTTTACATTATGTAAATGACTTGGCAAGCATGTGCTTTGATGCTCTTTGTTTTGAGTTTATCAGATAAAGCCCAGGAATTTTGCTTTGCCGTGTAACAGGACTAACCTTGTAAGCCCATCTTGTTCTGTGAAATTCACAAATACTGACTCTGTGAAAACACCTGCAACCCTTTTCTCTCTTTTACTGGTAAATTCTTGTGCATCTAATAGTTAGACTACAGCAGGGTTTACATAAATAACTCTTTATATGTTATAGCTACTGGAAAGAAAAGTTAGAACGTGATCTTTGCATCTGTAATCATTTATATTTAGGAGGAAAATGTTGAATTTTAGAAGTAAAGAAGGCAACAAAAAACAAAACAAAAAAAAGCCAAAAAACACAAACATAGCTGCATGGCAAAGGAGTCAAAAATCCCTTCATCTCAAATCAGATTTACTTTCATATTATTTAAATCTACAGGCTTGAGGAGCAGATGATGGGTTTGCTCTTGCTTTGAGAAGACTGACAGCTCTCCTCCTCATTTCTCCTCAGGATTGTTTTTTTTTTTCCAACACTGCTGTTGTTGTGTAACAGTTGGCGGTTTTCACACCATGTCAGTCACACAACCGCGTGGGTTTTCTTTTTTTTTTCTTCTTTTTTTAGTGAAATGAGAGGTTTATTTGCTGTGATGTGATTATGGCTCTGCGTCACTGAGGCGCCCTGGACAGGCTGTTCTTCATAAGACTGATCAGAGGACTGAATGACAGTTTTCCATTTAAGTTAAATGAAATCCAAAATATCATACACAATACAGTTAAAATGCAGAACTTTAGGGTGTGAAAAAAAAAATACTAAATGGGAATCAATGACAAATTATTTTAAAATGTCGCGTTTATAAAACTCAATTAAGACCAAAGACATAAAATTGGAAGAAAATAAAAAAATTTTTACTGAAGTGTTGCAATTATGTAGTTAAACCTTTGAACTAATATTTTGTCGAGGCAGCTATTGTTTTGATTTCAGCTTTCAGTTTTCTTGCTGCCTAATCTAAAATGAAATTCAGACATCCTTTTATGGGATACCTGAGATTTCTGCTAAAGCCACAGTTTGGAAAAAAGGTTACAAAGGTTCACCTAAAACTCACATTGTGCCTTTTCGACATCATTCTGGAAAAGGATGGAAAATGTTTTTTCCACGGCTTATTGGATGGCTGTGTTCTACAAGCAACAACAACACTCAGTATTCTCTTTAGAGAATACAGGCCAAAAAGCAGGGTCACAAGCCAGAAGCCTTTTCTCTCACTGAAACTCACTGATTTTTTTTAATTTTCCAGTTCTTGAGACAATGCTTTTTTGTCTTTTAAGTTAACTTTGGCGTTTTATGTGTCTTTTTTTTTTTTTACACTAAATGTGTGCATAATTCTCCTAGTGTCGTGTAACTTTCAGTGAATTTAGTAGGCTTTTCATGTTATTGTTATCAATATACAGCACTTTGGTTGACATTTTGTCTACAAAAATAAAAACATTTTCTCCAAAGAAATTAGCTGAGCCTGGCTAAAACCTAGATTTTAGGTTTTAACCTAGACTAGGTTTTTATGTGATACTATTTAAAAAGGTCCTAATGACAAAACTTGTTTGATATGAACTTGATTTATTCCTCAAAAATATCGGTCAGACATGAACAAAAACAGGGTTTCTAAGGCAACCCACAACAATATCCATTCCCACCTTCTCTTCCTCCTCCTCCACTGAACTTCACTATTGCTGCTAACCTGACCTGTGGAGGAAATAATCTCACAGCAGAGACGCCTGGATCTCAGACGGCAAGACCTTTAGAGCTGCGGACAATCAACAGTCCCTGACAACAAGCTGAGATAAAGATGTAAATGAGAAACATATGCAAGAATTACGACTGATTATCTGAAGCTGGGGAGGAGAAGGTGATTCTATTCTTTTATGGGAATATATCCCTGAAATTACTGAAAGGAGTTCAGCCTCCTTTCAGTAACATTATTTTTCAACTGCTGACAGGCCACATGTTGCTTTCACTCAGATGTTATATAAATGGAGTCTGACCAGCCTGAAGGGAGGACAACTCTCCTGAGGTTAAATCTCAATTTTTTCAACCAGATGAGCATTAAAAAGTACCCTCCAAACACCTGCTGCTGGTGGGAATGTTTTTTTCTCCTCCCACTAGAACTCCCTGGAGTATTAGCTCAACATCACAGCAAACAGCGCTGCAGTGTCAAACTGCAGCTGGGAGAGCCGAGCACTCGAGCCTGGGCACATCTCTGAGTGAGTGGGCTGGAGCGAGAGATGGAGATGATGTTTCTATGGTGACTGGGCACATCCATTCGGGAGTCTCCAGAGAAGAGGGACTGAAAACTTCCGCAAACTCTCAGATCATCAGAACATGTTGGGGCCGGATCATCATAATGGCTTCTTGACAGCTGCTAACATCTTTTTGTATTCATCTGTTCCTTCATAGCATGTTTCCTTCCCTTAAAGAGCACCGATTTTATGTGCATTAAGTCTTTTAGGAGGCATACGTAAAAATTATGTCTATATTTATCAAATTAATGGAAACCTGAAACTATATTCAGCTGGGTTTTTGTTGTTGCTATATTTCCACTGTTTTTTAATTGTCACTGTAAAATAACTCGTCTTAAAGACCAAATGTGTTTCAGACTCTGAAACATTCTGAAAAACCAATGCCCTGATATTTTAATTATTTTATAATAAATCATTATTTGTTTTTCTCGGAACATCAGAGTTTAACAAGCAGACACGAGACTAACTGGAAAGACTCTGCTCTTCTGGTTAATTAATCAAATACACAATCAAGCAAAATGTCAGTAAAATCAGTATTTTAATATTTCCCAACATATTTCTTCTTTTTGGTATGAGATTCTACCATGAACATAATCTTACTTAAGTTCTTCATCTGTATGTGGCCAACAAAATTATTTCCTACGATGATCTCATATTATAAACTCGACAAAGACAGATTTTCAAAGTAAACAACAGAAAAAAATATACATTTTTTCTTTCTCAGGCATAATAAAGAATCAACAAATAAACACTGCAGTAGCTCACAAAGTGACATTCATGATGAAATAACAAAGGGATTGTTTTTAACTATAAGGAAAACCAACCCTCAGGGCAGAGTTTAAATACCTAAGTTTTCAAATCAGTCGATCTTTTCATTTATTTACTTTTTTTCTCGTCTGGCCTTTCAACACACTTTTAAACTTTTGATTCACACTGAAATGTTCGATTTATTTAAATTTTACAGTGTTTCCTCTCGTCTCTGTTGTGCATTCTCACACATGGTCCTGTTTTTATATTTCCTTTCTGTCCCAACTCTGTTGGCTTAATTTCAAATCACAGTATTCTCGAGTCTGAAGTTCAGAATTTACAACTAAAGCCAGGAGAGAAAAACTCGACTTTTGATGCCAATAGGAAGATCAATCAGATGATGTTTGTGTGAGTGATGCTATAATCTAAAAACCAGAGCTAATAGAAAATTATCATTCTGTCATGATAGACTGATTCTAGTCCATCATGGGACTTGTTTGACAGACGAATCAAAACCCTGCAAATCCCAAAAATGTGCAATGCTGCAACATAAGCTTTCATTATGATCAAACTCTCAGTGCTGCTGTGGCACAAGACCATTTAAATCTCACATCTGCCCTGGATTCATTATGTTCTGCATCGCAGGAGCTTGTCGATCATAAAAACATTTATCATCATTTATTTTTTTATTTTAAATAAAAGAACATGTTGCTGGCTTCGCCTCTACTTTCAGCCTGAAATGTTGTTTATTTTGAAGGTTTTCCTGTTCCAGGGTCATTTTATTACGCATGTCCTTACTGCACAAAGCCAAGCTTAGACAGGGCTAACTCGACCACTTTCCGTGTTTCTGTCACCTCACTGGAGTGTTCGTTTGGTTTGTTGTTGTCTTTTTCTGTTTGTAATCTGGTTTAAATGTGAACGCAAAGAAAACCGAAACGGCGTGGAATATTTGTAAAATATATGAATTAGAAAACTCACAGTGTTATCTCAGATTCCTTTGGTTCCGCGTTGTTGTCACAGGAATATACAATCTACCATTCTTGTTCAAAACCATTCATTTCTCATTTAAAACCTACATAAATGGCTTGTTTTCTGTTTCACGGCTGCTCCAAGGGCGCCGCCATCTTGGATTCAATCATCTTTATTGACACAGCACGAGTGTACAACAGTTTCTTTTTCTTCTCCTTGTTCTTTTTTGCCCCATCGACTTCACATGGTTATATAATAATATGTGAAGCATCACATGTATTATAATCTTAGTTATTTTCTCCAGAGCTCAACGTGACTGAACTTTCATGCACGTCTTATATCAACATAAGAACGCGGTCCTATCATATTGTGATTGTTTTTGTTCATTTCCAATCAGTCAAAGCAAATTTGTTGCCTTGCAGCAACCAGAAATTTTGCTGGTTGCTGCAAAATCACTGAAGAATTTATATAGTCTTCAGTGAAAGAGAAAAAAGGTTTAAGCTACCGTTTGATTTTGGCAGACTACAATATGAGAAGAAAAATCAAATAGTTTTTGGACAGAGGTGCCAGAGTGGAATGTCCGGACTGAAACGTCTCATGGCAATTTAATTTGATATTTTTGCTGTTTTATTCCTCTTTAATCCTCACTGTCTGGCTAATTTTACTCCCTTGTCTTGTGTGTGTCATTTTTGTGGGTTTGTCGGCTCATTAAAACGGCGTTTCCTCTTCAGCTGTCTCACTGTGCAGTCAGCTGTATTTAAGCAAGTTACAATGAAGCACCAAAGACCTCTCACCTCAAATGTCTGAAAAGTCTTTGTAACCAAATAGACGCTTTGGGGCTTTTATTTTTATTATTTTTTTTATATTTCTGCAGGTGTTTTATGCATTTTTTAAATCCAATTTTTTACCTCTATATTTGGAAAGCTTCCAATCAAGAAGCTTGAAGTAATACATCTTTTTCCTCAGAAACATTACCAGTAGTCTTTTTGGTTTGTTTTACACGTGTTGAAGTTGAATTAGAGTTTTATCTCAGGTAGAATTAACCCTGCAAAAATACTTCCTTTGGCAAAATGCTTCGTAATGGCTAAATATCCTAACATTCTTCTCTTGCTCCTCCTTGGATTTACTTCTTTGCTTGAAGAAAGCAATCAGAGGCAACGTCAGGGGAGAAACGGCACAAAGAAAAATAGAGCAAGAATCAAAGCTCTTATAAGGGAAGCAAAACCTCACAGAAATCAATTAAGAATGATTAAAACCTCCAGAGTTCAATAGTTGTTTCAGATATGTTTTTCTCATTATTCTGGTAATCTAAAACAAGTTGGTCCACATGCAATTATGAACGTGTTATTATATCTGCACTATAGAGTGCTGTTGAAATCGTTTTTGCACCATTACAAATATCTTATGTTTTTGATCATCAAAAACAAATTAGCATAAAAAGAAAAACATAAGGGAGTCCACAACAGCAACAAAAAAACTCATTATGCTCTAACCTGAAAAAAGATCAAAGAACATGTGAAAAATAAAGTTTCTTATCAATTTAAAAATTTCTCTCCAAAAATCTTGATTCACAAGACTTATGGGAAAAGCATTTAGTGCCCTGTAATGATATATGAAATTACACTAACACAGTGTTTCAGGAAAATATATCTGCTGTTGTCAAACAACATGGTGATGATGTGATTCTGAGTTGCTTCAGGGACTGAATAACATGCCATAATGTATAGAGTGTTTAACTCTGCTCTTTATCTGAAAACTCAAAAATGTAAAAACCGAAGGCTTTTGAGTGGTCTAGTTAAAGTCTGGACTTAAATCCTAATGAGTTCATCATCAAAAACCCTCCTACAATTAAGCACAGAAGAGTGCAACAAAGTTTCCCCAGCAAAAGACTCGTTGCCACTTTTCCCAAAGACTTGACGGTAGTTGTTGCTGCCAGAGGTGACATAATTAGGCTTAGGGGGCAATTATTTTTTTCACGTAGTGGGTTTGGATAAAGTTACTCATTTAAACCATCTGACAAAAAAGGGGCTCTATAGATGATACGTGTTTCAAATTTGGTGGTCGGAGCAGGAGAGAATATATCTATTTGGCAATTTCCAGCATAAAGCAAATGTGGACGTTTGTTCTAGTCTACATCACGTTTAATAGGGAGCCAATTTCTCATCACCGTGTTGCTTCTGAAAACAGCCACCTGTGGTTGTGTTGCCTTTGATCAGACAGAAACTGTTAAAGCTGTCTCATTGCAAAAGAGAAGAGGAGCAAGTGGGAAAGAAAGTTCCTCCGCCTGACGTCAGTGAGTTAAACATGGGGGCTTTGCTCCGACTTCCCCTCCTGTATCAGCGCAGAGATATGTGTTCGCCTGAGGCACAACAGGACATGGATACATAGCAGAAATGAGAAGGAAATGGGTTTCTGACACTGAGGAGATGCTAACCCACCAGATATAACCCCAAATCATCAGATACAGACATTCATTTGATACTCACTTCTGCACTTAGTCCATCAGTGGAAAAACATATGGGATCATCTTTTTTGAAGAAAATTGCATTCATGTAGCTGTTTCATTCAGAAAATAATCTCAGACATTTTACATTTATCTTCTTGCTATTATTGTCACCCATGGCGTCTGGGAGTGTTTTAGGGTTATAAAAAGTTTTTGACTGTTTTTCTTTGACTCTTACTTTGGTGTATTTGCAATAAAATGTCTGAATGACCAAATTCCAAGTGAAAAAAAAATCAAGTAGGACACCACCTGAAATTGGAATCATGAATTGAAAATTGAGTTCATATATTTAATAGATATACATATGAAGTGTAGTAAAGTGCAGAACTAAATTGTTTACCAGGGTTTCTGATGTCTCCCATCAGCTTTGCATTAAAGACTACGAACATCTAGAGAGCGAAACTGTTCCACATTCTTCTCTGCAAAGTAACTCAATGTTAGCCAGATTGGATGGAGAGCATCTGTGAACATTAACATGCAAGTCTTGCCGCAAATTTTCAATTGTATTTAGCTTGACTTTGATTAGACCGTTCTGTCAAATGAATATGAGCTCGTTCCAATTTTTGGATCACTTAATTGTTGGAAATAAACATAGTTTTAAAGTAACCTTAACTGTCTTCTGAAATTCTAATATATAAAAGTAGAGGCAGATTCAAAACAGCCAAAATATTGTAACATAATTATGAAAGTAAAAAAAAAAAAAAAGCTTTTAGCCTCAGGTTGAAAACATTTGTTTTGTCACTCGCTAAATGCTGTGAAAATTTCTCCTAACTTCAGTCAGTCACTACTTTTCTAATTGATGCTCTAACAAGATGACATGTAAAGAAAAATGATATTGTGTAGAAGGAGCAGATGGAGACTCAGGTTGTTTAAATAAATTAAGGCAGTTTGTAGCATAAAACCTGGGATCAGTTTGTCTCGGGATTCCTCTTTCTTATGAATCTTTTTAATTGTTTTTTTTTTAGGAACAAAAGGGAAGACATTTTTCTTCATCTGGATTACATTGGAAAGCAACATTGTTTTTGGAAAGCAGCGTTATGCTTATGTCGAGCTGGCCTACTTGTGTTCCTCAAACAAATCAAGCCGAAAGCAACCAATTACCCCTCTGTTCCATTAGCGAACGCCTCCTTATTCCCAACATGACAAACAGCCGCTGGTGATCGCCCCCTTTTCCCAACTGCATGTCAGCAGCAGAGCAGCAGATGACAAACAGCCTCCCAGAGCTACAGTGGCAGCAATGTTTTCGGTAGAACTCATATGAGGGCGGGCTTGTCGCTACCTGTCCAAGGTTGACCTTTCGTGACCTAGAGTCTGATTCTCAATCCGTATCTGCCGGGCCGAGGCTTCGGCCCAGGAAGCAATCTCACACCCTCTCAGCTCCCGGAGAGGGAGGACAGGCAGGCTGACGGGTCTCTGCCTGCTGTTGACCGTGTTTCAGGGAAAGTGATAAGTGTGATTTTATTTCCAAGGCCCACTTCACATTAACAGGCATGTCCGCCCCTCGCTTGTCTGCTCTCAGTGGGACTGCAGGCAAAGAGAGAAGCATGATTGTACAAAAGGAGATGAGGAGCTTTGCGGCTGCAAACAAAATCTCAATCTGGGTGGATCTCTGGGGCCGCATCGTGATTTATCCTGATGTTTCATCTGGCACAGCTGCACCTCGGATCTCGGATTAAAAATCGAATCTTTGCAGCAGCAGGATATGTTTCTGCATCTTCCAGGAACCCCATCACGTTTGAGTTATTTATTATTTATTTATGTTGTAATTGTGAAAGCTGATGCCAAGATTCTGAAATGCTGAAAAATGTTATATTACATCACAATTTATCAAGCTAAGGCGAATATTAAATAGTCTGATCAATCATTAATCATACTAGTTTTATCCTTTGAATGTAGTTTGTGCATTGAAATATGTATATTCACCTTGAAATCAAGTTATTAAGAGTTTATTGGGGGTGGGGGGGTTCTTGTGTAACTTTATTAAAACCAAACACTTAAACCATTAATGCACCACTGACTCCAATGTTCAGCCATGATTATGTTTCAGATTGACTTTTCTGTGAACTGCCTTTCTGTGCTTGCATAAATGAACTCCTAATTAGCGTAATATTTATGCCCAGAGTGATTATTGTGAATGTAAGAGTGATGATTAACCAGCAGCCTAATACGACTCTCTGAAGAGGAAATCATACAGCATGAGTTTTAACCCTTTCATTTACAGATATCTATGAAATCTTTGTCAAAGTAAAATAATGTCTCTAAATTATATGTGTAAAAATAAATGCATATTTAAGGCTTTTTGTCACACAACAATTTTTCAACGTGCAGCCATCACCAAAGATAAATCTTGTAAATATCAGAGAAAACAGGATTTTCACACTCAAAACTGAACAATACTTGACATGTTTTACTTTAACGAAATACATTTGAGCTACTTGACATTGTTTTATTATCTTCTCAGAGTCACCTGCCTCATTTGTCATCAGATGCAAATGGAAATTATTTAAATCTAAATGTGTCAGGAGTGAGAAGCATCAAAAAGGATAATACATGTCCAAGTGAAATTCCTAAAATAATGGGTCCGCCTGTTAATAAAGATGTTATGTAGCTCAGAGTGTAACACAACAGTCTCACAAAGTTTTAAAACAACGAGAAATCTTTCCGCCCAGTAATTTAAAGTCATCTGTCAGGATATCTGTTTAATCACATGAGACAGAAATTGCTCTAACCTCTGGCCTATTAAAATTACACAAGCTAATATTATTCTGTCCAGCTGCTTTAACTTTTTAAGATAAGATCGCTCTAAACCTCTCGGAAACTAGGCAGAAATTAATTAAATTTATACCTCTGATTCGACTGTCATTATTTGCTTTTTTTCATCATCGCTAATAATTATACAAACAAACTCCCATATTATTGAATGACAGGAACTGAGCGCTACTTTATTGCCTTGGCCATAAATTCTGAGAGCCTTTGCAGCGTGGCAGAAACCTCAGTAGACGTCAGATTCACCGGGCTCGGATGTAAAACAGGAGGGTTAACACTCCTGCTCTCGAAATGCATGAACTCAATCCTCAACATCTAATTAAGGCGGTTGTGTGGGTCAGAGCAACAGCGTCTGACAAAATGTGGAGCTGATGAAGGCCAAGGAGGAGCCGCTGCAGATCCTGGTCCCCTGAACACGCAGGCACATTTTTAGAAAATGAATCTTTCATACACTTTCCTTCAGCAGGGGGAGACTTTTATCTTACCCCATTTGCATTTTTGTCACCAAAGCAATTTACATTTTTATAGCATAATTAATGAGCAAGGAAGTCATTTACATCTCCCTCCTCTGTTCACTGCTACATTGTCTGGAGCATATCTGATGCGAAGGGACCCGCTTTTGAGGGGCGTGTGGGAGGGTTTCAGAGAAACAGACAGATATCTGAATTTACAGAAAGGGAACCAAACAACTGGGTAATTGTTTTAAAGCGGAGAAAAAAATGTTAAAAAAAAAAAAAAAAAGGAGGCTGAATGTGCTGTCATAATTAAACTGGGACAAGAGGACAAGGTCTTTCAGGTGTAAATTGAGGCCAGAGCATCTTTATCTTCAGCAGGCACTCACATCAAACACAGAGAGGCAGGACTCTGGAGCAAATTACACCATTTAAATCGCACAAAAGGAATCAGTTCGTCCATGTAGCATTTAAATTCCCCAGTCTGCAAAAGATGAAACAGCATAATTCATCATGATTTGGCTCCTGGTCAATGACCCACTTCTGTCAATATCTCATAATAGTTTCTGAGGCGTTATATATAAGTTGTTAGGAGGAAATAAACACACTTATTTCCAGTGCTGTGTGGTGATAGATTTGAGTTTCTGACTGCTTTTCAGAGGTTCTGTTTACCCGTTTTAGGAATGAAGAACATTAAAGCTACATACTGTGAAAAAGTGCATCATATTTCCTGTACTCTGAATTTGAGTTAAGCTGAATCCAGTTTGAAACATTCACTGCCAGGACTGACCAGGTGTTCAACCAAAGATCTCAGTGTTGTTCCAGCTAGCAGTAGAGCAACCAGGTGACAAAGCCACGTGTTTACTGATGTGTCTGGCTTCCCCTCAGTGCACAATGTGGCGGATGAAGACAAGCACCAGCATAAACAAAGCTTGTGAGCGGAGAGCAGGTGAACACACAAGGGATTACAAACAGATGCCTTTTTTCCTTTTTTTTCTGAAAATGGCAGCAAAAAAAGCAAAGCACGTGAAATATAGTTTTTAAAAATAACTGCTCTCAGATTTGTGTTATAATATGCAAAAAAACAAATGAGCACGGTCTTTTCAGGTCACCTACATTTCACAGGGCTCTTCAACAATGTTTGCACATCTGTTTATCATAAATAAAAATTCTGAAAATAAACTTGCTTTTGTTGCAGTAGCATCATGTCATACTGAAAATGTATATTTATTCAGTAGTGATAGAATAACTTACTAAAAAATAACTCCTTTCAACAGAACTGGCAGTAGCACACTTACTTTCACCCATGACAGTGAGGTTGTAATGCAATGTAGTGTAATGCAAAATGTTACCTTAATTAAGAAAAGAAATTCTTAGTAGTAAATAATGTTCTGCCAGTGTTTGTTGAGATTTGCAATTTGATGAAAATGTGACGCTTTGCTTTTCTGTACACACACGAAAAAAAATCAATCTTTCATTTTTTGGGTGGATTGAGTGAACGCTTCACCACAGTTTCCTCTTCGAAAGTTTCATGTACTTCTGAAGCTCAGCAAACCAAATTTATTCAGAATAAAGAAAGGGTCAGAGGTTAAGCTTCTCTGCATGGCACGCAGATTATCTTCTTATGTTTTGAGCAATTACCCAAATGAAACACCAGGCATGTTCGTTGGTGGGACCTTATCAGAAAAGTCACCTCTGAATCTGGCATTTCTACCATCTCTGTCAACTTCACAGAAACACTAAAGTGCCCTGCAAAAGTATTCATATCCAGCAGAAATGTTTACATTATCCACGCCACTGAGTGTTTTATTAGGATTTGATGCGATAGAGCTTCAGAACGGAGCACATGATTGTGATGTTGGGTGAAAATGATGCATGGGTTTTAGCTCTCCTTTCTCTGCTTCCCTAGACTGAAATGAAATTCAGGGGAATACATTCACCTCACAAGTCACACATTAAGTTAATGGCAGTACCATGCTGCAGAGAAAAGCAATAGCCCTAATATTGTAGTAGTTGAACAAAGTGGACTGGGTTAGATAAAGCATAGTCATGTGCTAATATACATATTAGTACAAAGTTCATTTCTCGCAGATGCTCCACATCCAGTCTGAATGAACTTGATTTGGTTGGTAAAGAAAACTGTACATATATTTTAGTCTCTAGCAGTAAAGGGTGTTCCTGTGACGTATTGACTCAAGAGGGTTGAGGTGCATGCCACACTTTGTAGATTTGTATTTGTAAAGCATCCTGCAAAGCAAGCATTTTGCTCGGCTTGACAATTACTTCTTTTTACGTTGGTGTACAAACGTGAAATGTGTTTCTGTTTGTGGTGGCAGGTAAAGTTTGAGGGCTTTGAATTATTTGGTATTATTCTGGAGTGGGTTTGATAAATTGAGGACAAAACTGTCCTCAATTTATGGACAGATGGACTTCAAGGACTTCTCTACCTAAGCTCGTTTCCCCCAATCCTATAAAAGCTGGCTTGAGCTGATAAACTGGCTAATACGGAGCAACACTTCCATTGGCTCTGAGAGCAGACTGAGATGAATTGCTTTTTCTATCAGGAATTAGGGTCTTCTGCCGCCAGGAAGTTTCTAAAAGCAGGTCAGCGTCATTAAGCGTGTGCTGCGCTCGTCTCTGCTGTCCCTGCGCACTGGAGACTCTCCCCACACCATTCCCCAGTGTTTTTGGTGCTCAGTGCTCACACCTGAAGTGACAGAGCCGAGCTCGGAGCGCACAGCGCTGGGTTTGGAGAACCAGACAGAGGAAAACGATAAATACGCAGGGAGGAAGGATGCGCGCATGTGGCGAGGGTTGGATGGGTTCGTTGTGAATGAATTTCTTCCTCTGGGAGCTGCATTTATTTAAAAGAGAATCACAGGCGTCAGGCGTTTCTGCGCGCTGCCCTTCCTTCCTGCCGTCCGAGGCTCTTCGAAGCACCATGCGAGCCGGAGAGACGCGCCGTGTGCCATGTTGAACAGCTCCCCGTCCCTCCTGCTGGCTCTGACCGCGGTGGCCGCGCTTCTCTCGCCATGCCGAGGCTGGAGCGACGAGGACCTCCTCCTGCCGCCCATCAACTCCTCCAACAGGTTCCTGGCCAACCTGGAGGTGGACGTGCGCTTCTCCAAGAGGTCCGTGGAGGAGAGCGACGCCTCGCCCGAAGCATCCCCGCTGCAGAGCCTCGCTCCCGCGCAGTCCCAGTGCAACGTGACGGTCCACAGGCTGCTGCCCACCTCGCTGGTGGCCCGCTGGGACAGCGGCTTCGGCTTCCAGTGTGACGTGCTCGTCTACACCACCAACAACCACGGCAGGGCGTTCTTCTCCGCCTCCTTCAACCGCGCCATCTCGCCCGTGGTGATCGAGCACCTCGGGGTCACCGGGGGTCAGCAGGAGATGAGGCTGTGCGTGGGCTGCGGGATGTCCCGCTACCGCCGGTTCGGCCAGGGCAGGTTGAGGGGGCAGCAGAGCGGGGACCAGGTGGCTTTCTGCTGCGTGGACTTCAGCCTGGACGAGCTGAAGGGGGACAAAAGTTGGCGGCTGAACAGGAAGCCCATCGAGTCGACACTGGTGGCTTGTTTCATGACTCTGGTCATCATCGTGTGGAGTGTTGCTGCGCTCATATGGCCGGTGCCGATCATTGCAGGATTTCTGCCGAACGGGATGGAGCAGAGGAGACCCAGATAACTGAAAAACCCACGACACTAAAGGGCTATTCCGCTGCATTTGACGACCACCCCCCCTCTCCTCCACACTGCCGTGATAAAACAGAATAATAAGAATGATCAAACTTCACCAAGATTATTTTTAGACTTATTTCTATCAAATACAAGTTGGGATTTGTGAAACCTTTGTGAAACGTCACGAATGAGCAATTTTAAGGCTTATTTGACACGCCTCAGAAAATCACTTCACAAAGCCTGCATTTAATACAGAAAAACATTAAATACATATTATGTAAATTCGGTTAAAAAAATAAAGAAAAGAAACTATTTTGAGGTTTGTTTTGAGCTAATTTTCAAACTGGATCAGGTTTGATCAATTATGCCAGCTTGAACCAGGACATCCCTATTGTAAGACACATTTTATCAAATATACTCCAAAAAGTCAGCTGAAGGCTTTTTTTTCCCATAAGACCAACTTATTTAGTTGAAAAGTTGAAAAGTATACCACTCACATCTGAACAAAATGTGTTTTTTTAAAAAAACCTTGATTTTGGCCCATGCACCTTAAATGAGGGTCATTGTGAAACGAAACAACTAAAACCTAGAATTACTGTACACTGACGACAGACGAGTCCGGACGAGTCCGGGCTCGGCCACGTCTGTGTGATCCAGTTTTCAAGTTGGAGCTCCTGTAAATTATTTTTGGATCATAAAAAAATAAGGTTTTATGTTCCAAAGATCACAACACATTATGCTTTCCAGATTCTGTCTTTAGAGCAGCATAGCCGTGTTCATGTTCAACTGTTTGGGTATGTAATCATAAGGCTGGATCTATAATGTAAGACGCTACAAACTTATTCTTCTGAAAAGTTTCACTAATAGCAAAGGATCTGTCCTTTAGTGCAGGAGAATGCTGTAAATGTCTGACCACTCTAATGTAATTTTCTAGCTGTACCCCATATAAGGTGTCCTAGGGTGAAAAAAAGGTACATTTGAGGTTCTTCACAAACTGTATTTGATAGATGCAAAACAATCCAGTTCACATGCGACCAGTATTAAGTTTTTAAATTTCCAACAAGAACAGATCAAAGGCAGTCCTGACTTGTTAAATGCAGTAAAATAGCCCAGCCGTCGGACGGTGTGTTGAAAAGACAAACTTTAATAAGTGAATATAGCCTGTGCTGCCTATACTATAACTGTAGCCATTCAGTAAATGAATGTGGAGACCCTCAGAAGTTTGGGTTGATCTTTTCCCTTTAGACCTTTTCCTCTGTAGGACAAACCAAGGTAAAGTCTAATTATAATAGCCAATGGTAAACTATACTGGGACCAACACCGATGTGTTTTGTACGCCCTTATAAGCCTTCCTAGATAATGTCAGCGTAAACTGTGCCACCTTCTATCTTTAAACGGTGTTTGTATAGTTTTTAATCTTTTTAGACTGTTTTTGCCTTATAATACCAAGTTTAGGACTTTTGCACAGAAAACTGAACATTAAAGTGTGCTGTCACTGTGGACTACTTAACCTATTATCAAGCTCAGTAACATTTATTTGTTATTTAATAAAACCACGACAAATACATGTTAGTTATAAGAAAGTTTAAATTTATTACATTGTAATATTTCTGAGAGTCTGATATAGCTGTTAATTTGCATAAATGTTTAAAACTTTTAATGAAATAAATATTTAAATCCTTTAGCCCCCTGCTTTTCTCTGACTCTTTTTCTGTGTTTTAAATCAGTTTGTCAAAGACTTCATTCTGTTATTACAATTCTTCTATTATTGTAATAGGAATAATAAACTTAACGTGTCTTTTTTCAGCATGCTCAGTTTGCTGTTGGGTAAATATTTCTTTAAAACAAGAAACAGATTTATTGTTTTGTTCAAATTATGTCAAAAATCACTTGGTTATCCTGTTTCTTCGAAAGGAAAGAAAAAATATATAAATTTCATAGGTTTCTAAAACCCAGTTAAAGTTTGTTTTATTTTATTATTTGACTTTTTTCCTTGCTTTTTGTGATGACATGCCCCTGTGCCTTCTCCTTGTCTTCATACTTTCACCTTCCTCCTACCTAGACGTGTGGTTAGTTGTCGTTTACCCAACCTGCCGTTCTTCTTTTCATGACAGTCAGTTGTGCATGCCAAGGTATAATGGTCTATATCTGTGTGATCAGTTCGTACAATAATTGTCCCCCTCAGGGCTTTCAATGTTGCCCCGTCTTGTCACAGAGATGCAGCATTCCTGTAAAAGCAGAAGGAGGGTGTTTTACTGTAACAATAACACGGGACTGAATCAATTCCTTGGTATTAAGTCAGGAAAAGGTACCAGCATTAGTTCGTGTTTTGTTTTGCTTGTTTTTCTTATTAGAATTTTTGTAAGTGTTATTTTTTAACAAAGAGTATCACACCAACAACTAGAAGTCCAGAGTTACTGAAACTTATTTCATACAGTTAATCCAACTATTTCATTTGCTGCAAAGTTTAGCAATATTCATCATTTATAGTTGTACACATTCTCTTTAAGCAACCTGTATCAGTAAACATTAGACGGATGGGGATCATATTGAGTCTAAAACTAATAGTAAGAATTTAAGCAATCTCCTTGTATACTGTATACAGACTGTTTCATGTAAAATTCACAAGCAGTAAATACTATGTTTGTAAATGTCCTGCTTTCTTTGGTCCAGTTCTGATAGGGGGCCCAGTTTAATTTTTTTGTCATGGGGCCCAAGATTCCTCATGGTGCCCCTACTGCCAAGACTTTCTTTAATGAGCATAAGAACAAAACCCTTTTTACAGATCCAGAGGATAACGGTACATTTTTATCAATACTATGTCATACATAAAGCTTGTGGAAATAAAAGCCAGAAAGATGCCACAGAAAACACAAAATTGTTCTTCAGTTATAAAGCAGATTTGATTACATACAGCACATAATACACAGACAAGTCATACTGATATATTTTAACATAAACATGAGTATTTTTATAATTCACATAAAGGTTCCAGTGAGTGGCTTATACTGCATCATTTAATGTTCTTTTCTTATGATGACCTGTAGAAACAGAGGTCAAAGGAAAATTGCAGCTTAAATCTGTTTCAGTTTAATGCTAATATCATCTGCATAGAGAGACATCAGAGTCTAAAGAGTGGCAGCAAACCTCTCAGACGATGTTAAACTCACACACCGAGGCCTTTTCAGCTCTACAGTTCTCATCGAACCATTTCCCATTGGCTGTGGTGGACAAGATGGCGCAGTTCTGGGCGTGCCCTCCGTCGGGCTGGTGGGTGATCTCAGTCTCCCAGTTCTTGAAGCGTACGCTGGAGCCTGTCTGGTCCACCCAGTGTCCGTCCATCACTATGTCATTGATGCCCAGCCAGATGTGCTCCTCCGGCCCGAAGCTCTGACGAACGTAGCTGTGAAGCTGGTCGTTCTCGTCTGCCGTCAGCGGGGTGCTCAGGCCGCCTCCCTTGGCGATGCAGTCGTCATTGGCTGCATGGAAGGTCTTCTTCACTGGATCGGCCAGAAGACACTTTCCCAAGATCTTTGTGCCTTTCAAACAAACTGGGAGGCAAATTACAAAGCAGTGATTACTCAGATGCTGATTCTGTCCGATAATCAAGACACATGGCCTCACGTGCTAGAGGATTGTGTTTGACATGCATCAATAAAAACTTACCCGTCTGCAAGGCTTGGTGCTCTTTCAGCAGGTTCAGCTCCTGAACAATGTCATCGATCTGTTTCTGCAGCTTCGCAATCGCATCACTCGTTACTGAGTCTAGTCGAAGAGACACAAATATCAGCTTTAGCTTTTCCTGATACCTGCTACAGAAGAGCGTCACGTCAATTTAAAGTTCGTTTTCATCTGCTACATCTTACCTCTTAAACTTTTCACACTTTGTCTCTGTACAACCACAAACTTCAGTTGATTTTATTGAGATTTTATTGGACAGACAAATTAGACAAATTAACTCTGATACCCGCAAGTTTCAAGGTAGAGCAAACATCTACATTCACATCTCAAGCATTAAATAGTCTGTGTTATTCAATCTAAGCATACATTTGTCCACCTAACCTAATATAGCAGGTGATGAGAGCATTTCATTAGAGAAACAACAAAGAGTCTCACAATAACTCTGCAGGATCTGCAAAGGTCTCCATTCACAGGTGGACGAACCTTTTGACAAAACAGCTGTGAATAGTTCACTCTATAAATATTGCCTACAGAAGAGTAGCAGAAAGAAAACAACGGCAATAAGCGAAAACTTTCGAAATTTGGCACAAGGAATGAGCCAAATTGCTCATTGCTTGAGCAAATTGGCCAGAAAACAGGAAAAAGGTGCTTTGGTCAGTTGAGACCAAAATCAAACATTTTGATCTTTATGTAAAACAGAACATTAACACTCATATCACTCTGAACAAGTAATGCCAGCTGTGAAACATGGTGGGGGCAGAGTGATGCTGTGAGAACACCGGAACGAAGCTGGTTAGAGATGATGGGAAGATGAATGGAGACAATCCCAAAGGAAAATTTGTTAGAAGATGCGTACGACACTAACAGGTTAAAACTGGAGTGGAGATTCATCTTCCAGCAGTAAAATTATCCAAAACATACAGCAACAGCAATATTGGAATGCCTCAGGAATATAAGTGTTAAAATGGCCCAGTCAAAGTCCTGACAAACTTGATTTAGAATTTGTGGCAAGACATGAAAAGCGTTGTTCAGACATAGACGTTCTCCACAAAGTTTCGTTTCAGTGGCGTAGAAACACATGCTGCAGTTTCCACGTTTCATTTTCCCTCCACCTCTTAATTTTACACTTTGTTGGTCGAACACATTAAACCTCTAATGGATCCATTCAAGTTTGTGGCAGACAAAATGTGGAGAAGTTCAAGGAGTTTGCATACTTGCGCTGCATGTCCGAGTCTTACCTTTTTTTCCGTTTCTCTTCTTGGAGGGCGTCTGCTGCAGTGAGCAGTGCAGCAGCAGGAGAAGACAAAGTGTTACCTGAAGCTCTCGAAGATCCATGACTGAGGAGGAAAAACCAGAAATCCACGGCAAACAAACTGATTTGCTGCTGCAGCTCCTCTCAGCTGTGACCAAAGGCTCCGGAGCAGACTGGTCCCACGTGACGACGTGAAGGCAGAATGTAAAAGGAAATCTTATAACAGGGAGAATAAATGTTCTACAGATGTCAAACAGCTGTTTGTGTCGCTGTTTTTGCAGAGTTTTCTTTGTTATCCTTCAGCTTTTTTAAAAAATTATGAGGAAGGATTTAAACTAAATACGTAAGGCAAAGTTGTATGCGTCCCTTCTGGAAGCACAGATGTAATCTATTGTTTTCCTTTCTGTTGCCTGCAGTGATTGCCTTCTAGGCGCCAGAGGTCGGATGCTTTGGAGATTTCTCATAAGTCTACATCTGGATGTCTTCAGAGAGCTGGACAAGGCGCAGCAAACACGTGGCAAAGCCTTACATAACGAAGAAACGCTATTGTGAGGCTCAAATCTGATTAAGATGTCGGTTGGGTTTTTTTTTAAATCAGATCTACTTGATATTTAGTGAAAGTGCAAATAATGTTAGATCATTTCTGCTCTGTTAATTCCAGACAAATGTTAGGGAGTTAATGCAAAAATCTTCCTTTGACATGTGCAAAATGCAGTGGAGGATTGTGTTTCTGCAATACAAGATGAATCTGTCTTAAGGTTACTACTAACCTTTAACACGGGTTCTAATGCAGAACTTTCTAGCTCATTTACAAAGTTTTTCACTCCATTAGAGAATCATCAAAACCACAAACCCTGACTCAGCACATTTCCTCATCATGTTCTTTATTATTTAACCTCTCAGTAGTAAAATTAAGCAAACATATCAAGAGTTCTATTACTCAGATACAATATTTACACAAATAAATAAATAGCAGAGCAACGTGGCCTCTGTAAGTAGAGCTTCAACATGACATTCATCAGTGAGAATAAGCTCTCCTGGATGTAGAAAAGTTCAGGCAAAGGCAGCTGGTAGGAACACAGTGAGAGTCGAGGTGTGACGCCTCCTGTGCGCTCCAGGCGGCGTCTCCGAAGCGCAGACAGTTTGTGGGTCAGATTCAGTTCTTACTCAGATGCATAGATTGTTTCTGATTGCCAGTAAAGCCTCCATCAGCTCAGTATATTATATAAATACAGACAGTGTTGGAGGTAGAGTCCTGATAAAATGATACACATATAAATCAGAGATCGCTAACGCCACAAAGACGCAGACTGGATTCAGATTTCTTTTATAATCTTGTCCATGTCTCTTGGCTGTTTTTTCCACCTCTCTGATCTTTCAACTTGTAATGCTGGGATTCTAATCTCGTCTCGTCTTTTTGTTTATGCTTACAGAATGTTTTGCTCTTTAGAAAAGTGTCCTTGTTTTTTGGCTCAGATGATCAGTCGATGCTTCATAAATGCTAAGCCCTTTGCTTCACAGCTTTGCCCTGAATGAATTCATCTAATGTCTGATTGAAATCTTTAAAAACGAAGAAACACTTAGAAAAACCTTCTATATGTCAAAAAGTCTGCGAGAACGCACTCTATTTGCAAATCACAGTCATTAATAACTTAAACATATAAATCAGAGATGGGCCAATAAATTCACACATGGAGGTAAAAGCATTCAGGAATAAATTAAGTGTGCTTCACAGGTCCTCTTCTTTCTAACTTTAAGTGTCTGCTGATCATCAGGATCCATTTACGTCGGACAAAACACTGAAAGAAAGATGAAAATAAATATTAAAAAGATCCCAATGGAATAAAAAAATATCAGGAAAAATCTATGTTTCTGCTCTTTACTAAGTTTCTTCAAGAAGTTTGTTGGGTGAGATAAAGCCTGACTTCTGACTAAACTACAGAAACTCAAATGTAAAGAGCAGGAAGGAACAGAGGGACATTTTTGAGGTCAGACTGCACTACACCCTTTGGTAGACAGGGGGCGCTCTCTGACATATGGAACAACAACAATGTCACACAGGAATGTGCCACAAACCTCGCGGTCCAAAGCTCAGACCAGAGCTAGAGAGTAAAGCAGCGTAAGATTGTGAAGATTGTGAGAAGTGGAGAAAGACAAAAAAAAAAACAACAACAATGAAAAGATCAGCAGAAGACACAGAAGACACAAACTTAGATTATTTCACATTTCCAGGCCTTTTTCTGTCCATTTCTATTTGTTCTTACTAAGACTGAGCCACACAGATTCATTTTGTCTCATAACTATTTCAATTAAAACCAAAGACTAAGAAGTGAAAAGAGGAGAGATGGAGAACATGTAGGACAAAGACAGGCGAAAAACACGAAGCTTACGGGAAATGGAAAGAGTCGAAAAGCATTTTGAAAAGCACAATCGTAAGAAACATCCGAGCATCAAAGCAGGAGAAGCAGGATCAGACCACAGGAACGAGTTGGGCTTGTTGGAACAAGAAGTGTCAACAGAGCAACTAACAAAAGGACATGGGATAAAAAACACACACACACACACACACACACAGAGACACACTGTGTGCTCTTCCACCCCTCTGAGATACACACTGTGATCATTTACTGCAACTTTTTTAGCTCAGACTCATACAACTGCAACATGGAAGCATGGAAACGCTGGGAGTCTTTTCAAGGATGCATACATTGTCTTCCAGATGTGTTTGCAACACTTGATCTTTTTTACACATTTCAGCCACAAATTGTATTGTATCTTAAGAGGATTTTATGTGAGACCAACTCAAAGTAAGCTGTGTTGTTGAATCTCACTATACAGACAGTTATGCTGGAACGATACTGGATGTTTATTAAAGAACATTAGCAGGACAACCAGCAAACAGGTCGGGGAGAAAGATGCGGCGAACAAAACAATATCCCAAACTTAAGACCACAGCACAAATGAAAATCACAGGATGGGACGGCTTCAATAGGAAGGTTTACCCAGTTATGCAAATTAACATTCAGAGATGCTGTTTGTCTAACATGGCTGAACTTTTTTCACCAGATAAGTGGAAGAAAATTCAGTCTCAAGATGTGAAAACTGGCAGAGAGGTCTCTAAAGTGTTAAAGTTGAAATTGCAGTCAAAATATGATTGAAGCGAGTATTCACTCAGAAATGGCCAGGTATAAAAACAGACTTTTCAGATTGTTACTGCTAAAATCTCTTGAAAACCATGGATTTGTTTCCATTCATTTTATGTGCTATATTTCAACTGTTTGTGGATCGAAACAAATATAATGTGAGCACAATTTTCTCTCCCAGAGCCTAGATGTTTTTTTCCATGTGAATAATGGAACTTGCTAGTAACTTTCAGGTACTTTATCTGAAACATTCATTAAGTTACTTAGTAATAGGGGAATGTAATAATCAGAACTCACTGGATACGTTTTCACTAGTAAGTTCTGGAAATTTACGTGGTGACCACTAACTTAATAAAAACTAAACACTGTCATATACATTTAATTAAAAACTGAATTTGTATTTTTGCTCAACGACAACCGGAGATCTCAGATGAAACAGAGCTGGTCATTAATGGTCACAGGGTGGGAACAGAGGAGAGAAACACTCACCATTGAGGATGTAGTCCGTCAAGAGACCAGGCACCTTGTCGCTGTCATCTCTCATAGCTTGCAGAACTGGAATAAATCAATAAATCAGCGCTGACTGAGCTAAACCAGGCCAAACAGCAGAGCAGAGATGAGACGGCTTACTCTTGGTCAGGATCTGGAGGTCTTCGATCGACGGAGGAAGTCCCTTTTTCTCATAAGGAATGACTGTGGTCAAATACTGTGAACCACAGGAAAGAAGAGACAAAGCTAAGCATAGCATTTGTGTTGCTGGAAAAGTTACATTTCTGGAGCAAAAACAGAGAAGAAAAGAGCAGAAAAGTTTAAGCTTGTGGCGAGGTGAGGAGTTGAACCTGTCTTTCGCTGCAGCCACTGCCAAATGTTTGCCGGAAGCTGTTTTGAATAACAGAGGAGAGGCCGTCCATGCTGAAGCGCTAGGGAGGAAGGAAGAGAAGCGAAGAAGAAACGAAAGGGGAAAATAGTTGAATCAGATGAAGTATTTAGGAAGTACGAGAAAGTGGGTTTCCCCCCGACAGAGTAGCAAAGTCCTGCTGTCAGAATGATTCGTTAAGATTATTTACTGATCCAGGTGTTCTCTCCGGCAGACCCTGAGCTGCTCCGACTCCACCCTTCAGCTTCTTCTTCTTCCTCAGCGCCTCCCTGTGCTCCTTCTGCCGGTTCTGCACGTCGATGAGCGCCGAGATGAAACTGTTCTTCACCTCCTTCTCAAAGTCCAGCTCGTCTCTGACGGCCAGCTGCTGCACCAGCTCCTCAGAGAACCTCCTGATGTTCACCTCCATCTCCGTCAGACACTGCAGCAGCTCGGCGGCGCTCAGCGACCTCAGCCCTGGAATCATCACACACACACACACACACGTACTGAGCAAAGGCTGCTTTTGAGAAAAGCCCCCCGTTTACGCTCGCTGCAGCGGCCACTCACTGTCCTCGAAACCGGGACTGCCGCGCCGGATGTCCACGGAGAGCATGGACAGATCCGACTGGGAGGGATTCCTCTCTGCCTCCACGTCGGGTGAGTCCTGCATCATTTCCTCAATCTCCTCAATGACCTGCGCAGAGGGAAAATGAAACAATGCATCGGAGGATCAGATATCTGAATGACAGCGCGACGTGACCTCATTTTGCACCTGCTCCGCCGTGACAAGGGGCTCCTGGTCCACACAGGGGACAATGATGGAGTGCATGTCCAGCTGCTCCCTCAGCTCGTCCTCATCGGACAGCTCCGCCGCATCATCCGTCCCCTTCTATCCGGAGACAGAATGGTTTTAGGTGGGGGAGGAAATTTAATCAGCCACAATGAGAGAGAATTTCAGCTTTGTGAGATAAACACAGGAGGGATTTGGTGGGAGGATGAGGGGAGGGGAGAAGTGGGGCAGGAGGCGGCGGAGTCGCTCACCGGTCTCTCCTTTAGGTTAAACGTCGAGATGTAGAGGGAGCGCGTCCGAGACCGCCGCCAGTCTACCGGCACGGCCTGGCCGTAGTTACAGGCGAGGGCGCTCCAGATTCTGCAGGAAAGACAGGAATGACTGACAGCTGCAGACTTCGCGCTCTTCAAACGCTTCTCCAGAATCTCTGAGAAATGTCTTTGCCATGATCTCATTTAGGTACGTAACAGGAAGTCAGTGTAGCAGGTGTGAAGCATTCTGGGAAATGTATCACACCAATGACTTAATCAATTGCATGATAAATTAAAATTAGCTCAATAATTTTCATTCCGATCATTAATATATTTTGAAAGGCAGTTTTGTTTACAGAGACTTCATAGTCCATTTTTAATAATGTTGTTAGTTGTGTTTAGGTTTTAGTTTGTTTTTATTTGTTGTTTGTGGTTGTTGAGTTTCATTTTAAATATTTAAAATGCCTTCCAGTTGCAGTGTGAAGTGTTCGACACAAAGTTAAAGCTTACTGGTCTTTGACAGGGCGAACTTGCACCATTAAGCCATTTTTCAAAATATGATTTGACTTTTGTATTAAAACAACAATATTGCCATTTATCGCAGTGATTTTTGAGACAATTCGTCATCTTGCAAAATTTGTCATTGTGACAGATCTGCGTGTGACGCATTTGGAGTTTGACCCGATAGTCAACTTCTAGATTTATCTTGAGACGCATTTCCTGCAAAACTGTTCTTGGTCCTCTGAACTTTAATAAACTTTATGAAACGGACATTTTTAACCGTTTTGTGCAACATATGAATGCACTTTGATTTAATCGACTCCATAGTAGCTCTGATCCATATTTAGGGTTGTTATGGCACTAGAAGGTGAACTTCCGCCCCGTTTTCGACTCAGCTGCAGCCTCCCATCTTCAGAACATTCTTGACCAACTTCCCTGTCCTCATTGAAGAAAAGCATCCCCACATCTTCATGCTGCCGCTACTGTGTTTCACTATGAGGATGGTAGTTTTTCCAATTTGGTGTTATCTTCTTCAACATGTTTGCTGTGTCTTCATGGTTTCTGGGAAACTGGAAACACAACTATGTTTAAACGGGGGAAGAAAATTAATTATTGTCAGTGTTTGTTGGCTATGAATACTTATGCAAGGGCTTGTATGTGGAAAAAACAATTAAATATTATGAAATGTTTGAAAATCATAGGACCAAGTACTGGCTGGTGGTCTCACAGAACCTGATGATGAGAATATCTCTGGGCTCTTCAATCCGTCCAGTATTATCATCCTGAGTAAACATCGACCCTGATATGATCTTTGTGTGTTTTTAAGCAGCTTATTACACATGGTAATAACATGGAGCGTGCTCATCCTGTCAGGCCAAACACAAACACTCACTCGTCTTTCTCCAGCAGGGTCTCCTCGGTGAACGCGCTCACTGGACCGATCCTCTCCGGTTTCACATCCCCGAGGCAAGCCGATAACTTCCCGTCCGGTCCATTAACCTGTTCCTGCGTGGACCTGCACACACTGGACTCCTCCGGGGAGCCGTCGCCGTCAGCCCGCCCCGGAGGATCGTCCTGATCCCGGAGGAGCCGAGCCGCCGTTCCCCCCGCGGCGGGGCTGGCCTCCGCTCGGCCGGCCGGCGGCGCCGAACCCGCGGCCGCGTCCGCCAAGTTCGGCCGGCCGTCGTCTAAACGCGCGATCGGTGCATCCATGGCCCGGACCATGCTAACCGCCCCGGGCAAACGATGGATTAATCGGGGCAGGACTGGCAGGCCTCATCCTCTGTGCGTCTGACCGAGGCTGCAGCTGCAGCTGCAGCACCGGCTGGGCCCACTAGTGGTGATACCCAGCATGTTATGACCTGTTGTGTGGGGACTCAAAATATGTTGACAATAAATAAGCTTTTTGTGCAGCAATGCAATCATTCGATTCATCAATTTGTTGTTTGGTTTTACTATTCACCTGACAAACTGAGCTGCCTGGTCTCCCCAGGACTTGCCCATTGAACTATCAAATGCTTAATATATTTAAAATTAATTATGTTGTTATGATGTGCAACAGAAATCCTAAAATTTGATAGAGAATGCATGCACTGTTTTGAAATTAATATATCTTTGTTGTGTCACCAAGTACCCTCAGGTATTTACCATTGTGAAGCCAAAAGCGGAAATTAAAGTAATGCAAAAAAATAATAAATAAAAAAAAAAACATTTATATACCAAAACAAGTTCAAAAGAGAAGAATGTTCTCTTAAAATATAATAATTATGTACTGCGTTTTAAAAATAACAATCAATCAATCGAACAAAAAAAAGAGAAAAGAAACAAGGAAAGAGCGGCCTCTTGTGGCTGACGCCGGCATCGTCATGTTTCCAGCTGGGATCCGCGTTCTCGGTTGCTTATGACAACAGACTGTAAACAAACTGAAATAAAACAAGGCGATTCCCTTTGAAAACGCTCGAGCAAGAACCGACATCGTCTTTTCTTTCCAAATGAGCTCTCCTGTACCGATGCTGAAGAAAACGAGGCGCTCCCCCCTGCAGGACTCTCACATGGATGAACCGGGGTGAGATTACAGTTTCACCCTCAGCTCCTGAGTGCTTCAGTGTAGAACATTCAAACAGATCGTGTAGATACACCGAGTCACTCTTTGCCCTGCAGTTGCAGTAGAAAAGTGCCTTTCAAGAGGAACCTGCTGCAAGGTAGGCTGCACTCCCAGACCACCAGCAGAGCCAATACAGCAAGGGAGGAAGATTCCCTGAAGGAATATTACATTATGAATATGTTACTGAGGCTGCACATATCAGTTAAATATAAATACTTAATAATGAGGGGGAAAAGTCCTTATTACATCATAGAGTTTTAATACAATTTATTGCCTTTTTTGATGTGACATAAGCATAACTTCAGCCACAGTACTGATATATGATGTAAACAACTGATTTTTACAATATATATACATGTAAATAAATCTTTAACCTGAGTCCAAGATATTAAAAAAACTCATATCAAGAAATAATAGTTTCAAACAAATGATTAACATGATGCAACCACCTTTTGTCAATTAGATTAACTTATGCATCATTTCACAAGGCTGAAGCATGTGCGGTATTGATGAACATATCAATTATTGAATTTATTGCATTTATTTGTAGCTACAGTTGCATTTATTTTGTGGAGATCTTTTGCTGGTGATTATGTTGGGAGCCATTATTGCTTAACATGCCGGTTTTTCACGACTGACGTAAAGGTTGCATTTTTCACAGCTTTTCAGCAACGCAATATTAATTTCATCAAGGTATTTTTGCACTTCACCAACCATTAAGATGTACACTTTAATGCCTCAGAAATAAAGGCAACACAGGTTGCTGACGACCCGCTAAATCCCAGTTCTCCTCAGTCTCACACTGCGACCAACGTGGCCGCCACTTCAAAGTCCGGAGCCAGATTGAAACAAGGTACTGCACTCATTGGAATGCCGGTGAAAATTATATGTGTTCCTGTTTGATTTCCACTTCAGGAGATTTGTTTTGCACTTTAATGACCAGGTGCCCCAAGTGACTTCGAGCTCATGGCAGCCATGATGCATCGAATAAATATATTGGAGAACACACTGAGGGGTCAAGCAGTGGAAATGCACCAAAAGGTGGGAAAAAAAATACAATAAAAAACAACAACACAACACAAGTCGGGGGTCATTCTAGGGGAAACCCTAAAGACTCACACCGACAGGATGAAATTTCATAGTGTTTCTGCTTTTCTCTGAAGGATGAGATGATCTCTGGTTTGGAGGAGCAGCTGAGGTCCCGGGAGGAGCCAGGTATTTGTGTATGGCAGGCTCAGGCCTGTCCGGGTCGGGGATGTTTGTCTGAATCAAAGCGATTCGCTGACTGCTATCTTTCCCAGCGTAGATTCAGAGGGCGCGCCATGTCTGAGTAGCAGATATGAGCTGAAGAAAAGGTGCCAAATGCTGCAAAATAAAGTGCAAGAAATGGAGGTGAGATTTCCACAAAGTATCCATATCACTGAAACATCCTCGTGTTTTATGCATTTGCATTAGGACCTATATAAATAAAACACCAAGTCATTTCATAGCTGTGAAGTGGAAGAAAGAATAATTGTGTTTTCAGAACATTTCATAAATAAAAATCTGAAAAGTGTGTCATGACTTCATATCTAATTCACTCTGAATTTCCAAAATGAAACCCAAAGTAGCTAAAAGTTCGCCATGCACTCCACATGTTTTGCCTTTATTGAAGACTGGCAAGAAGAATCGTTCAATTAAAGCTTATCCCACAGTGGAGCAAGGTGTTGGCAGCATCATGCTGTGGGGTCTGAGTTGCTAGAAAGCTGGATGGAGCCAAATACAGGTCAACCCATGATGAAAACCTGTTAGAAGCTGGAGAAGACTTGAGGCTGGAACGGTCCAGTCAAAGTCCAGGCTTGAGTAGATGAATAACTTGAGCTATTTGGAAAGTAGAATGAGCAGAAAATTCAGAAAATTCCTGTCATGTCTAAAAAAATCCATATCCATATTTTCAGTCTTTTAATTAAACTTTGAAAACCGCACATTGTTTTTTTTTTCCTTTTATAACTTTGGGTCAGTGTGTGAGAATGATCTCCCTTTGTCCCGTAGAAGTTTCTGGGTGACTATGGTCTGATCTGGGTGGGAGATGAAGACACCAGCAACTCAGAAGAGAGTCCAGAGAACACAAACTCTGGTATAGTTTGATCTTGCTCTGCAGACTCTCGGCTCTCTTGTAATCAGTGCAGAAGTTTCCTTTCACCCCTCGTACTGTCTCCTGTGCAGGGCTTTCTCCTAACGGGGGCTTCCAAATGAACTTTGACCTTGTCCTTCGGAGGATCAGGGAGCTGAATGTCCTCGCAGGGGAAGGAGAGTCTTTCGTTCAAGCAACAGGGACCGGAGCCACGCTGGCGAAAAAAGATCCCATTCAGCTGAAACTGTACAGGAACGGCATCGTCATGTTCGACGGTCCGTTCCGCTCGTACCAGGAGCACAGCACCCAGGTTGGCTTTCTGCACCTCCACTCGAAACACTCCACACTTTACTGGACTGGTTGGTTCTTAAAATGACGTTTTTTTTCTTCTGATTTTCACAGCAATGCATGCAAGATCTAATGGATGGCTACTTTCCATCTGAGCTTCAGCAGAGATTTCCAGACGGCGTGCCTTTCGAGGTGCGTCTCTGCAACATTTTCTCCATTTGCAAACGTCCTGGTATCTCACAGGGAACCTTGTCCAGGTTCATGACCGTCGAGATGAAGAATTCATGATCAGGATGCCGTGGCACACGTTTCCGGGTGACGGACAAGCAGTTTGTGGGGAGGAGTCAACCAATTCAGTCGGCTTTGTGCCAGGTTTGGTCAGAACTCGTCACAGTCACGGCCCTACAGTAAAGGATGGGTCTCAATCTTTTTTTATTATTATTATTTCGGTTCTGATTCACAGAGAGGAGGCTGACCACAGATCAGTTCCTCAACAAGCTGCCAAAGGTGGTAGTAAAAGCTGGCAACGTGATCGACATCAGGGGTCCCCTGAGGAGAACTCTGCAGGTGGGCAGCAGAGATCCGTCATTTACGCCGACAAACCCAAACCTGACAAACCTCTGCTTAACACAGCGGTTCTCTCATCAGGGTCTTTCTGATGCTCCGAGCAGCAGCTCAGAGATTCTCATCGACACACCAGCGCTCCAAGCGATGATGGAGAGGTAAACAGAGTGACTATGAAATGAGGTCAAGCCTCTGTTCTGTTCAGATATTCTGCAGATCCTGGTTTTATGAAGGAAGCCCATGTTGAAAAGGCTGAAGGAGCTGGCTTCTGCACAGCCGTATTTGATGTCAGAGCCTGATTAAATTCTGATTTGCCCATGTTGACTGATGACGGAGATTCTGAGATTATTGCAGGCTGTGATGTGAAAAATGGGGCAGGCCGATCTGGAACAGCTCGGGATTATGTTCGACGACAGCAGCGGCAGAAACGCCTTGCTGCTGACAAACAGAAAAAGACTCGAGTTTTAATGCGTCATTTTCACAACATTCCCTCAGGACACAGACGATCAACTCCGGCGAACCTGACCAAGCTGCCGTCACTCTCAAGCTGAAATCAGAGGACGGGAATCTCACCTACGTGATGAAAATGAGCCTCTCAGAAACAGTCGGCCAGCTGCGAGGCTATCTGGACAAACACAGGTGGGGAAAGCATCCTCGTGAGCTTTTGACGTCTGTCAAGTTTAACTTTCATAACCATGTGGTTTCTCTCTGCTCTGCAGGGGAGCAGTTCAGCCTGGTTATGACATCATCAGTGCATATCCACACTGCAGCTTCAGCGATGACAACCGGACCCTCCAGTCCTGTGGACTCTCAGGAAACGTCACCCTGAGGCTCCGTCAGAGGCAACAAAGACACCAGTAAACTCTGAGGAGTTTGAGCCTCTCTTCTTCCTTAAGGTTTCCTGCATCCTTCAAACATTTGGAGCAATAATTAATAAAGAAAGAAATGTATGTTAAACGCGCATGATGGTTACTTCTATTTAAATTTCCACGACTTAGAATTAGAACTGATCCAATGGGCGATAAAAAAAAAAAAATTCACCGAAGTTTTATGCTAGAGAACCGGACCAGAGTGGCGTCTAAAGTTCACAAAGACACCAAAAGCACCTCAGACCCAGAGGATCAGTGATTCTGGGCCTGGTTCTCTTCCAGGTTCCCTGGCTCTCTCGTTAAGACACGTGACTCTTTGTAATACCAGATTTGGAGGGTTCTGCCAGAAAAGTAAAGAGGTCATCACTTGGTCTCTCAACTGGGTG